TTCTTAGGTATGTTCAGTTTCGTCCTAGTTGGAATAGAAGGCAAGATTGTTAGTTAATTTTTATGCAAAATATTTTTAGCAACTAAGGTATATTATGCGCATTGTAAATCCAAGTGTGTTATTGTTGTAGACTTTTTTAACACTCTAAGTCCATTCAATGTTAAATACCGTGAAGAAACTATATATTTTTCACACACTATAAAATATGTAAAAAGTGACTATAAATCATACATAGTTTGTTTATGAACATTTTACATTAAACACACTTTATGCGTGTTATTTCAACACTTTTGTGAAATTTTGGATTTATAGAGTGGAAGGCAGTGCTTGTTTATCATTATTAATTGATAAGACTCATTTACTAAAATAATTTTTAATTCATTTATTATTTTATTTTTTGTAAATAATTTTTGTTATGACTATAAAATTATTTGTAAAATTAAAATGTCTTTTAAATTAAATGATAGTGAACAAGTGAATTTAATTCATCATAAAAAATTTTAAATTCTAAAAAAATTAAATTATTTTCTTTCAATGAATTCAATTAATGCTCATTAATGGTACTAATTATTAATAAAAAGAGAAAAAAATAAAATGTCAAGAACATTTTTTTTAATGTTCTCAGTAACTTTTCGGCACTCTTTAGCTCACATTTTTTTGCTTGTATGAAGATATCAAGGAAATCAAGTGAATAAAATTCTCCTTATCTCAAGTCTTGACAGAATCAATCATTTGCTCATCCGTGCGATGATTCTTCGAGATTCTGTCACACTCTGGCATATTCATCTGAATGCTTCGAAGCTGTTTTAAAGAATGGATAAAGAAAAAAACAGGTGAGGTCGCATATGAGTCACCTTCTTTGAATGTTTTATCTCATATATTATACAGTTACTAGCATTCTCTAAGCTCATGACACTTATTATCGACGAGATGCCAGCATATCCATAGAAGCTGTATTGGTTTTTGTCTCAAGTTACTCGACATTTCCTTACGATAGTCTTATTGTAATAATTCAAAGCAATACATACAGCAGTCAACTAGTGGATATCAAGTGTATATAATAAGGTATATACATCAAGGATCTTCGAAGTGACTACACTGAACTGGCAGCTTTAAAGCCATCGCTCTTGCATAAAAATTTTATATGAGACACATTTATGTCTAGACCACAAGGTCGTGTGGAACGTAATTCTCGTAAAAATCCGCTGAGGTTTAATAAGTTTTCAATGGTATGACTATACTTGCGTTATTCATTGATGCATTTTTTTTAATTTCTTTCTAATTTATTATGCAAAAAATTTTTTAATCAAATTTCATGTCATATTATATGACTGAATAATATTTAATTAATAGTTACTATGATGTGTACAATCTTATGTCTATTTTACTCAAATATTTTAATTAAAAATTCATTCTTTTCTTCATAAAACTCATTTTCACTCTAAAAGAAAAAGCAACCAATTGTTTTTATCTCTTAATAATAAACTCATTCTTAAGTTGAAAACTAATGAGAATTAGTCTACAACATTTTCAGTTTAAAAATAAATTTGTCAATTTTCACATCTTTTCAGATAAATTTATCAAAACATGATATATTATCGTCAACGACTTTTCATTGATTTTTTAAGTCTCGTTTAAAACATAAAAATATCTATAGCAAACACAGGTAAATTACATCATACTATTAAACAACATGATGCAAGTTGGAGTAATAAAAAGGAAATATTTAATAGCTACATATAATTGCTTTACGAATGATAAATAAAAAAAAATGAATGACTGTAAAAGTAAAGAAACAGTTAATTAAAAATGTCGTTATCGAGATACTCTTGGATTTATTAATGAACTCCAAAGATCGATCAAGGTTGTTAATCAGTAGGTAGTCTGGAGTTTGAAGGCGATAAGAAGTAAAGTCGTAGTGATGATCACATATATGTATAGATATTTATTAATGTCTTGCATCGATGCAATCTCCGTTTAATCTACATTTAAATTAATTATATCAATTCCACATTCGAAATGAAATATTCTGACGTCAGGAGATCACCATAAGCAGAAGAGAATAAAAGTGATAAAGAAAGCACGAGTGAAACTAATGACAAGTTTTCATTGGACATATTTATCAGATATGTTGTACATCATACTCGGTAATAAATTGTCATATATCTGATCTAAATATCTGGAAACTTGGAAGGATGGAAATGAATGATGACTAATCATGCAGATGAGGACTAGTTGGAATATCAATAGAAAGCGAGGTTTAATCGGGGTTAATGGAAGACGAAGCGAGAATTTTTGGTTATTTTGGCCACAGCCCTGGCACTCAACTTGCTATTAACGTGCTAGCAGTCTTGCTATACGGTAATGATCGACGTCCATTAGCTCTGCTTTTCGGCTAAAGTAAAGAGTAAGCCAAAAGAATAAGGAAGAGATTGGAAAAAAATGAAAAGAAACAAAGGCGGAAGACGATGAAGAATAAGAGGAGGAGAAAGAAAGACAGAAGAAAATAAAATAAAAAATGATACACGTGCGATGCCTCTGGCGTGCAAGCTTTGAAAATATCATTTGCATATGCAAATATATTAAAGCGTTTAAGTAGTATCGAGAAGCGTGCACGGTCTTTTACTAAAATTGCATGTGTAGGTACATTAAGATAAAATATAATGTGGTGGAACAAAAAAAATTAATCATCAAGAAGTTTATATTTTAAATGACATTTGTATACGCGATTACTTTCATTCAATCCACCTTAAATTCTTAGGCCCACAAACTGCCATTTTAATCGTGTAAACGAGCAAACCATTGCAAATTAACCTTCTTGCTTATAATTTGTATCTTTGCGAAATTTTATGGAAGCTGTTTAAGGCATACAAGGCATTTTAGTGCTCAACATTTATGTTATTTATGGAGTCATTTTGATCGTTGTTAACAATACATTTTTTTATCTATCCTCCTGACTGAATATAAATTACGAAAACTTCACTTTCATAGGAATATTTATTTGATATTATTCCAAATAAAGAACTAACATGAGATCACTAAGTAATTATGTTTATTTTAATTTTCTAAATAACAATTTTCTTTATAGCCCATTTAACTCAAAATTACAAAAAAAAAACAGGATTTACAGTAAAAATTTTTTTGTATGAGGTAAACCTTAACTTTTTTGAGTATACTAGATTATATTAAGTACCTCATATTACCCTAGTCTTTCTATTAAATTCATTTCAAATATTGTCCTATTCTTAATTTAATTAATATTATAAAACAAGAAGAGATACAAACTCGGAAATTAACTATAAAGAAATTGAAATGATTATTAATTCGATAGGAGAATCTTTATGACAGAGAAAACGTTCAGTCAGCTCAAGTCTCAGTCAGGAACTCAAAATAAACAAATCAGTCAAGTATTGCTGTTAACGAATTTGTTGGCTGTCAATGTGAACATAATACACATGTATTTTACCATATAATTAATATTATTTAATAGTAAATAATCAAACACCAGATTTCATAGATAATACAAATATATGGCAACACTCGTAATTAATTAATTACCGCGAAAGTATAAAATTACCTTAATTAATTGCTAATTAATAGGCTATGTATTTATTTTTTTTATTTGTTTAGTTTAGCACCGAAAAATTTATTTATAAATTTAATTATTAAAAATTTGTAAATACTAGAGTTCTAAATATTTGTTTAGTGGTAAAGGAGTCTCAATGTCAATAATTTTATTTATCTATTTAATAAATCGAAACAAAAACAATCTAATGTTAAAAAAATTTAAGAATATAAAAATGAATATGACAAATATGATTTAGTGTTAAAAAATTTGACTATCAGAGTATTAAAGTGAGATCTAAATGCATTGTTGACCATTTTTTCCATTAAAAAAAAAGAGAAATAAAAACGGAATTTTTCACAATTTTCTTAATTAATCTTAATTACAAGTCACATGTGCACCATACTAAGCACGTTGACAGGTAAGTTTTTCAGTATCATGACAGGTGTTGTTTGAAGTTGTGAGCGTATCCAAGATTGCAACACGAAAGGTCCAAATTTGCGCACGTGCGCAGTACTTTCGCGCAAGACACATAACCGGTCGCGGCATGTCTCATCTCATTTCATCGTTTATATATCGCGTGACACGTAAGCAAGCTATCACCAACAAGAAGTAAGTTAAGACTTATGCTTATTTGCATAAAAGTATTCAATTTGACTTTTTTTTTTCCTCTCATCAACACTGAAACTGAAAGTGATGAATTCTCGATTTTTTCTATTTTTATACAGCCTTTTCTACTTCAACAATTTTTTTCCATCACCAGCTAAATCTTATCGCTTGCTAAAAAAATAAAAAAAAAACCCATTGACATTGGTACAAGTTTCTCCGATTTTTATGCCACGTATCGAACATGCGATTTCTAGCCGCAGAAATTGAAATTTGAGACGTCGAGAAACGATTCCCGTGGGAAATATTACGCTTTCACGGTCATTTTCCATCGGACCGGTTAATTTACGATATTGGATTGGCGAAATAAAAAATAACACAACATTCATATGATGGTTATTATACTGAAGAATCTCATAAAATGATGACGATATAACCTACTATTTAGTTAATAAACATCATAAAGTTGAGAAAAAAATGTTGACAACTGGTACAGTGTTGCAAATTGCCCATTTTTGTAACCTTATCCAAATAAAATCTCTACGAGTATTAGAATCATGAATTTTATATATGATCATGAAATTTATAGTCATTGACTTGTATACCTGCGATATAATTGGACACGATGATTTCAAGCATAGATTTCTATAATTATTAAAATAACTTGAAAAACAAATACAACTTATTTTTTGGTACTCACATAAATATTTCACGCGGATATATAATTTTGAAAAAGCGACAACGATCTAAATGTTACTGCAAGAATTAACATTAAATCATAAAGTCGTTGACTTATATGGCTACAAAGCCCTTACTTATATATTATTACCTTAGCCTTGACGAGTCTCTTCGACAACGGTTCTGCCATAATAGGTAGACATCACTTATTCTCGTAGCTCCTTCACATTCAGATTCAATTTCACATGTTTCAAATTAATCCTATTAATTATTATTAACCCAAACGAACTCACTATATAATTCTCTTCTATCTCACATTACAAATAAAACTCAAAAAATCATCATTTAAAATCAACACAAGTATTATATCCTGTTTCGAATCGTAGCTAAATATTGCGATATGTATCCTTAAAACAACCGCAAATATCTTTTTCTCCTCATATAAATCACAGCACACATATATATCAAGCAGACCTTGCGGTAATTTTGGAACGTGAAAAAAATTTCGAATCGTTTAAAATACTTAAATTAACCAACTCAATTCGTTTGACCGGTTTAGTTTTATTACACAACAACGTCCAAAAAAAAAAATCACAATCAGATATTGCGTAGATCAATTTCCATACACATGTATCCTTTCTTGTAATGCAAAAATATAGAGACACGATTTAAAAAGACACGTGCGAATGAAGTGGTTTAAGCTGAGGGAATGATAGACAGATAGCTGCAGTTAGGAACTACCACCGGAGAGTAATCGGTGTAAGAGGAGGCGGTTTGTGAAAGGCCGGATCCATTACCAGTGGATCCGGCTATGATATGGATGGAGCCAGGATGATCACTAATGGCACGGATTACAGCAGGAGACGTGGTACAGGCAATTCGGGAGTAGCCTGGTCACCTGGACGACACTACAGACCACTCTGGGTCCTATGCCCCCATCCGAGGCATTCTTCCCCTACTCCTGATGCTGCTAGTCGCGAAGACAAGACATACGTGCCGCACGACGGTCCGTGGCCTGACTCTCTGGGCCAAGCGTTGTGTGGCCCCTGAGGGCACGTCGTTACTTCTGCATCTACGGTGTACAGAACTTCTCCCCCTCCGCTACTCCCCTCTAGTATGTTGCCACACTGCTCTTGGTAGCGGACCCGCGATTGTGTTCGTCGATATCCAAGAAGAGAAGTAGGAGAAGTCCCAAGTCTGCAAAACGGACAAGGGCATGTGTGGGTGTGCAAAGAAGTGTACATATAATGTGTGACGCGATCTCCAGTCTCAAGCTGCTGCTGCAGCTGCGAACCGGTTATGTGTCCGGTGTGCCACGGCTAAAACTCCTAAAAGACGTGAACGAATGGCGAAAACAGCCAAAAGAATAAGGAAGAGAGAAAGAACCGAAAGCGTTAATGCTCAAGTCCATTGCCCGCGAGGCTAACTTGAAGTGGTTTTTTCTTCAATCGGTCCTCTGCCCTTTTTTGTAAGGGATTATTGCGGTAACACGAGGGAGGGAATGTATGTCGTTTATTTGACAAAAGGATCATCGGTTGGCTGCAGAACATGATGAAATCAGTGATGCTGGGATCAAAAGTTGATGGCTTTCAATATTTTTTAATCAGAAAAATTTTTAGTTAAGCTTCAATACTTTTAGTTTGGATTTCTTAGAAAAAATGTTTCTTCTAAATAATAACTTGAAGCACTTAATTGAAGTGGACTTATGTAAAAACGAGCCTAAATAAAAGCTTTTCTTGATGGGAATAAATTTGTTTACCCGTTGGAAATTTAAATTACTTTTTTTGCTGGAAGAAATTAATGATTTGTTATGCATCGTCATGAAAAATAAAGAAAGAAAGAGAAGATTCTAAAAATCTATCTTGATGTATACAAAGGTCCTCCTGGTCGATCAGTTAGATTTACGTTTGACTGACTACAGCAATTATAGAATTTCTCTTGGAAGAATTCAAGAGCAGAATGTCAGAACGACTGCTGGGAATTTACCGGTAGTTGGTTCTTACACAATCCTTTACTTCACATCCTACATCATACTACTTGATACACACTCACATGTTGCTCACCATATTTTATAGCTTTCGAATAAGATACCGTGATAACTATGATGCGCATTAAATAATAAATTAACTATCAAATTATTTATAATACTCCATAAACAATTAATCGAAATACACATACGGAAAATTGAATAAGTTTTCAACAATTATTAGATCAATAACTCTGACTGTTTTGAAAATACTTTCGAAGTAAAAAATGATTAATTATAAGAGATTATCAATAATTTCAAATGTGATGATAAATATGTTTATTAGAGAATTTTTTGTAATATTCAAAACTTTCTCAATATATTCCTTGGTAAAAGCAAATAGCATCTCACGATCGATTATGAGATATAACAATATTTGTCATGTTGTAACTATTTATTTGGCTACCATATTTACAAAGAATAATAATAGACTGAACAAATTTCTGTGACGGTCGCCTCACAAACCGTTTTGTTCGGTATGTTAAATACTAAATTTAATAATACTTGATTTATTTGAAATATACAGGAATAAATCGCTGATAAAGGTGGGAGCACAAAACTATAGCTGCTACAATGATGTTGATGCTATAAATGATTGTTTCATTGCAAACAAAAGCAAATTGAAATACAAGTTAGAACATAATTATGCCTAATGGAATTTTTTTGGTAAGAAACATAATAATGAATTACAATATAATCATACATGTATTTATAGAAACAATATACAATTTAAACGACGATACACTTAAAGCATCAACGAAATTAATGAATTAACCAAGGGTTGAACGATATAGCGTACGTTTAATCCGTTATGTAATTAATGAATCAAAAACACAATGGTTATGGAGGTTATACACTGAAAATTTAATTAATACAGAAAGATTTTGACAACTGTATCATTATTGCTACCCGAGTAAAAATAATCAGTTTTTGGGCGCGCCTAAAGGAGACCCAATTCGAGCCCAAATGATTTTCCAGGCCTACAACGCGCCCAAATCAAGTCTAAAACTATTTTGCAGGCCTAAAACACGCTTAATTGAAGCCCAATAATATTTTCTAGGCTTACAACACGCCCAATTCGAGCCCCAAAATATTTTGCAGGCCTAAAACGCGTCCAAATCAGCCCTAAAATTATTTTGTAGGCCTAAAACACGCCCAGTTAAAGCCCAAAAATATTTTTGAGGCCCATAATGTGCCCAATCTAGGTCTAAAAATATTTTAAAAATCTAGAAAAGGAAAAAAAATTGTCATAAAAACTTATCATCAAATTAACTTTCGGTGCTACAAATTTACATTTGTAATAATTTATTGTCATCATTGTCGAATATAATCTTAGAAAATGGGCCTGATTTGGGCGCGTTTTAGGCCTGCAAAATATTTTTGGGCTCGAATTGGGCGTGTTGTGGGCCTAGAAAAAGTTTTTGGGCTTCAATTGGGCTCCTTCAAAATTTAGGCCTGTAATGGGCTCGTTTTGGGCACCGAAAATTTCTCTAAGTCAAGATTGGGCTTCAATCGGGCCTGTATTGGGCTTATTTTTCATTTTGGGCGTGTTTTGGGCTTCTTTTGGGCCTATTTATTTCTACTCGGGTAAAACAATTTACAAACAATCAAATACATAATGGTATTGTAAAGGACAGAACACTAAATTTCTTCCGAATATACATATAGATATAGTCCATACTGTAATTTTTAGTTTGACTCCACTCGTCGTCAGGTATATACACGGTCACAAAATGTGCTTTGTGTGGTAATTTTCAGTGCTTAATTTTTGACCTTATTGGCCGATGCCACCTCACTTCACTCGGTCAAACTAAAAATTGCAGTACAGACTATATCTATGTATATTCGGAAAAAATTCAATATTTAACATATGGAACAAAATGGTTTGTGAGGCGACCGTCACAGAAATTTGATCAGTATATTATTATTCTTTATAAATACGGTAGTCAAATGAGTAGTTACAACATGACAAATATTGTTATATCTCATGATCAATACTTTTTGCGAAATCATTATAAAAGACACTAGGCAGAACTGGTAGTAATGAAATCTGAAAAGAGGGCTTTGTGCAAAATAATAAATGTTTATCAACTGATTGAAACATTAGTAGCTAGTTGCTTCGCGATGAAATACGATATTCTTTATTGTTAAGTTTTTGAGAGAGGGAAAGTAAAAGATGTTCATTTTAATAACATGGTCTGTGAAGCTGTGATGTCCATTTCTGCCTACATGAAAGAAGATTTGATTTAGTTGAAACAAAAACCTAGTGTCATTATCGAGAAAAATTAAAGATCTACGACCTCTAATTCTTCTCGGTTGCAAATCTCACAGGTTGGGGAACTTTCTATGACGGAGTAGATGTGCAAGGTAGATGGTCATCTGACGAAAAGTTCCTTCATTTTAATAATCTAAAGCTAAAAGCTGCGTTGTTGCATTAATATGTTCCGCTAAAAATCTGTCAGAATACAGCAGTCTTTTAAAAATGGACAATACCTCTGCGTTGTTTTATATTTATAAAAAAGGTGGTTTTAAAATTGAGAAATTACATGATTTGGAAGGATAAAACTTGAATTACTATGATTATTGTTACTCTTCCAACAACTGTTATTAAACTATTTCTATAAATTTATTCGGTTATCACCAGCCATCGAAAGTAATGAACAACAACAATTGGTGGTGAGCTTTTGATCCTGTAGAGTTGCTGGTTCTTTATCAATGTCATTTGTTAATTTTTCTTGAAAAATAAAGTGTTGTTTATTCGTCCTTTACGGTCTCCATTAGATCGTTTCGTCGAGTTTTTGATAGAGCCGAATATCATCAACAGCAAAATCGAAGTCAGAACTAATGATAAACTGAAAATAATAACGTCTAGATGACTAGAGAATAGTCAGTTTATTGAGCGAAATATTTATTATGCTCTTCTTTAAGAAAAAAGATAGAAATAATTATTTATATCACCACAGAGAAAAATAGTTCTTAATATTTATAATATTAACTTTTTAAAATAATAATGATGTCATTTATATCAATAAAAAAATATAACTAACAATAAATATTTGTTCCAATTGTTATCAAAAACTCCATGAATCGAGGAGAAATATTTCCTTAAATCCACTCTTTTCTTCAAATTATTCGTTTAGTACCATGGTGTCCCAATTCCAGTCCGTCATTGATACTACATTAAGTTCAATTTCACATCATAAATGAATGTATAATAATAATAATAGTTGTAAGGTGGCGGAAGACGATGTACGCCTGGCTTAATAAAACTCGAAGCATATATTTTGTGGCATATGTTTCCGAGGTACGGTCAGTGCTCACCAGTGGAGAACTTAGCTCGTGCCTGTTTAACCACGTTGCAACGTGGGGAAACAATACGGAGTTCGCGCGCCTCCTTTGGACTTGGAAACTTTCAGTTCGTACCGCACTTGACGAGCAGTCAGGTGTACTCTGTTCATTTCAACTAAATACAGAATCTACATTCAAATAAAATTCATTCATGTGAGTTTGTGTTGAATATTCGTAACTCAAAGTGTAATACAAAACTGATTACTTCAAAAACAAGTGACTGTTTAATTAATAAATCAATTAGTTTGATTGTAAATTAATTAATTGACAAATATTATCATCATTGAGGAAGATTGAAAAATGGATATTTCAACTAACAAGGTAAGAATTAAACATTCGCTGATTTTGTAATAACATTTAAATAGAGAAATTGAATAAAAAGTAGGCGTAGAATTATGAAATAGAAAATGAATTATAATTTTACTTTTGATTAACTTCCTATGGATGTCTATCATATTCAACGATGCCGCACAAATCTACTGACATGCAATTAGCAACGAGTGAACGTATTACTCATCAAGAATTCATATAAAACTTCCAACTCTCAATGCATCTGTATATTAATGTAACATTAGTATACCTGCAATTTCGAATATCCTCTATTCTCTTTCCATTAAATGCCACACAGTGAAAATAAATAATGTTTCTGTATCTTGTTACTTTATTTACATAAAACTCCAAGTCTAGCTCATAAATAAAATGAAACATCTAACGAAAGCATAGATTTTTTTTCCAAACTAGTGAAAATTTCAATTAAAAAAAAAATTAATGAGAAATATAAATGACACGCGATTGAACACGTGTTATTTTACTTTTGCATTCTTCTAATTATTAAACTTATTCTGATCTCTCTAAATTCATTTACCCCATTAATCCATGATTTTAATTAAAACTCATTTATTATAAAACTTTTTCTCGATTTGCTCCAGTTATTAAAACAAATTAATTTTATCAAACGACATATGTTTGAAATAAAATTATTTTGTTATAAAACAGCAATAAAAATGATTGTCCAATTTTTTTGTTATCATGAGAGGTAGAATTGTAAAGCGTTTGTTATATTATGTCATGGATAAGTCCGGGGACGTTGTCACGCAACGATTGTTTTCACAGTGGGGTGGTTGCTCGTGAGACGGGATACAGCACCAGACGGTGGGGTGTTGTCTGGTTATACCCCGTATGCTGTTTGCTATCATTGAGGGATACACGCATGACAGGTGTGGGAAGTGACGTCACGTGCTTAAAATGTAATTATATACAGTTCTACAGTCATACCTAAATTCTGTACTCTTGACACCCATATGATTTTGAACAATAACAAAGCCTACTAAATCACTTCGTAGATTTCTATTCAGTACCCGCATCAGGGCTCACCTAGTCCATGATAAATTCTACCTTCATCATTGATAAGAGCGTTGATAGAATGATGATTTTGTACCAGGAGATTTGAATTATCTCCTTTTTTTATGGATTTTAAAGGTAATATACGGAAAATAGAAAACATTACTGAGTACTGTGTTACACAATAACATCTAAATTTAAAAATTACTTTTATAAAAATGAATCTAAACATGAATTATTTCTTTTTGACATAGTGCTGATTACTATGCAAAGTAATGACATCAAAAGTTCTGCACATTAATAAGTATCGTGTTCACAAGAATCATTTATGTTTTTTTTTACGTATTAAAAAAAAATGAATGCAAATTAATGAGATCTGGAAAATGAGTATTAGGCAGAAGATTACTAAAGTTACTGAGAAGTTCATACCCCCTTGTCTACCATGAAAACTTTTGAATGCACGCGATGGTCATGTGGCAATCGATTGTGTCTGCGTTCTTTGTCCAGAGCTGACATTGAATACTAATTACTGCCAATTCTAATGTAAATGATACTTAATGCTGTGGAACAAAAGTCTCACTACAAAGACCAAAGTAGTGCCCTTTTGATAAAAAGTACCAAGACAACAAAGCCTTTTAACTATTACTTCTCTTTCTAACAACACATGTTGATGATCTCTTTTATCAAATTAAACTATCAAATAATTAAGTGAAAATTAATTAATTCATTTCCAAAGAAATGAATACATTTATAAGCCAGGGAAAAAATAATATAAAAAAGTACTTCATAATGTAAAAATTTTTAATAAAATCCCGTTATCTCTTTGTCTATTTGTTTTTTTTTTTTGGTGTTTGTACATAAACCTCCAAGTACAGTTACTCATTTCTTCATAAGCGTTCTTGATTTCGTTTTCGAAGTCACTGAAAACCAAATGATTGAACATAAATGTCCCACATCCGTCAAAGGGTTACTGACATCACCAACTTATTTTTATGTATTTCAATCAAAAACTAAGAGTTATAATTTTTTTAATACCATGCTTTCTGAGTACTTCCGGATACTAAATTTACTATGCTACTACTTGTTCTCTTAATGTTTCCGTCAGATACAAACAATTATAATTCTCCATTGAACAATAAATTTCCGTCTTACTATTTATTTGTAAACTTAACATACAACCAATTACGCTTTTTTATTCATTAAAAACTAATAAAATTAACTTCTTCAAGCTTTTCATGATTTTTCTCACGCACTGTAAAGTAAATAATGTAATAAAAATTTAAAAAAAAAAAAACTTTTTCTAAAGTAAACTCAATAATTGGCTAACAAATCAACAATTCAATTAAAAAACAATCAAAACCAACTATATAGTTCAATTTGAAATAATTCTGAGCAAAACAATTCATAAAATTAACTGGTAAGAACTCCATTCTGGGAAAAATTCATGAATGGAGTAATTCGTTCATGAGGTAGTTTTTATGGTTTACTTTAGTTGTGATTATTCAGCACGAAAACCTTGTTAAAAAATAACTCTTTCCTTATAAAACTATTCTAAGAATTCATTTCAATTGATCCAACATCATTCCCAAGTCTTACAGAGTATCTTATCATGTAAAATATACACATTACTCACGAAATGACATATTCTACTTACATTCATAATTGTGAATAACAATCTCAAGTAAAGTAGGAGAATCTTATTATTTAAACTCTAAATAATCTAATAATTGATATATAAATTCTTCAACAATCCTAGACGTGACGGATATTTCTCAAATAACTCAAGATAAAAACAGTGACAATAATCACAGTTGCTTTTACTGATACTAATTCAACAGTAAAATCTAGATCATAGCCTAATACGGATTATGACAAAAACGAGTATCTCAAGTTAAGAAGACTTTCTTTGATATAAATAATTAGAAAGTAGCAATAAAACATGATGCAAAGAGTAGTATTAAATTTACAAGATGGCCCATTTCACGTTGTCATAGATTGTTTGAGAAAAATCTCAAGTTTAGCAGAAAGTTATAATATTGCGCAAGATATTGCGAGAGTTCTTTGTTTCTCACAGTTGGGATCACTGCTCTTTTGATAGCATTACGTTAATCAACGTAAGTAGATCCATAAAAAAAAATGTCAGTTTACACATAAAGAAGACATAAAAAGATGTGTTTCATTGTAATGCTTGAGGACGTTTTTACACTAGGCTTTCTCTCTGACACCAGAATACATATTCTATGGTGATAATTACAGCAATTTGAGCAAAGAAAGAGTCTTGAAAATTCTAGGATGTTTAAACATGAGAAGAAAGCGTTTCAATTTTTAAAATTATACTTTGGTCCATACTTAATTCACGAGACATATCCAAATTATCATCATTATCATCAGCATGATCATCACCATCATCATCAACATCAGCATCAAAACATTGTTTTATCAGTAGAAAACAAAAAGGACAAATCTTACTTACAACCGGTATTGAAAGAACCTAAAGTAATTGATAAATATCACTCACGTTTGCAATAATTATCATCATACTTTAATAAAAGTTGTAAATAACAAGATGATAAGAAAAACGTGCCAAACGTGTTATTGCTGCACGATGTGCGCAGGCTGCGAGCGCTCACGTGCGCCGAGTATCAGGCTAGCATATAGTGTTAGCGAATCTCAAGAGTTTAAGTACTGACAAAGCGAGAAGGATTGAGGGATTAAAGAAAGATAGTGATTCATAAATTGTAGAATACGCGCGCGCGTTTAAACTACTTGACCACTGACTCTCTTTGCGCCGGCGTGAAATGAAATGCAATGATATACGCTAGATAATACAACTAGCAAATGATGTTGTAACAGTTTTATGTCGCGCTTTGCGCACTTAACTAACAACAATACCGTAGATTATTCATCCCAATGATGTTCTATTAAGAATTTAAAATATGCATATAATACAATAATCAAGTTAATTACATTTATAAAAGTGTAATTATCACGCTAATAGTATCTACTTCACGGTCTAAGAGATGATGTTAAATAACGGGTTCAATTTCAATGAAGGTCTTAACCGAAAAATTATTTAAATAAGCAACGCAATATAATTGGCTGCTTTTTATTCTCAGTTATTCTTTTATAGCTATTTTATTGTTATATGAACATAATAATTCTATAGAATTATCTATTGAATTTCAACATAATCACATGGAGCACATTTAATTATAATTTACATCTTATTGAAACCGTGCTTTTTTTCTTTTAATTATAATAATTATTTGTTGATGTTTGAGTCAACAGTTGTTTTAAAATTTTAATATATGTATGTAGAAGAATATGTATGACAAAAAAAAATGAAAAACAATTAGACATTCTACTTAACAACCATCATAATGACTAGTATTCAGATCTAATCAGTTGACCTAATTTCATGACAATCACTGTTCTTCCAGGCGCAATATAATGAAACCAAGCAGAACTTGAGAATTACACTGGCTTTACTATCTAATTGACCACAACCTGGCTAATTAATCAACATCCCGAATGGCTTCGGGGTTCTACCTAGTTTTTCCTCAGCGAAAGTACCGCACTATCATTTTGCAATACGTCAAATTATTATATTGATGCATGAATTAAGGCGTGGCTATCATCAACCACTTGAACATCATCCGGATGCTGAGGGTAGGAATTATGCCAACAACTGACTCTTGTTGGTGCATTACGAAATGATCTCGAAGGTACTCAAGTCAGTGGAGTTTCACTTTGAACCATCGAGGAAAGTACGCTTTAAAGTTGATCTCTGGAATTTTCTGTGCGTGCTGATCTGCATCGTGTCTCCCTGTCTCGCTAGGAATCATCCACCGCAATTCCTCATAAATGGCCAGACCGAGATTGTCGTCAGACTTCGAGAAGGTCCAGAAACACCAGTTGGTGAGTATTTCTTTTTTTTTTGGACTTTAATTAAATAATTGAGCTTCAGTTATTTATTGATGTAAATTTTTGATTGGATGGAAAGCAATTTTATTTTATTGCATCATATTGATTTTTTTCTTTGAGTAACTTGATAGTTTAATAAGCAAGTTGTACGAGAAATCAATCAAAAATATTAACTAACAATAAAAATTGGTTCTATAAATAAAAAATCTTAATTCAATAATATCAGTAATCGAATGGAATAAAATTTTTTCCAAGTAAGAAGATCAATGTTCGTAAATTCTAGTGGTAGTAATTAAGGTAGTACGATAACGTTGAGTACCTTATTATCAGTTTGAAATATTTACTTCATTTATTGACCAAAAAAAATTGGTTTTTTCTCAGGAAGTTTAATTTACAAGCTCAAAGGAATTGACCCAGACGGTGATGATTTGACATTCGGAGTGAAAGATCAACTTGGTTCTGATGTTATTCGTGTCGAGAACTTTGGTCGCCAAGAAGCCAACGTATACCTAAACAAATTACTTGACCGTGAGGTATGTAAACACTTAATAAACAAAATTCCTTAGATTGTTGGACCATCAAACCCTAAGATGCTACTGTGGCTAGATAAGGATATTCGCATTAACTTAGTGATTATCTTAGCTAACTTCAATTACCCACGCGAGGAGGTTCCGTGTTTCTTGGGAGAACGTAGCGTAACATAAAAGAGACCAATCTCTTCAGAATCTTCTTCCTCAAGGCATCGTGACCGTCACGCTCAGCTTGACGCTTTGCTCGCCGCAAATCGAATCGCCTGAGCGACGATCCAACGTCGTAATAACATTGTCAAGTATATTAAAGTGAAACTCGAATGAAAACTATCAACCATCCAAGTGAAAAGACTAAAGTGCCGCGTTTCCGGATGGTTTTCTCGAATCGGTCCAATGAACATTTGTGCTTATATTCTTCTATTAAGACATTCATATAATGACTAATGATGTTTATAAACATTTTAGACCAAAGATGAGTACGCATTAGTGTTGACATTGACCGATGGCAAGTTGGGAGATGGAAACTTTATTACTCAAAGTCTTCTCTTACTTGTGGATGACATTAATGATAATGCTCCTGTCTTTCGTTCTCATCCTACAACCTTGACAATAAGAGAAGACTCGGGACCTGGTATTTTAACAACGGTCGAAGCTACTGACGCTGATGAAGGTGCTCATGGTCAAGTGGTCTACCAGCTGCAAGAACTTGACGGAGATAATGATGTATTCTCCATCTCTACTGTCAATGGAAAAGGTGTTGTTCGACTTGTTGGCAAGTTAGATTATGAAAAAAAATACCTCTACCAATTAAGAATTCTCGCGGTTGATCGTGCGATCAATGGAAAGGTAAATGAATAGTAATTTTCCTATCAACAAATCATTTATAAAGACATGCAATGATTTTTTTTTATATCTTAGGTAAATACTGGCACTTCAGCAATCTTGGTAAAGATTCAGGATGTTGAAGATCAACCACCAGAGTTCATTGCCATGACTCCAGTTGCTAAAATTAGCGAAAATGCTAAAATAGGAACTTCCGTACTTCAAGGTTAGTTGAACACTATATTTTTAGACAATTGCTTTTTTTCACTCATCGATGAGTGAGTAATTTCCTTATACGTTTTTACAGTTCGAGCAATAGACGGTGATAAAGGAATCAACAATCGAGTATCGTACAGCATCACCGAAGGACCTAGACATCTTTTTGACATTGATTCTCATACAGGATTGGTTTTCACTCGATCTCAGCTGGATAGAGAAGCAGATGACAATAGTGAAGGAGCATTTGTTCTAGAAATAACTGTTAAAGAAATATCAAAAAAAGTGCCAACACCTTCAGTCACGACTGAGGTCACTATCATTCTTACAGATGTCAATGATGAAACTCCCAGGTTTCGAAATGATCGTTACATAGCTGAAATTAACGAAAATGCTCCAAAAAATACTCCAGTCAATTTCATTGGTGATGCATTTCCAGAAGTTTACGATCATGATTTAGGAACTAATGGAACCTTTCAAATGTTCATCAACGGTGATGGAGAAATATTTGAAATCACACCATCACGTGGTATCAATGAAGCTCCATTTCTCATTCGTGTGAAAGAATCATCAGAGTTAGACTTTGAACGTCGATCAGTGATAAATTTTACGATAGTTGCCAAAGAACTGGTTCCTTTTCAACCAAAATTTAGTGTAGTGCCAGTGACAGTTTATATCAAAGATCAGAATGATAATTATCCAGAGTTTACAATGCCTATCTATGAAGTTAACATACCAGAGAATTGTCCTGTCGGAACGACAGTCGCGTGGGTGCAAGCATCGGATGATGACAGTGGTAACTATGGTACTCGTGGCATTAGATATACTAATTTAGGTGGAAGCATAGCTTACGCTTTGAAGTTAAACTCAACAACCGGTATCATTACCGTGAAGGATACTGGACTTGGTTTCGACCGCGAGTTAGTAGCCCGACATTATCTCACGGTAGAAGCTCGTGATGACCTTGGAAAAGGAAACCGCAATTCCGTCCAGCTTGTGGTTAATATTGATGATGTTAATGACAACCCTCCTGTATTTCTTCAGACTAAATATGAAGCTGTTTTATTGGAAAACAAAAAAACATTTGAATCACCAGTTATCGTCGAAGCCTTTGATATCGATCTCAATACAACGAGAAACTCTGAAATTGTTTATTCTTTAGCTCCCAGTGAATTCTCTCGTAATTTTACAATTGATCCAAAGCGAGGTATTGTCACCCCTGTAGGTGGTATGGACTATGAAGCCTTACCAATGATCCCTGGTCATCGTGAAACGTCAATTCGTCCTTTAAAATTAACTATTCGAGCTCGAGATAAAGGAACACCAAGTCTGAGTTCAGAAGCACCATTGATAGTTTATTTAAAAGATTTGAATGACAATGAACCAATGTTTGAACGAGCTTTATATCAGAAAAATATTCCAGAAGATTTACCTGGTGGTACGAATATTCTTCAAGTAAAAGCATGGGATAAAGATTTATCTTCACCAAACAATAAGCTAGTATATAGAATCCAACATGGTGCTGGAGATAAATTTGTTATTAGTCCAGAGAATGGAATAATTAAAGTGGCACCAGGTTCTAATCTAGATCCTGATTTAACATCTCCCAAAACAACCAAGTATGTTTTAACAGTAGTAGCCATTGATAGTGGTACAGAAATTCAAAGATCTGCCGAGGTTTTAGTAAATATTTCAATTGTTGATGTGAATAACAAACCACCGGTATTTATTGATCCTGGTACGGTTGCTATTAGAGAAAACACCCAAGTTGGTGCATATGTACACCGAGTTGTAGCCAACGATCCAGACATTGCGCCTGTTTTGCGGTATAGAATCGATCCTAATTCATCAGAGGCTCGCAATGAGGAAGGCACTTTAATTAAAGTTCAAGAATATGACTATTTAACAGCTTTTGAACTCAATGCACTCGATGGTTTATTGAGAGTAATCAAACTTTTAGATCGTGAAAGAGTTGAAACAATAAAATTAGGTCTTGTCGTTGAAGATCTTGGAGCTGTTCGGGGAACACAGACAGCTTCAGCGATATTAAATGTTATAATAGAAGATGAAAATGATAATAATCCACGATTCAGACGTCCATTTTATCGAAGATCAGTCACGGAAAATAGTAAGAATGGAGTTCATATTGTCAGCGTTGTTGCTGACGATGCTGACAAAAATCGAACAATTACTTATTCAATGGAAAGCCCGAGAGAAATTGCAGACCTCGTTCATTTAGATCCGGATACCGGTGAAATAGTTGTAGCAAATAAAATCGATAGAGAACAATACTCCTGGTTAAATTTAACAATTCGTGCAACTGATTCAGGTATTCCACCAAGATCTAGTTTGTCAGAAGTTTATGTACAAGTTTTAGATGAAAATGATAACAATCCTTACTTCATAACTGACATTAATAATATCACAGTGCCCGAAAATATTAAAGTAGGCACTGAAGTGGTACGAATTGAAGCTAAAGATCCTGATAGTGGTGATTATGGAAAGATAACATATCTTTTAGATCGAATGTCTTCACAGGAAAAATTTATAATACATCCAGAAACAGGAGCTATAAGTGTTGCAAATAAACTTGATTGGAAAATAAAAAATAGTTATTTATTAATCATTGAAGCTTGGGATAATTATCATTTTGGGTATTCAACTGGAGAATCACGTAATGCATTCAAACAAGTCGAAGTAATTATAGGAGACGTAAATGATAATGGTCCAAAACTAGAAGTACCGCAGGAGTGTGTTACTATATCAGAGTTTCATGACATGAGAGATGCAGTAGCTGTAATTAAAGCAACTGATGCTGATGACCCATCAACTCCTAATGGTCGAGTAATGTTTAGAATTCTTACGGGTAATGAAATGGGTTTGTTTATGCTAGAGCAAACTGATTATTGGACTGCAAAAATAAAAGCAGTTAAATCATTAAGAGGAAGATTTGGAAATTATTCGCTACATCTGGAAGCTCGTGATCTTGGATCTCCTGTTAATGAAGATAATAAATATCTCAATATTTGCGTATTAGACTATAACGATAATCCTCCAGTATTTTTAAGTCCTCAACATAACACAACAATACGAGTTCCTGAAAATATTACCGTTGGATCAACAATAATTCAAGTTGAAGCTAAAGATGCTGATACAGGATTAAATGGAGATGTGCATTATCGATTGAAGCAAGACCTTACTGGTCACTGGAGAAGCTTTCATATTGATGATAAAACAGGTGTTGTTACCTTGAAACAACCGTTGGATCGAGAGACTCAGAAGATGTATGAAGTGAGTAGATGATTATCATTTTACTTCATTTTCAATGAATGATAACAAAAAAATAATTAATGATTTACAATAAATAATTATCATATATATTTTTTTATAGATAAGAATTGAAGCTTTTGATCTTGGAACTCCAACTCCACTTAGTTCAGATCTGGATTTAATCATCTATGTTAAAAATGTCAACGACTACGAACCACAATTCTTAGTAGACATATTTACAGTTACATTTACAGAAGAAAAACCACCAAAAGCTGAAGAAATTTCTCTACCTGAGACTGTTGATAGAGATGAAGTAGATGATCTAGATGATCCACCCACTCAAGTTTGTTATTTTATCATAGGAGGTAATGATGATGGCTACTTTACCCTTGATATCTTCAGCCACAAACTAACTGTAAGTCCAGGATAAAGATTTTTCCTCTGTTTAATTACATATTCACGCAATCAACATTTATCTAATTGCTAATTATCCCTTGACAGACTGCCAAGAAACTAGATAGAGAGACACAGGAAGAGCATTTACTACTTGTCAAAGCAACTGAAGATTGCTCTTCAGCTCCAGCTAATCAAAGCTTCTTTGATGAAAACGACGATACCCTTTTAAAAGTTGTAATTACTGTAAAAGACATCAATGATCATTCACCAAAGTTTGTTAGCAAAGTTTTCACTGGAGGGGTAACTACAGAAGCAGATTTTGGAACTCAAGTTATTCATGTAAAGGTAATGAATAAATGATTAAACAAAATTTCATTTAATTAAAAAAAAATTGACTTGATGATAATTCTGATAATCTTGCTAGGCTATTGACCCGGATGCTGGAGACAATGCAGCTGTAAGTTATTATCAAGTAGGCAAAGTTCACATGACGTTGACAGAAGGTCTTGATGACATGAACATCCAGCCATTCCTCGTTGATAGACTAACTGGCGCAGTTACTTTGAACTTTGACCCTCAACCACGGATGAAAGGCTACTTCGATTTCATGGTTCTCGCTAACGACACAGATGGTCTTCATGATACAGCACGAGTATTCATTTACTTACTTCGAGAAGATCAAAGAGTTCGATTTGTACTTAGACAACATCCACCCGAGATTCGAAACAGGATTGACAATTTTCGAGAGTGAGTATTGAACTTGATGTATTTCTAAGAAAAACCAATTAATTTATTATTTAAAAAATTTTAGAATTCTTGGGAATGTCACAGGAGCAATAGTAAACGTAGATGAATATAAAGTTCATGAGAATCAAGATGGTTCAGTTGATCGAACGAGGACAGATCTTTATCTACACCTAGTAAATCGTCATGATAATTCAATCCTTGATGTGTCTCAAGTTCTCGAGTTAGTCGATCGAAATATTGAAAAACTAGATACATTATTTAAAGACTTCAACGTACTTGATACTCAGCCTGCAGAATCACAACCAATAGTTCAATATGAACAAGCAGCCACAACATTTTGGCTCTTAGTATTAACCGTTTTTCTCGGTGCATTATTAATATTATGTATTGCTCTTTGTTTATCACAACGAGCTTCTTTCCAACGACAATTGAAGGCTGCCAATGCATCACCTTTTGGAACAACAGACTCTGAATTTATGCGAGGTCCTGGAAGAGTTCCCAATACTAATAAACATAGCGTTGAAGGATCAAATCCTATTTGGATGCATGCTTATGAAAATGAGTGGTTTAAAAGTGATGAGTCATTCAGTCATAGATCAGATCGTGATTCGTTAGATGAAAATGCATTGAATAATGAAGAAATGAATGAAGCAAACTCTGGAGAAAGAGCTACGAATGAAAATATTTATTACACTCAACCAAATCCTACATCAATTTCTAGGTAATTATCAATTACAAGTGAAAAAAATAATAGTTAAATTATCGATGAATTCTAATCACAAATATTCTTTTCAGTGTGGAAAGTATTGCTGATAACCAAAATGGATTCTGCAGAGAATCTCCCATCTATCAACATCACAACCCAGTTCTCAACAACCCCTTAAGTAAAAAAGTCGAAACAACAGAATTATAAACTTCAACCTTACTAATTCAAACAAGTATCATTGTAAATAATTAAACATTTTTTAATCTATTATTTATATTCATAGAAATATATTTTGAGATGCCACAGATGATTTATCGATAGTAAGACATCATTAAACTTACAATACACTATGATTTATTTATAGTAGTAAAAAAGTAATAGAGTAATAATAGAAGAGCATATAAAAATGTCAAAAACAAGTTGATTTAAATCATATGATGATTAACTTGAGAATTGTGTGAGAAAAATTTTGTACATATGATTTTTATATAAATCTTTACATAAAAATAAAAGTGTCTACATAAAGTATATCTAGAGCATTTGTCGTATATAGGGAGAATCGATATAGATGATTTATTCTAGAGAGTGCAATGTCGCGCATTTAAATGCAACGCACACGCAAGACCAAAATAGGTCATTTACACATGTTTATAATTTTTATTAAATTATACTATAAATTTAGAATTCAAAAAGCCAAGAAAAAACCACATCTTCGATACAACTTTAAGTTATTATTTTAATGATGAAGAAAAAAAAATTATAAAACAACCAACTATGTAGTCAAAATTGCAATGAATAATGGAGAAATAATTGAACATAAAAAAAATTATTTAAAATATTTAATTCACGTTTAAAACATGAACTCTAGTCGCGATTGGTCAGTTACACGCCAGTGGTTTGTATTGAATTTTCTATTCAAATTTAATACATCAAATTTCTTGAACGATTCTTCAATATTATTAACACGCAACAAGCTAATCAACATTTTATAAATTTTATATTTAAAAGTTGTATAAATTAATCTAATTAAATTTTCATCTAGACTCAGTGAATCTCTTTAATATTCATTGAACTATTATTCCGACTGATTTTGATTGATACTAAAATTAGAAAAGTCTTTTTATCGAAATTAATTTGAATAAATGAAAGAATTAGAGATCGAAAAAATAAAATAAAAAAAAAACCTCTTCGTTATTCTCTTATCGTCTTTGTAGACATCACGTTTGCGTGCAACCATATGGTAATTTGGAGGAACTAAGAACCGTCGGTCAGTCTCGAATCTCATTCCCCTACAACTTACAAGGCAAGTGACCCAACCTCGCCTCCAAGCAAATATTCTAGACGATAAACTAGTCTAACGTATTCCGTAGTGTTTCCAAGCATTTTGCAACTTATTATTCCCCGTTCTTACACTACTTATTTCACGCTCTTTTAATTTCAAGTAAATTTAACAAAGAAAAACAGTTTTCCATTCACTGATTCACAATCATTGATAAATGTTCATAAAAACTAATGCAAACTCATTAACCAATTTTTCTCAACTATTTTTTACAGTTGTAAAATTTTTATTGCACTATTTTTTAAGACTTGTATATTATTGCAGTACTTCCGGTTAAAGCTATAAAAGCTGCATTGAAAAACGCACCCCTTACTAAATGACAAGGCCAAAGGTTGATTGCTTTTTTCAATGCTGTATAGATCTTTATTATTAAACTAACTCCTCTACATACAAATCACGCAACTACCTCTCACACTTAAACATCCCTTCTAGCAATTGGGGTTCTTCGTATACATATAAAAAGATATAATCCACAAAATTATCAAGTCTGAGTCATCGCACTTAAATTATGTCGTACGCAGTTTATTACAAGTCTTATATAAAGCTCCCTGTTTCATTGATTTTCGATCATATTTCATTATTAACTCTACATAAAGATTTTCGATTTATAATAATAACAATAAAGCTAATAATTATTTTTCCATTGAAATTATCACTGCGTGACGAATTGAAGTATTTCCATCATTAAATCCATTAAAGCTTTTTTTTTAATTGATTAAAATCATCATATAAAAGTAAGTATTAAAATCTTTGTCGTGATTTAATCTAAAGTACAAATAATAATATTGAAAGACATTTACTTGAAAGAAAAAAAAGTTGGCGAATAAAAAAAAGTGCTAAAGAGAGAAAAACTTTGTCACGCAGTGTTATTAACACTACCATTTGAACATCATTGTGCTTATTATTTTTTTTTCTTCATTCTTAAAATTCATAAATTAAATTTTTTATTTAATTACCAACCAATCGTTTATTTATATCTAAAAAAAGAAAAAAATACTTTTCTTTTGTTAATTAACTTTAAAAAAAAAAACGTTTGTCGTAAACATACACAAATGTTGCAATCTAGAATGCATGCTTATAGCATTTGATCTTACATTGGATAATATGCATCGTAAAACATGAATATATAGGTCAACTGCAAGTTGTTTTACATAGTTATATATCAGACTGAATGGTCAGTAAGAAGAAAAATGTTATACTCTACATTAATTTACAAACTGAAAATAAATTTTTCCACGTTTTTCAATGAATTTTTAGCGAATATTTACTATTTTTTTTTTTTAGTGACTTATTCAAGTGTGATAACAAGAAAAATGGTTGAAAAGTCATTGAAGATATTTTCCCACTTTCATTTGATCACTGGTTAACCAGTAACTAAGAACAAACCGCCCTACGATAGTAAATTGTTGATATAAGGGTGGTTAACCACTATTATTTATCCCTTCTACCATTACCCCAAGTACCGTGACGTTACGTCCACGTGACGACGCCCGGCGTCAGCATCGAGGGGTGACCAACTTGAACACTGCGACAACCCCTTCACATGCCTTGGCGCGTTCTTTGCGGCCACGTGCAACCTATTTCTCTCAACACTTGAGACTAAAACAATCATTTGTATTTTTTTAACCAAACTGTTAACAATGTTTTTATCTGCTAATACATCAGTTGACTACTTTTTACGCAGTCTTTTCATCACAAATATACCGAAATACTCCATTGATTAGAATAGTGGTTTTTAAACATTCAGAAAAATATGAAGTTAAATTAACTGTGAATTTAAAAAGTGCATTTTATATCAAGAAGTTGTTAAAATTATTATTAAAAATTTTTTCTCTAATAAATATAGTAATAATTTAATTAATGAAATTAATTAATAATGTTGGTGCTTTTTTAAACAGACATGCCAGGATCATGTCTGATCAAATAACATACTTTTAAATGGATACAAACAGGTGAGTAGGAGAATTTTTTTTGTTGATAAATTCATACAGAAAGTTGGCTTAAATAGAATAGACTTTCTCTATACCATGATGACATTTCAGTTAAAATACCGAATCATTTTTATCAATTTACATATCCACAGACAGATAATAAAACAAATAACAATAGATCTATCAACTGACACTAATGTTCGTCTGACAATAAATGAATCTTGAAATTCCAATTTCACATGAACTAACATAATGGACTTGTGCAAATAAGAATTTTTTGTGTGAAAGCTTTTATCGTTATTAAACGAATTAAAACGAACAATAAATGATTGATAGATTAATCCATTTACTGTTGTAAGATTAAGTAAAGGAGGTCATAAGTATTGTTAAAAGGAAGTGTTTGAGAAAAAACAATTTTGCTACCTACTGAAAATAATGTTTACCTAAGACAGTTGGCGCGAATGATTCGATAAACAAAGATCAAGAGCATCTGACCTGATTTTCAAGAAATTTTAGTGTATACTTACAACTGTAGTCACGCACCAATTGTAGTCAAGCACACGTGGGATGTCCCAAGGTTTTGATGATCAGTGCTACCAAGTTTCTCCTGTTGCATATAAAAAAGGACAACATTCATTATTTAGTTCAAAATTAACTTTGATTAATCTTATTGATCTAATTTAACCCTGAAATAAAAATTTTTGTTTTTATGACTCAATAACTTCCAGTTCCGGCTAGGGTACTTTCCCGTGACTTTACTTGAGATAAGACGATACAGGTCAGATTGGTTTATATAATGAATAGTCTTAATGTGATTCGTTGATTATAAAATCGATGTGGAGTATTTTATCACCTTAGACAATCACTTGTGCTTTTTTTCTTATAAATCATTGTCTACTTTTTTTTTAAAGAAATACTATTATTCACAACTGTCATCAATATTTTAATCTATTATTAAATAATAATAATGAAATGTTCATCCACACTGACTCATTGTCAAATCGACTGATAAGCAACAGAAAAAATCTAAAATCAAAAGAAAATCTTGGTGACAAGTAAAACATACATTGTAATTTATTCATGTAGACTCTTTTAAGTGGAATAAAAACATTAATCATTATTCTTATTAAAGTGAAAACAATATTTGAATACATTAAATCAAATTAGGTGCATTCTAATTATAAATTCAAAATTAAAAATTCTATTTAAAGTGTACTTATTGTGTCATTATTCTACCCTATGTAGAAAATCTTAACATTACAAATTTCATGTTAACACAACCCTTTTACAGTAATTTTTTCTTATTTTAATAATATATTATTACATGCATAAACTCATTTTTAATAGTTTTCAATTTTAGAATTATTATCTGATGATGATTGTCTAAATTTTCTAGAATTATTCTCTATCCATTTATGTTCATGTATTGATATTTTTGTAGGCCAGTAGTTCCCTAATGACCACCGAAATAAAAATCAATTTTGTGTATCCTTGAATATATATGATTGATCGTCAACGGTTGTTTATAAATATTTTATAAGCTAAAGGGCATGACAGAGCTTCTGCATGTAATATTTATCCAATAAATACTGATAACATATTGGTGGAATTAATTTCTATGAACTTTTTGGAACTATTATTACCAAAATAGCTGCAGATCTTATTGTTTATTGATAATTTACTGTAAATTAGCTGCTATTATCTTCAATCATTATATTTATATGCAAATAGATCATGAAAGTAAACTTGACAGATTAGCAAATAATTTTTTGATACAATGCAATGTTATTGTACTGGAATTGAATAAAATAGTTTTTGACACAAACAATAAATAGAAAAAAAAAAACTAAAGACGTTTGCTCTATCACGCAATCTGCCATACACTAGATTGACCACTCAAATGGTGTAAATAATTACTAGCTAATATCAGGCTCATTTAAGAAATTCGTTGAAAAAATCAATGCTAAATTTAATCCAACTCAAGTTTTGAATCAACTGATGTGTTAGTATTATTAAAATAAATACAATAAAGTTTTTTTATTACAAAAGAATGTTTAAATAGGACATAGGTATTAATAAATAAAGTAACAATTATTGCAGTCATTGTCACTAGTATAAGGTAGCATGACAATTCACTCAATTATGACTATCAGTTCTGTCAATCAAGAAAATTAATAACTCATATGGTCACGCATACTTCTTTGCAAAAAAAAAATTCATATGAATAATTATTCATTTCTACTTCTCACACAATTGATTAAAAATAATAATAGTCATTTCAGTTACATATTTGTCATGAAAAAAGTCTATTATCAATTTCTGATCAACAAATTCTAATGGTCTCGATAACTTTCTGAGTTAAAATATATTTATTATCAAATTTACTGTTAAAGATAACTTGACAATAATTATTTTTAACTTACTAATTGAATTGAATATCCCATTGAATTATGCAACTTAATTCTAAATCATTACATGTACTACTTCAAATAAATATTGATGTTAGAGTGAAAAACAAAATGCTAGGATATATCACTTAGGAAGACATAAAGTAAATATTGTCCTGATTGATCATATAAAGAATAAAAGAATCTACTATGACAATGCAATAGTTTTTTACATGAGACACATTCATTCACATGAAATTTATTGTTGATGATATTTAAAAGTAGTATTAAATATTAATAAAATCATTAAAGTAATCAATAATAAAAATTGAAGATATTATTTAAACCAATACTTATTGCAGAATGCTATTGAAAGGATGCTTCAAAATATGGATATCATTGAGTTTAGTCTTGATGGGGACAAAAGGTTCTCGACCAAGATTCGACACATCAACAGATATGGGAATGGTTTTGGTTCCAGCAGATGCAGAAGTTGATTCAGTTATATTTAGATTACGTGCCACAGACCAAGATGTTGATTTTCCACTTGTCTTCGATATTACATCAACTATATCACCAGTTGTACGAATAGAAAATTTACCCTGCACTCTATACAATAAAGTATGCCAAGCCAATGTTATTTTAACGAGACGCTTGACCGCTGGACGACTCCATGATTTTGCTGTACGAGTAAGAGACTCCAAAGGTGATTCCAATTCTATGCAAGCTACTATTTCCGTGACGAATGCAACTACACCACGCGATACGATATTTCCGCATATACCAACACTTATTATGGTACCTGAAGTAAGTATTTTTTGTCTTTTTGCATCTCTTTTCTACGAGTAATTGGAATCCATACTTAAATTTATTCTTTATCGATTCAGGATACAAAACCTGGCAAAGAACTTGATTATATTTTAGTAAAGTCTAATCCATGGAGTGGTAAACCAGTTTATATTGAATTATGGGTAAGATATTTTATTATATTTAATGAATAAATATTTTATAATAATGATGCTTTTTTCATTATTTAGCAACCTAAAGAATTATTTACAATCAGACAACGATTGATTCCTGGTCATACACGAGGAACAATTATATTGACTGGAGAATTGGATTTTGAAACTCAGTCTATGTATACACTCACCATCTACGCTACGGTATTAATAAATAATTATTTTTTTATCAAATATTTAATTAAGATTCATTCTGTAGGATAATTCAGTAAATAATTGATATATATGTAAAGAAAGAAGCTGAAATATTTATTGATTTTCTGAATTCAATTTGTATAAGATTTTCCGTTATTTCGTCATTATTCATTGTTTTTATTAACTTACTAGTAGGAAATTGTTGTAATGAGTCTGATTTTTCCAATGCCAAATTTTGCCATAATTTCCACGTCATCAAACCACGATGTTTTTAATTTTGAAATTAATAAGTTATTAATTATAACAGTTATAAGGTAAATTAATAAGTAATTAACCTTATAACCGAAATGCCAAATCGGTGGCGATAATTTAAAAAAAGTATTCATTTATTATTTTTACTTAACTAAAATGGCGGAAGAAATATAACCGCTTTAGCGTATTCTTAAACATAGAAGTTGAAGCCACGCCAAAAAAACATGATTAAGTAATTAATTGATACTTTTCTTGTACTTCATACTTGAACAAAAATATTAAACAAATAACTTTCACCCTCATTTATTACTCTCACTCGTTAATATGAAATTAATTTTTATATATTCACGTAAAAAATTCTGTAAATAATTAGAAATTGAGATGAACAGCTTTATTAATCATTTTATTGCATACACTAATTCTAAAATCTCCGTTAGGTGGCATATCGCTATTCCGTTGTTTGTATACACAATGAAAGGTTGTTGTTTCTGTTGTCGTTAGTGTAGAAAATATTGGCGCTTTCATTTATTTTTACAGCTAATTTTGGTAATTACCCGAATCATTATTATCGCCGCTGTTGTAGCTGGTGCCAATCAACTCAATCCATAATCTCCGTGAAAAGTTAAAAATTCGTTCTGTATAAAAATTTTTAGACATAGATTTTTAATACATAATTAGTTTTTGTGAGTACAAATTTTATTTTTTGCTAATTGACCTGTTTAAGGGTCATGAAGCATGACTATAATGAATGTATCAGAGTCCAAATAATTTCATGAGCAGGTAAAGAATATTGGAACATCCAATTCTTTTGCTCATCTTGGAATTCCTATTATAACAGTTCCAATTTAGGATAAATAGTTGCATGAATGCGTCTTGTGATAATAATAACGGACGATCATTTTTCTGATCAGCTGCGTCTGTGCAAATATCCTTCACCAGGTGCATTTTGCAACGGATAAGATTTTCCGAATTGCCATCAAAATCAGAATAAATGTTGAGTAGAAAGTGACTGAGAAAGAATGACATTTATTTCCCAACATTCTTTCACTGACAGTCGAAAACATTCTAATAATAATCAGAACTTCATTATATTGAATTCATTAATCTCGCCAAAAAAATTTAATTATTGTAAATGTTATTAAAATCAATAAAAAAAAATCTTTTCATCAAAATACAATTTTTAAAATAAACAATTGAATACTATCAATTATTATCATAATATTCATTGACTTTTGATTATTTAGGACCCTTACACGGAACCAAGAAAAGACACACGAAATATAGCTGGTTTACACTTGATAGTTATCGTTCAAGATGTCCAAGATGTTCCACCTATATTTACATTGGCTCCTCCACTAACAAAATTAAACAATACTGTTCAACCCGTAAGTACAATAATAATTTATCTGAAAAGTATAGTAGTGAGAGAATATTTTGTTAACAAAAGTTTTTATTCTCCAATAATTTTTTTTAATTTTATCAGGGTGACGTCATTCTTAGGGTTCATGCTGAAGATGGTGATAAAGGAGTTCCAAGAGAAATTTCTTATGGCCTGGTATCAGAAGGAAACCCATTCACACCATTCTTCAATATCACTGAAACTACTGGTTTGTGTTAAGTTTTTTAATTTAATGCAAAAAATGTACAAGTCATCCTGTCTAAAAAGTTTCAAGATTTGTAAAATGATATAATAACTTAATAACTTTGATCATTTTCCTAGTACAAATTAAGGCTAGGCTGAACTTAAAACCGATGCCAAGCCCAGCTTTAAGCAAATGATAAATAAACTATCGAAATAAAACAAATTATTAGTAACATTAAGAAGTTCTAAGAAATTAAAGAGCTGTGATTTGTCGTAAATACAAAGTCTTTTCATGATAATCTCATGAACTTTTACACTTTTTTATCGAGTCCTCGATCTTGGACTGGTGGAGGTGAAAGTGAGTCACGTGAAGGTGGTGTAAAGGGTCATTAGACGATGGCAAGAAGGCTGACCGATGGTTGTTGGACAAATTATCGATCCTTACTTACGGCCAGTCCTTACAGTGCGATTTGTATCTCACGTTTTAAGACTTGTATGATATCATAGCTACCGCTAAGACTTTTCTTGTCGTCAAAACAAAACCCTCCGTGCTCTGATATGTAAAATAAGCGTGAATAAATCCTCCTTATAGCTTAAGTTAACATTCAAAGAAAACAACAGTATTTTATGAATTTTTTATGAATTAAATCTACTTATCTGCAATTACCTTCTTATTATGTATGATTCATAGAAATATATTTAGAAAATTCCATCAAGTAACTATCCAATGAATAATGAACTTAATGAATGATTTTCGTGACTTGGTAGGAGAAATCATTTTGGCACGTCCATTAGAGGAATTGACACAAATTACTCATGTTGGAGCTCCAATTGTACTCAGTATTGTTGCTGAAGAAATTCGAAGATCAACTGATGAACCACCAGCTCAAGCAACAGTTGTTAAAGTTGGATTGCTTTTGGGAGAACCAGGAAATAGTCCACCTTATTTCGAAAATGACAAGTAAGTATTTTCTATTTCCGAATAACAATTATTCTACAATTGATAAATTACTTTTTATTTCTTATAGTTATGTAGCTTGGATGGATGAAAATGCAGAACCAGGAACATCAATCATATTTGAAGAGCCTTATATAACAAAAGTTCGAGACGAAGACATTGGCAAAGCTGGTGTTTTTACTCTAAAATTAGACAATAATAATGGAACATTTGAAATTAGTCCTTCAGTTGCAGAAAGAAATGCAAATTTTATATTAACTGTACGTGACAATTCTTTAATTGATTATGAAATTTATAAAAGTCTACGATTTAAAGTAAGTATTTAAAGTAATATTTAACTATATTCATGATTTTAAAAATTTACACAATAAATTTGTAGATTGTAGCCCAAGAAGTAGGACCGGCGACAAATTTATCAGCATCAGTACCAGTGACAATTTTTTTAAGAGATAAAAATGATAATCCTCCAGAATTTGAAGAAGCATCCTATGAAGTAACATTATCAGAAAATGTAACAGCTGGTACTCGAGTAACTCAAGTTCATGCCACTGACAAAGATACTGGATTTTTTGGTAGAATTCAGTACACTCGAATTATAGGTCCTGGTAGCGAAGCTTTTGCAATAAATCCCGATACGGGAGTTATTACTGTAAGCATGGACACATCTTCTCTAGATCGAGAAATAACTCCTCAGTTACAACTCATTGTGGAGGCTTGTGATGAAGATGGCAGAGGACTTAGAGGAACTGTACCATTCATAGTAAATCTTCTAGATGCTAATGATAATGCTCCAATATTTGAAAAAGATACTTATGAATTTGTACTTAATCTTGATTTAACGAATTTTACGGTGCCGGCCATTATAAAAGTAAGTTTCAATTTTTTAGAAATCAATTAAGGTTCAATCCTGTAAAAAATTGATAAATAAATTTGTACAAAATTTTTGAAAATATTGAATAGAATTTAATGATTAAAGATTATCTTTAAACATGAATATTTACCTTTGTTTTTTAGGCTTTCGATGCTGATGCAGAGTCTCCAAACAACGAAGTACGATACGAAATAATCCATGGAAATTATGATAATAAATTTATTCTTAATGATACCACTGGGGAATTATTTTTACGAGAACCAATAACAAAAACTAGAAGCACAAGACATAATGGATACCAAAGATTTGCGACTAAACTTAAAAAGAATATTGTTTCAACATCTGAATCACCTCAAAAAATATCTAGCAGTACACAAAAAACTTTTGATTTATCAACAATTTTGAGTGTTTTGAATGACAATCATACTATTAAAAATCATACTATTAAAAATAATACTGAATTAATTAAAAGAAGAAAACGGGAAGATAAAAATGTGCTGTTTACTTTAACCGTTAGAGCTTATGACCTCGGTAAGTTTAATAATAATAAATGATAAAATTTTTACATTCTTTTGAAATTTTTATAAAAAAATTCTTAATATTTTCATCAGTTTATTAATATTTAAATTAATTGATCAATATTTGATAACTAGTTTCCTTAAATTTTAATTGAACCTAGTATTTTCTTTTGCTAATTCTGACTGTTGAAAGTATAATCTAGATAATATTATTTCTCATAAAGTGTATAAAAAATGAAAAAGGTGTATACTAACTACTAACATGTACACTCACGCAGGTGTCCCACATCTATCAGGAACTACCCAAGTAAAAATACTCCAATCACCTCAAGCTGGTGTTAGAACTTTGATGTTTCTAGTACCAGGAGAACATCCCGATCGCATCAAAACAGCACAAACATTAGCAACTATTACTGGAGGCCGAGTAACAGTAATGGAAATTCGTCCTTATACTCCAGGAAGTTTGCCAAATGGAGTGGAAGATATACCAACTTCAGGAACTGGAAAAAGGTTTGTAACAGTTTTAAAAAATGTCTAATAATAAATGAAGTCAAAATATAATTGAAATTATTTTTGTACAGAAGTATAGTAGTAGCTAAAGTAGAGTACACAGGATCTGAATCATCAGTCGTTGATATCGAGAAAATTAGAGCAGCTTTGGCAGCAAATGGTGTCGGAGTAATTGGCGGTGATATGTCACCTAATGGAAATACAGAAATAAATCCTCCAGTAACTAATCAAACAATTAATAAAAATAATACTTCTCCTTCTCTTGATATTGGTACAAATGGGGGTAAAACTACAACTGTTGTTAGCGATGGAACAAATATTAATAAAACTACGATAATTACAAATCGTGAAGAAGTAGTGAGTAAAAATATTTAATTGTTTTTATTTCAACTGACTGATAATTCATTTTAGTATCTTAAATAAAAAAAAACTTATTTTAGATAGTTTACAAAGCAGAAAATAAATTATTATTCTGGTTGCTGATCATTCTTGGATTACTGGTGTTAGCTGCTATCATTATTTTGATAGTTTGTTGTATTTGCCCGGGATGCCCATTTTATATGGCCCCTAGAAAAAGAAGGGTTCGTTCTTCCGATACATTCATAGCTCGTGTTGATGGACGTCCTAAAAGACACATATATAGAAAGTATCCTCAAACAGACGGTAAGTTTAACATTAGAAAAAAAATTATTTGTTAATTGTTTTTTTTGGCTAATTAATTTTTTCTCTAATAGTTACGTGGTCAGAAAAAAAGCAAGCATGGAGTGCAAACCAACCTCGTGATAATTGGCAATTTAATCGAAGAAATATAAGAAATTATGGAATAGCATCGCTTCCAGGGGATGTAGTTTGTGATGATAGAGATCGAGAATTTCCCCGAAAAGCATATTCTTTAAGATTACAAGATGCAACAGAACCTATTCATATTGTGGAAACTAGAAAAAGAGGCCAAGATCGTTTATATGTAGAAGACGTTGAAGGTTTTAGAGTTAAAGGTTACGACGTTCCTGACATGGATTCACTACGACAAAATGAAATTGAAAGAGGTTCTGACATGACGCGTGAGGCTTACGTGCAAGACATTCGTGAGAAAGACCAACAAACATTTCGAGACCAGCAATTTTATCGTTCAGGAAATGCAGAAGTCATGAGATTGGTAACTAGAGGTGTTGCTGAGGGAAACATAACATACAGACAGCCTGAAATAGTAATCGATCAAGTACATAGAGTAGATGGAAAAGACATTTTATTACGAAGATTCATTGAAGACCAAAATTTGCGAGTAAACCAAGAATATCATGGAAGTATGCAAGATTTAGAAAAACAAAGTATGGAATCACACAAACGACAGAAAGAAGCGTCTATGCAACAGCAGCAACAACCAGAAATAATATTGATACCAGAACAGCTGGAACAAACTCATCGACAGCATATTGAAGAACTCGGTCCAGATGTACAGAGATTGATTATTGACCACGGAATTTATGATAAATCAGCTCAATCTGATATAAAAGAAAGTCAAGATGCCGCTACAGGGACGACTTTAATTATTCAAGGAGCAATTCCAAAAGCTTCTGAACTACCAAAAGAGCAGAATATTCCGAAGTATCCAGTGAATGTTCAACACTATTCCATTCATGATTTGGAATTAGCACGACAAAATGCTCTTTTGACACGATTGCTTCTGGAAAGAGATAGAGGCGTCAATGCAGCAATGATGGATACTGGAAGTTATCTTGAAACCCAAAGCTTACCAGGTCAAGTTGCAGCTGGGACTCAAACTAATCAAACTATTGCTACACAAACAGAACAGCAAAGCAGAAGTAGGAGTGACAATGAAGAATCTGAGGAGGATGCACGGATGAGAAGAAAAATGAGATCGAAGAAAAGGTATGATGGAGAGGCTAAACGAGTTAGAGCATTGTGGATGCGGTCGCCAATTAGAGAAGAAGATAGAGAATATTCCGAGAAAGATACTAACTTTATTAGAAAAAAAATAAAAGATATTAAAGATGCAAGAAAGAGTAATATTGAACCTGAGGTTTTGAGAGAGATATCAGACTCATTAGACGAAACTGGTGACAGGGAAACGCCCGTACGGAATCGTGAATCTTTTGGAGATAGCTCTAATTCACGATATGAATCACGTGATGAAATTCCTCAACGGGATGATTCCTCTTCAATCGAAATGTCGAAAGATGAATACACAAGAGCGCATGGACGGAGAGTTGATGATAGAAATGAGACGAGAAAAAAAGAGAAAGAAGTAACAGGAAAGGAGGAAGCGCAAGGAGTAAAGAAGTCAAGTTTTAAAATATTAGAAAGGGAAATAAGTTCGTTGAGTAAAAAGTTATCGAAATTAACTGGAAAAAAAATTCAAAGTAAGCATGATTCTTATAAAAATAATCAAATGTCCAAAGATTCAGATAATAATGATATAAATGTAACATCTCCGGATACTTATCCTGAAGATGAGAAAAAATTGAAGAAAGTTGACGGTGTGAGATCAAAACGATCCATTTCAATGCAACGAGTTACAAAGTTGGCTTCGAAACATTTGAAAATGCCCGATGGAATAAGTGATAAAAACAAAAAACAACAAAAATTGAAAAGTACAAAAAAGCCTTTGGTCAGTACGGCTAGTTCCGAACTTGAAGAAATAGATAGATTGAAGACACAAGTTACAACTAAGGAATCAGAAGGAGAAACAAGTAAATCCTCTGTAAGAAAAGTAACGAAAGCCAAATTAAATCGACAGGTAGCTGTTAAAGAAAAAGACATATCTTCAGTTGAAAAGAAGAAAGATATTTTAGTTAAACAATCTAAAAAGTTGGACGACAAAATGAAAAAATCTGAATTAAAATTAAAACATATCAAAGAAGATCGTAGTAAAATAAAGAAAGCAGTTGAAATGACTAAAAAATTCATGGAAGATGATCATTCAAAAGAATCTGACAAAAGAATTCAAAAATGGAAAACGAAACCTTCACGAAAACAGGAAAATTCGAGTACTGATGAATCCCAAACATCAAAAGATTCAAGAGATTCGGGTTCAAAAATTTTCTCTAATAAAACATCTGTTACATCGCCAACTGAAACTTTGGAAAGTCCAAAAGCTGGAGAAATAACAGAGGAGATGATAGATATTAAATCAACAACTCTCGATGATCAAAGAAAATCTCTAATAGCACAACATCCGATTGACTCTTCTTCTAAAGAAATTCAATTAATTCAAATGGATGAAAAGAAAGTAACATTAGAAGTTGACAAGCCAAATCTAATTACAATTGAGCCTTTGATAAATTCAAAGAAAAAAGAAGAATTATCAGGAAAGGATCAGGTTGCTACGTCGGAAACAGATAAAAAGAAGGCAGAAGAGTTCCAAAAGGCTGAATTCACATCTGGAATGCTTCCAACGCCTCTTTCTGAATTCTTAATAGGGAAGCATGACAAAAATATCGAAGTATCTACCACTCCTGTTGCTCCTGTGACAGAGACAATAAGTCAGAATATTGGAGATAATTCAGAGGAAAGAAAATTGCAAGCTGCTGAATTAATTCAAAAAGATAGAGATAGCACCAAAGATATAATTAATGCAATCGTTAAAAAAATTAATATCAATGAAGATAAACGCGATACAAAAATAATCGATTCTCCAAAAATAATATCCGAAGAACAAGAAAGAATTGAAGAAATTGAAAAGAAAGTTATTGAAGCATTTGAATCTGCTGAACGAAAAGAACTTGGAATGTCAGATGTTTCAACAGCGAAAGTATCAGGAGTTGATGTTCTTGATGATGCAGATTATATTAAAGATCAAAGTGGACACAAAGCAAGCGAAGATTTCCAGACCGAAATAAAAGTAGAAGCTCTACCTGCTATCTCTCATGCTTTTGCGATTCCTGTACCTGTAATAACTGCAGATATTCCCACGAAATCTGTTGCGAAAGAAGATAATATAAGTGAATTATCCGCGAAAAATGATTCAGATAAAAAAGTAGAAGAAAAATGTGATGAAATGTCTGAAGATGTACCCAAGTTGGCAATATCATCATCTTCACAATTATCAGAAGAACAGAAAGTTGAGATTGATGAACATGTAGATACTCAAGAGCAAAAACAGTCACCTTCCATAAAAGGTTCTGTAAATATAGTTCTGGAAAGTGAAGTAGTAAAAAAAGACATTGAAGTAGATAAAAACAAATCAGTAGATACAAATGAAGATAAAAATATGGAAATAAAAGTATTAGAGGATACAGAGAAAGATTCAGAACAGATTAAAAAAGAAACACCTATAGCAGATTTAATTAAGGATGAAAAAAATACTTTAGTAATAAAAATTTCAGAAGAAAGTGTCGATGAAGACAAAGAAAAGCATACTTTAGATATTGCTGTTGAACCAACTTCACCAGTAAGCCAAACTAGTAGTCTGTCTCCTAAACAAGTTGTCATTTCACGAGAAACATCTTTTTTAAGTTCTCCTAAAAAAATGTCAGTTGATGAACCACCTCAAGTACCTCAAGAAATATTGAATTTAGTTGATGATACAGAATCTAAACTTGAAATTCATATATCTGAAGATAAGTCTGATTCTTCAGACAAAAAAATTGAGTTATTTATTGACAAACCTGAATCATATGGAAGTAATTTAATACACGAAGAATCTATGGCACCTGATTCACCATTGATAGAAAAACCTGAAGTTAACAGTTTAGCAGATACAGTAGATACCTTAGATGACGAAAGCGATGTATCTAGTGAATCTTCAACACAAACTGCATTTATTGCTCGTCCGTATGGCACTCCTCGACATCGACGTTTGGTAAGAATGGATCATGTGTCTCCAAATGACACAGAAACGAGTCCTGAAAAGAAAACTCAAGACATAGAAAGTATTAAGACTGACGAAACATCTAAAAGTAGTGATGACTTAAAAACAGATGAAACAAAAGACTCGAATGAAACAAGTATAAAGAGAGAAGATAACGCAGGTAGTAGTCAAGTAGATAGAAAATTAGAATCGGGGAAAAATGTAGAAATAGGAAGTTTTCAAGCTTTAGATAGTATAGTGGGCACTGAAAGTAAATCAGCAACCGTACAAACAGAAAGTTTCGAAGCATCTCAACAAGTAACTCAAACTTCTGATTCAAATGCTGATGGTGGTGAAAAAGTGCAGGAAAGTAAAGACAATGTAGAATCAATTCATAAAAATGACCAAGTAGATGTTGATGATTCTACTTCTCTTACAGATCGCCTCGACTCCGTGAATAATCTTCATGGAGACAGAAAAAAATCTGGAGAGCAAAAAATCACTGACTCAACGGGATTATTGAGCGTAATCCAATCAAAAGATTCTCTGAAGCATTCTGATGATTCTTTAAAAATTTCTAAAAGCCGTGATAGTTCTAGAGAAAGGTTTTCTCAAAACCAAGATGTTTCTAAAGATAAATTAAAGAGTGCTGATAAAAAAACACAACAGAAGCCATTGGTAAAAAAAGATTCAATGAAAGAAAAAAAGCCAAATCAACTTTCAAAAGATCAAATTAATTTGCCGAAAAAATTTGTCGGTAAAACAACACGGCAATCTAAAGTGAGTGATTTAGAATCAGAACAATCGAAAGAAAAAATAGGAATCGATAGAACGAAACCACGAAAACGACTTGATCATGAGAAGATTATTTCAGAGAAATCAAAAAGTGGAAGAGCAGTTGGACAAAAAACAAGGAAACAGGAGTCAGGTAAAGACCAAAAGGTAGATTCACATACCGAAGACTTGAAAAAAAAAGTTAAAAGAATTGAAGACAAACGGTCTCAAATAGATGAAATAAAGTTGCCATCGTGTAATACTAAAGATAAAGCAGAACTCGTATTAGGTAAATCGCCAGAGGAAAAAAAAGTAGGTACGGAATCTACTGTTTCAGGCAATGCTGACATGAAAGAGATTAAACCGTTAGTATCAGACACGGAAGGCAAACAAGTAGATAAAGAAATTTGTATTGAAGTAGAAGGAGAACATACGAAGGCAGATAGAAGTCGGAAAACGTCACGTAAGACGGAGAAAATAATAATCGTTGAAATCAGTAGTTTAAAAAACAGAGAAAATAAAATAGAGAAGATAATGGAAGAAAAAACAACTGAATCTTATACTTCTAGTGAAACAGTAGAAGGGACAAGTTCACATGGCCAATTGATGGTTGTTGAAAAATCGCAATTAATGTCTGAATTAGTAGTTGATGATGAAAAATATAAGATGCTCCGTGATAAATCACCAGGTTCACAAAAAATAACCCGACATTATAAAGAAGAACCACATGAAGCTCAACCCCGCTATATGGAGTGGTATAAACAAAATAGAGAGGAAATAGAGAGAAGACGACAAGAGAAAAAGGAAAATGAAGAAGAAGAGGAACCGCCAAAGTGGCTAAGGAAAAGTACAAGACAGAGATGGTTAAAAATGACTCCAGAAGATAGAAAAATATTTGAATTAAAAACTCCAGAAGTCACACCACAAAGAAGAAAACGAATTAAACCTTTAGTCAATGTAGAATCAGAACAATTAAAAGCTATTGTTCGTCAAGGTAGGAAATTAAGGAAAGCTGAAGGTGGCAATGGTGATCCATCAATTGAAATTTATGCTCCAGAAAGACCACCACCACCTTCATTACCTTCACAATCACAAGTTAAACATTATCGTACTCAACATTCAGAATATAAATATGAAAAACTTCCACCACCATTTTATCTTCATCCTCCACCAGCTCCACATTCTACACCACAAGCATCTCCTCGTAGTTTTGAAGCTCCTCCAGAATCTTCTTCAACTGAATTAACTCACGAGCAAGTGACCTCTCCAGTTATCGTTTCTTTTCAAGGAGGAAGTAGATTGCGGCATCAGCAACTTCTTGAGAAAAAAAGTGTTTTTGATATTGCATACAGTGAAGCGGCACCACCGCATTTACGTGCTGATAGCACTACTCCACCTTCCTAAAACAAATTAATGTCTCAATTATTCATAATACAAGAGAAACAGATGTATAATATTGATGGTAATGATTTAATGAAAAAGACAAAGTTTTTTTAGAAATAATATTTGAACAAGAATTTTTAACATATTGATGTCTACCGTGGAACGGAAATTTACATCACTGCCTTTATTATAGTTAGATATATGTAAAAATGATTTTTAAAAATAGGTCCATCGTATCGATGAATTGAATGACATTTTCAAGAAAATTTGATGTAATGTTGTTTATATTACTCTTGTAAATACATATGAATATATTGATTCCAAAGAATCTTGTTATTATTAATACTTTTGTTAACAGCTATTTACATTTTAAATGAAATGAATTAATATTATTGATTATCAAAATGATGAAAAAATTTTTTAATGATAATTATTGTTTCGAAAAATATTTAATAAGTACGATGTTTGTATTTATATTTCCTTGGACATTTTTTGAACATTAAATAATTTAAAATGAATATGTGTTTGTTGTAAAAGTTAATAAAAAGTGAAAATTTTACAAACTTTAATAAAGCTTGTACTTAAAAATTTTATATAGAAACTTTTCAATTTTTTTTTATTTTAATAACATTTTTGTCTTTTCAATGAAAGTTTTTAATTGGTGTTCCTTCAATTTATGATACTCTGTTACAAAAGTATCCTCGTTCTCAACTTTACCTACTATCTGCTTACAGGTTATCTAGAATAGATACTCCCTCACTCCAATCAAAAATATCATAGGATATATCAATTCACTACACTACCTTATGTTTATTATCATAATTTCAAGACTTCATCAATTAAATCAATTACTATTAATCATTTTCATTATAAAGTTTTGTTAACTGGTAATTAAAAAGTTGATTAAATAATTTTTTAAACAAATTTATACCCACAATAGCTACAGCACATTACGTCGATAAGATACTCTGACTGTGAAGAGCTTACAGATGTTGTAGTTGATTCGCACACGTACATTTATCCTTGATGGGAACAGTTTGCAAAAAATTTGCAAAAGCTGTGACGTTTTGCCTACGTCACTAGATTGACGTAGACAGTTCTATGACGTGTCTAACACCTATTATGACGCTGTAGATGCAACTAACCTACCATAATCATAGGAACGATGGTGCATCAAACATAAGCGGAGACTGGTAAATCTTAATGCAAGGATTTCAGAAATATTCAAGAGATGGCACAGAGAAGTAAGTAGGTTATCAGCGATTCACCACGCAGCCTTCATTCGTTAAAAAATATATCATACTGCTGTTACTATATTGAATCATCATGTTCTCCGTATACTAGCTTACGCCAACGGCCGGCCGTTTGTTGGCAACAGCTGCGAGCCACGTTAAAAAACAACGACAATGAAATAAATAAGACAAGTGGTCTTTTTTAGTGAGCAGGCCTCTTTCGTAATTTCAATCATAATAAGACTAATTTGCATGATTGGATCAAGGTATAATTAGATTTTTTTTATTAAGCTGGAAGTTGATGAGAATCAACTGATTGAATTTTTAATAAAGAAATCCATAATTTTTGAATGAATAAATCATATTGCTATTAAATGCAATTCTTGTACTTTTGTGATAAATGAAGTGGATTTGTTTACTATTCTGATAAAAAGTATATTGAATAATTATGTTTTCATTAATTCAGTAGACTGCAGCAGCGATAAACCATTCATTGAATATGATTCCCTGATGAATTTTCAAGCGCCGCACGAGTCCAATTGTCAGTACTTGGTACTCAAGTCATAACATTTAATTAAAATTACGTGATTATAGCAAAAAGTAGCAGTGGATAAACAATGTATGAATGTTAATTGTTGTTAATAAAGAGCGGTGTATGTTGCTGCGGCAACGGCGAACAGAGCCGCGAAGAGGCAGCGTCTGTACCAATGCTCACCAGATGCAAGCTCACCTGAATCCTGCAATATTTCTCTCTCTCTATGGCTGACTATGTACCTCCTCTTTCTCCTTCTTCAAACCGATTTCCCCGCCTTCTGCTACTTCTGCTATTTGATAAGAGAACTCAACGAATGTCTAAGCGATAAAGCTATACTGTCGATATCATCCAGAATTGTTTCAATCGATACTGCTTAAATCCATTTTTTTGGCCTCTTTTTCATTTATAATTTTTCCCATTATATTTCTGAAAATCAGAGCGATTATCAATTAAATTTGAATAAAAAACAACATTTTAATTGATAAGAAAAGCTAAAATAAAAAATGAATGAAAATGTGCTGGGCACAGTAAGAAGTAGCTACGACCCTGTATATTAATGTTTAATTACCTGATGCATAGTTGATACCTGTTTGTTTAGAAGGTGTTGAAAAAGAATGATAAAAATATAAAATAGAGCAAAACTGTTGATGGGATGAGTTGGCCCATGGGCTAATAGCCATCAATCATCGCCAAATTTCGGCAACGCGTTGGACAACGCTGGCGGCAGGGTACCATCACTAAAGTAGAGTTCTCCGGGTCCACAAGGATGGTAAAGAGAACTGCGGGGAAGAGGACTTTCACGTTCGATAACCGTCCGAAAACCCGGGCCTACCACGCCTCGTTAGTTGATCATCTACACTTCGAGCATTAATGAAGACATTTATTCAAGTCTTTCACTTATCATCGAGTTCCCTTCATTCATCAACTTTCCTTCACTTTGATTTATTTTCCATGTCATCAATAATCTAAACAGATAAATAATAATCAACTTACATAATGTGTTATAAATAAAATCGGATATAAATATAGATTGCTGATGCAATATACTTACAATAAAAGTACCCTTTCTGCTTCTAGGATGGTAGCAAAAAATGAGACATCATCATTTATTATTTCTTTTGGAAGCATGTCCTCTTCTTGCAACTCGTTTTTAGATGATTTATTATTGCTTTTTCAAACTTGTAGCATATTTCCCGATAAACTTGAGTGTTAATTTGTCTGTCCTGTTGAAACATACAATTTTGATGTAAACCTCTCAAAGTACTTGGATCTTATGTTGGTCTAAAATTTAATGTAAAATATTGCTAATTATTATAAGATCAAAGAGCAATATTAATTGAAAGAACAATCATTAGCATTAATTTTTAATTATAAAATTTTTATATTTCAAACTTAATAGACACATTTCTATGTATTGAAGAGTAAAGTGAGCTTGATCAAGCTTTAAATACTTTGAAGTATGTTACTTAAATTTCGTTATTAAAAATTTCAATTGTAAAATTTAATATTCAATTTCAAATTTTAACCAGTCAATAACCATTAAAATCTTAAATCAGCTTGCTTCGATCGAAAGGTTTTTAGTAGAGACACGTGAGCCAGTAAGTTCTCGTTACATGTGCATGCACGGACAAATTCCAGTCCATATATGATGTAACGCTCGTAATTGTCGAATGTACGTACACCAGGAGATTATGTAAGGTAAGAAAAGACGATCCAACTATACTGCAGCTTAGACATATTAACCAGGCTCTTCATAACACAAATACCTCTTCTTTAGCTGCAATACCATAAGTTCTACAAAAATGGCGAAAAATTGTCAATTTGTTGATTGATTATAATTCAACATACCAAAAAATACGTGTCAATAAATATGATATCTTTCAGCTGATCATAAATGTCTAGTTGACTAGTCCATAGGCCAGCCATAAGAGCTGTATGCAATTTTTTAAAAATAAAGTTAGACGAGATAACTTTGGCATTTTTTATAGATTTTTGCTTGCTAATTACAAATATGTTAGTTATTTTTTTCTACCATGATTAGTTCATTAGTTATAAACAATTTGATGTTTATTTATGATTTTTCAGCTGAACTAATGAAGATACAAAAAAATTGTTTAGACAAAAAATGTGCATCTTGTAAAAATGAACAATTTTTGTAATAACTATTTTTTGTCTAACTTTATTATTTCAGGAGTTAGAAGCAATAATTAATAGAAAAAAAATTAAATTAAATTAAAAAAACTATAGTGCATTAAATCTTATTAAAGGAGCTATTACTGTATGTTTAAAAAATAGGCCTTAGTACACTTTGTCTGTGCTAATACGACGAACTTCCCATTAGTAATTATTTATAATAAATTCAAATTGTTATAAACAATGCGTAATAGTTAAATGTCATATCTCAGCATTAATAATCTTATTTTGTTGGAAACATCCAAATCCATGTGATATATGTATCAGTTAATCAATAAATACAATTTTTAATTGTTTATAACAAATTCATGTTGTTATAAACAGTGTGTAATTAGTGAAAGTCATATTTGGTTGTGAGCAATAATGTCTAGTCAATATTGACTTCATTTTCGAATAAAATTGTTATTCTTTCGCTTAGAGGTATTTTAAATAGTCAATCTTTTCATTTATTCATTATTAGTTTTTTTGTTATAAAAAAAAACACCATGACCGAATTTATTCAAATTCTACTCAGATCTTCTTTATCATAATATCTTTCCAATGAATTTTGATTAAAGTCGATATCTCCATCCGTTCTTGAGATATCGAATACGAAAAAAATGCTAACATTCGTACATACATAGGTACGTACGTACGCATACACCCATCATTCTAAAAATTGGTCAGTATGCTTGCAAATATCTTGAAACGTGAAGATATAATGAAAATTCAAATTTCACCAATCGACCTAATTTCAATAACTTCCCAATGGGAAGTTAAAAATTTAAATCATTCAATAATGATCAAATATTATTAATTTAATGGTTATTGGATAAAGAAATGTTCGAATGTTCATGTTCAATATTTAAAAAGTTTAAGATTAAGAAAGGATGAATCATATTATTTTTTTTCAATCACTTTCTGGCAATATTGTCATTGAACTCGAGATAGAAGTATAGTATAATTCTTCAATTACCCGAGTAGTAATCTGTCTGTAAATCAGCTGATAAGGAGCTGTATTCATGGAGGAAATTACGATGAATTGTTGTAATTGCTCTATGTACATGTATCAGGCAACTATGTGAAGGATAATGACGATATTAAACCGGTTTTGTATGACCTGATGAGATTCTTATCTAACTGTGTAAATACTTATTACTTATTTGAAGATAAAGATTTGTTTTTATTTTCAATTACGACTGGATGATTTTTTTCTAAATGCTATATAATATATCGAAATAAATATAATACACGTTTTGAATAGACCTATTATAATTCTGTCGAAGTAAAAAATAATTTATTCAAAACGTCTGTTATATTTATTGCGTTTGTACACGGAGAAAAAATTCCGTTAATTTTTATTTAAAAATCCATACAAAAATTACCGTGCTGCTCAAGAATGTGAGTTTAAACTTACTGAAAAGTAAAAAGTAATGATCAACATACAAAAATTATAAGTTACATAAGAAATGTATCATTCAGTTTTTTGAAAATTACTTTGGCAGCACCAGAAAATTTAGTGTTCCACAGCACCTGAAAATTTAGTAACGTTAGCTGTGATAACTACGTAACCGACAAACAATTTTATTTAAGTTTAGTGATAATTTTTTGGTTATATAAACAAATAAATAAATAAATTAGGTTCATTGATAATTAACTTTCTTAACTAATTAATTCGTTGGAATGAAATACGGCACACGTTTTACAATACTGCCCCCCCTATCCCTACGATCGGGATCTTACGCAGAAAACCTGTGTCGTCGATACAACCACCCGGCTCTCCGAAGAGATCTTCTTCTCCCGCTCACGGTGGCCCGAGAAAAATCATATAAATGACTTTTGTCTCGGCCGGGACTCGAACCCGCGACCCATCGTGTGTCAAGCTGACGCTTACCCATGAGTCCACCGCGTCAATCCGTTTAAGCTTATCATAAATTGTTAAGATATAACGTGTTGCCGCCAATATTGAATCGTAACGAAAAATATGAATGTCATCTTTGTTTACAATATGGAAAAAGTAACTATAGCACTGAGGGTGTTCACACAATCAAAAACAAAAGCCGTAAGATGTACGCATGCGTACAAACCAATTTTTAACTTATTATGATGTTAGTATGCACGCGTACGTCTTAAATTGTACGTTTTACGGCTTATATTTTGATTGTGTGAACGGTCTTACAATACAAAGAAAGATTGTGTTGGACCGATAATTCGAAGATTCCCGACCCAGCACGGAAACTCTCGAGAATAGAAAAAATTATAGGAGAGCACCCGAATTTTTCCTACCACACGGATCATAATAAATTATATACAGATTCTCATTTTTTTCTAGTCACTTACTAATTTTTGTTTAAAGTTTGAATAAAAATTAATATTTATCGAATATTACCGTGCTGCATAAGAATTTTTACTTTTACTCTTCTTAATAAATATTGAATCTATAATAAAAATTTTAAAAGGATTACTAATTTTTCTTTGAAGGTTGTCTTAATTTTTTAGGGAATTGACATTTGCGCGTGGATTGTTGTGCTGAGCACGGTAATTTTTATTGGAATTTTTTCTCCGTGTAGACGCTCAAAATAAAATCATGAAAAACGATTCAATTGTTATCAACAATTTACATCAATAAAAAGTAGCCTATGTTACTCCTGGCATCCTTCTCTTCATGTCTACAAAGTTCTATCGGAATCAGTACAGCCGTTTCCAAAATTACCTCAAACAGACAGAGAGACAGACAAAAAGTCTAAAAATGGTCATTTACGTTTTAACAGCATGCGAATAACCCTCCGAGCTCAGTTTGAGACAGTTTATTCAAAATCACAGACAATCACTCTAATTTTATTGATATAGATTGTTAAAAAAATACGTAACACAATGATCATACATATATAGAATTTATATATATAGGTATATTATATATTGTAAAATAATAGAATGAGAACAACTATTATTAAAAGTTAGTTTATTAAAAATGACAGATTCAAATACAGAATCAAAGACAAGACGTCTAACGTTAGCTAGTCTCAGTCCTATACTGGAGATAAACAAACTCTCCCCTCGTTGCTATAAACAATCTACTCGTCAAGCAATCGTCGTTAACTAACGAACTGTCGTTAGTCAATCCATCTATAGATGGACACACATATATTTTACAATATTTATACCTATAGGTATATTATTCAAAAGATTGAAATAAATGTAAAAGACGTTTTGGATACACTCATTATTATTTTGATTAAATTGTAATATATTACAATTTAATCACTTTTTACACACTTAGAAATGCGTTGAAAGTTACTACAATGTTAATCCAATGGGTGACGTCATATTTAACACACTTATTCGCATTAAAATAATGCATTTTGGAAAACTGGTATTTACAGTGTAGACAGAATCATAACGAAATCGGCAAACTTCTTATTTCTAAGGGAGCAGACATCGATGCGAAAATAACAATGGAACGTTACACTCCTCTTTATGAGGCAATTGAAGCAGGACTGCTCAGTGCCGTCCAGGTACTGCTAGATCATGAAGCAGACATTTCTGAAATTAACGGGACGGGCCTTCTGGATCCGGCAAACGCGTGATAATCCTTCATATTGGAAATGCAGACGGTTTTGTGCCTGGGGCCCAAAAATGTTTTATTGGGAAAACAGAATCAGCGGACTACCACGATGAGATGAATGCACATTTCGAAGAGTGGTTCATATCAGTTTTGGTGAAAAACTTCCATCAAAATCTGTGTTAGTGCTCGATCAAATCCCCTATCACACGATGCTTCACCCGGATTATCGTAATCCAACAACAGCATGGCGAAAAGGTGATATCGTAGAATGGCTAAAAAAACGAAATGTGGCCATTCTTGAAGATACAAAGAATTTTGAATATCTCAAAATTATTAAGTCATTTTTATGTCAAATGCATAGGTCTACTAAGTCGGGCCAAGTTTTTTGATGATTTTAGAAAAACTGTGCAAGCAATGTTAATCACATGCCAAACAAGAACGGATACAAAATCTAACAAGATTAATCATTTATCTGACAGCAGATTATTTCTTCAAAGTAAAATGGCCGGAGATCCTGTCAGAGATCCAAATTGTCACTGATGGAAGTATAGAAGAAAATGTGGAAAATATTCTTGATTTAGAGCCTGAAGCAGATTCCATAAAAACATTTCTTAAAGACATCGACATCCATATTACAAATAGTACCAGTAAAATCACCAATAACCTGTATTGTCCAGAGTTTAAGCTACCATTTATTTCACTTTTTTCTTATTGTCCTCTATGGATATCACCACATTTTCTGGATTCGCATTTTCCACAATTGAAGCAACCATATTCTTTTGCTGATAAGGATTGGATTGCTAATGAGGTACAACCATTATTTTGTAATAGTTTAAATCCAACAAATGTTGAAAATAAATTTGCTAAAGGTAAAAATTTGTTAAAATCTCATATCGATCCCATCAAGAGGGCTACAAAAAAAGTGATTGAAATGGTGGAAGATCCAGTAATCGATACCGATAGCAGCTTTCTTTCAGAATTCTCTTCTACTCGAAAAATAACTTCGACAGAGATGAATTTTATTGAGACAAAACTTTTAGAAAATGGCAATAACAAGAGGTTAAAATTGTCCTCTGGACAAAGTGTAAAAATAACGAATACTTGTGCTTTCGATGCCGTCGTGAAAGCAACATTGAAAAATTGAAAGAGTCATGTTTTAGGATAAGATATGTTTTTTTTTCTTCGCCTGAGAATTCTCCAAATGCGTTAGCACGCATCCGTTATTCACTGCACACGATCTTGTGGGAAGCGCACATTGTTTTGCGGTATAGATTTCCTCGATGACCTCATAAAGGAAGGTCAATTTGAGGAATAAATTTTTTTTTGTTGCTTGGTAAATCTGTTTTCCATTTTTTTATCATTTGCTTTGTAGCACATAGTAGTACATTCAGGCACAATCTTTGTGTTTTTACTCAAATCAAATAACAAGGTCAAATTCAGTTAGAAAAAAAGACCTACGTATAAAAATGGCATTTTTTTGGGCGATTTTTTTTAATGCGGCACATGATAGCACAAACCGAGCACATTTTTTTTTACTAAAAATCTTTATATGGTGGGTCCAACTTTATGGACATCACAATTATATCTTATCATGTATATGTCGTTTTCGACAAATGTTATATATAGTACATATCTTCAACCACCTAACATCTTCCTTAACCGCCTTCACCCCTATCATCTCAAGGTGATTAACAATAATTACTCACCGAGAAACTTTTTTCTATTGTCATTCAAGATATCTTCGATTGAGAATAACATAGTAAATTAATTTCAAAAAACCATCAACATTATCTATTTAATTTTCAACTTTATTATAACTCATGAAGTATTCAACTCTATTTTTGTAAACCCAAAGCATCTGTCCACGAAAAAAAGCATAAAATAATACCTTTTGATGTAAAAATAGAAACTCTTTTAAACTTTACACTATTAAGTTCGATCTTACTACCTGAAGTTTCAAGTAGAATGCAATGACACAGAGAAAACTAACAGTGAATAAAATTCAGCCATACTGGATTAGTCATTCCTTTTGTATACAGGTATCTATTAATTAAATCAATTAAATTTTAAAAGTAAAAAACTTAAAGCACTATTCCCTGCGTTAAGATACATTGTCACATTTATAATTATCTCGAAATAATTTCGTTATAAATTACTTTTTGAAGCCACCAAAGCCTTTCATCAAATATTGAGCTTGTAATTATAATCCACCTTTTGATAATTATTGTACGAAGTAAAGAGAATTGCTGATCAAAGATTCAGCATTCAACAATTATCTTTGGCACATCCTATTGGATATCAATTTTAGATGAATAATCTACAGTAGTATATGAGTAAATATAACTTCACAAAAGTAATGACATTGAGTTGGATAGAATAGTTCTTAAATTAGCTCAAGTGTTTGAAAATGAAAGTGATTGATGCACAAAATGATTTCGATAAATTTGTTGATTATTTCTCTCATTTTTTAAATTATTTAAAGTTTTATGAAAATAAAAAATTATTTATCATCCATAGAAAAATTAATTTTGTAATAATTATCTTTATGTTACTTTCTAATGTCTCACTGATTCTCTCGGAAGTAGCAGAGCTTAAAAATAGCCATGACTTATCAAGTTTTGCCACAACTATCAATCCAGTATTTTTTCACTTACTTGGATCAGTGAAGTTTTTTGATAGTATTTTGAAAATTAGTGATATTGAAGATTTGTTAAATAGAATGAGACGTTGCCATCAAATTTGTTTAACGATAAATATCAACATTATAGGTAGGAAGTATAACATGCAGTAAAAAATTTCTAATTCTAATGATAAAAAACTGTTATTGATAACTTCCCAGTTGGAAAGATCAGTGCTTTGCAGTGGTCTGAGTGCGACCCGAAAGGTCCACACGACCAACTTCCCAGTGGAAAAAATAAAAAAATACTATATGTTTTGTTGTTATAATAATAATAATAATAATTATTAATAAAAATATTACAATTATGATTATTATTATTATCCCAATTTCAATTTCATTTTTATCCTTCACGATTGATTATCCTTCATTTTTATTCCGATCCACATATCTTTCTTCTTTTGGGGTGTGGTGAGCACGCCTATTCTTCCCTCTACCTGTAAATAAATAAATAGAACAAAACAAAATAAACAAATGAATGAAAGAAAACGAATAAATAAATGAATGAATACAAAAAAAATTATCAATAAATGAATTAACAATTTTTTTTTTCAGAACAGCATCAATATGAAAAAAAACTTCTAAAATTTATTGAAGTAATTAAAAATTTTATCTACGTTTGGATTAGTTTCTGTGCTGGAGGAATGGTTCAATGGTGTTTGAATCCTATAATTCGAAATTATTTCATCTTAAGACAAAGTGGAAACAAAATAGAAATAAAATCATTCACTGCTCTACCTTATCTAGCAGCATTTCCCTGGAGTATTAACAGTTTCACTAGATACTCATTCACAGTCATATTTCAACTGATAAGTGGAGTTCTCAATGCTTTTGAACTTTCAGTATGCGATGTTTTTACAATAATGTTTCTAGCAAATGCTTGCTTTTACCTTCAATACTTGAATGAACATCTGGAAAATGATCTGGCCTTCATCAAGTAAAGATCTATAATATTTATCTAGAATAATAAAATTATTCATAGTAGAAATCAAATATAGTTTTTCAGAAATTATTCTGGCCTTAAAGAGATAAGAGAAAATATGAAAAATTATATAATGCTTCACAATGAAATTTTAAAGTAAGCCACAATAATTTCAATACATTTGACTATTATCAACTGATAAGAATGATTTATAGCTTTATACAAAAAACCAATGAAACATTTGATTATCCATTATTTATCCAATGTGTAACCTCCACAATTGGTTTGTGTCTAGTATCGTTAGAAGCGTCAACAATTCAATTAAACGTAAATAAAAAAAAAAAATTTATTATCATTTGATAATGACTATTATTGTTTAAATTAATTAATTCTTTCAGTCTAGCATAAATTGCATCATGAAAATGATCAACATGTTGGAATATTGGATAGGCATTACATCAAGTCTTTTTATTTATTGTTATTTGGGAACTACAATAAGAGAACTAGTTACTTTATTTATTCTTTATACCTAAATAAATAATATTTATAGTAATTTAATAGAAAGAAAAGTTTTTATTCAAATTAGTTTTATTTTTAACAGAAAAACAAATATATTCCAGGGCCTCCGAGTAGCAGATGCAATTTATCTAAGTAATTGGAATCAATTAATCTATGACAATACTTATTCCAAATATCACAACCAACCAACGTCAAATCAGATTAAATATATAATTAGAACTGTTTTGATGAGATCTCAACGGCCGATTATTATTAACGGTGGATTATTTTATATATTATCTTTGCAAACTTTTAAAGCAGTAAGTTACTTTTTTAAATTAACACATTTTCATTTGTAATAAATTATGATAAAAATGTACACAGATTATAGATAAAACTTTTCTAGCTTGTTGGATGCTCTCTCTCCAATGCTATCATTTTACGAGAGTTATCTGAAGATGATTAAAATTATTTATTGCAATAATAACAATCACTGTTATGCAATAATTATTAGCCTCTAGATAATTTTAATTTACTATAAAATATAACGATAATTCTGTTTGAAATAAGTTGATCAATTCAATCAATTAGTGAAATAAATCTTCAAACAAAATTAATTAATCAACTTTTGTTATATAATAGACAATATTTTATCATGTTAATAATCATTTTTGAATATTATCTACTGATAGTTTGGAGTTGTATCACTAAATCAACTCTATATAGGACATAGGATGGAGCAGTTTAGAAGATATGATTGATAAGAGTAGTAGGGAGAAGAGAGAAAGTGAGCTGCAGCCTTTCAGCTACAACCGTATAAGGAGCGCGCGCAAATAACAGGAAAGTAATCGATCGAAGAGCTCCAACAGTGCCTCCAACCGTTTTATGCTCCCCTGGTTCTACGACCACGTGTTCAGATGAGGCATTTCAGGCTGTCCCAACATCAGCCTTACTTCAGCCTCACTACACTTTTATCATTTTGGAGTACATCAGAGAACAATCAGTTTATGATTTCTCTCCTAGCTATCATTACTCAGCCATTCATAATGTTCAGTCTTTCGTCATATTAAAGCATGGAATATTTTTTCGCTTCAAAGTTACTCAGTTTAATATGCAAATTATGTTCTCTCAGTCGTGTAAGATCAATCTGAAACAAAAATATTAGAGTAGATTCAGAAATTGACGTTTGCCTATGAAGAAAATATTTTTAAATCTTAAACATTTTAAATAAATTACAAAAATTACATTAATTTTATTAATTTATTTTCAAATCTTTAATTAAAATATAATTTTCACGAATTTAACATAATGTTGAAAACTTATTATATAATTTGATTAATTTTTAGTATTTGACCATAATACAAATTTTATTTTACTATTTTTGATATTTGATTGGAAAAGGAATGCTAACAACAAATTGTTGTTGAAAAAAAAATACTTTTTTTGAATAATGTTTTCTACTATTATTAAGTAAAACATACATAGTCGAAATCAATACGAATGACAAATATGTATGCTTTTCCAATGAACTATTTTCATAATTCATTATTTTTTCATACTTCTGATCATCACTTTAGAATGTAGTCAAGTTGAGATAGCTGATTAACAAATTACTTGATCTTAAATTTACTATATAACTTTATTTGATTCTAGTCATAATTACAATTGCTATGCAGATATGAGTTCCTGATAAAGAATCCATAGAATACGGAGTCTTTGTGGAGGCTTTGCATTCCTGAGTCAGGTTCAGCTTGATCATATAATAAGTAAAAAGAATGCCAAGCTAATTTGGAAGTAGCTAATCTGCACAGCGATTATTGTAGCATGAGATCGCATATGTATGCATATATGTATATTGTTGACACTCGCCAAGACTCCTCACCTGCCCATCAAAAGAAGAAAAGCCATCCATACTGGCTAACTAAGTATCAAGGAACCATGGAACCAAGTAGTGCTTTGAAGCAACAGAGTCTTGCGTTCCTGTCGACGTTGTTACTTTCTCAGCTTCATGTTATCCTACAGTTTCCTTGGCGAAATGTGGACGCCTTTCGGGAACAGTTTTTCTTCATATCATTAAATAGGTAGTTTATATCAGAGAGATGGTAGAGCATTCGAGGTCTTGCTATCATCGGAGGATATGATATCTTGGAAGTAGCTTCTGGTGATGCCATATTAGAGCTTATCATGATACAGTATTGTAGTTCGATAAATTTTAAGTCAAAGCTGTTTTTTCTGTAAAATGCAATTATAGTTGGAACGTTTTTCATGTAGTCTTTACAAAAGATGATAAATTCAATGCCTAGATATTGATAGAGAATTTATATAACTTGTGTTAGATTATTGACATTTACAGTTTTTTTTCGTAAAAATTTTACAAAATCTTATTTTGTATTATGAATAATCGATTAAATATGTAGGTTTTCATTTTTAATTGGAATTATTTTTGGTGCAATCTACTGAAAATAATTATATCATTGGTATAATTATGTCAGTCAATTTCGTATCGATACCAAAGACTCCATTGTAATTATTTCTCAATTTTCCTCAATATTTCTCAATAGGTAATAAAACGTTAAATAATTGAAATAATAATTCAAATTTTTGAGAACAATCCATAATCTCAACTACTTTTGATATTGTAGATGATATATAATAAAATGATATTAATAAATAGCAAATTCGGCATATTATTTAAATATTGGCACCTGTACACCTGGTATACACAGTGTATCGAACATAACAATCCAAATGCATCCTATCTCGATTGACCATATATGTAGGAATATTAGAACTATGATAATTGCTACTGAAAACACCATACAATAGAATAATAACAACGATTTAAGAACAGTTATAATTTTTTTTTATATGCTCATAAAGTTTTTCTAACTTATTAAAATCGAAAGTATTTCAATAACGATTAATCTATCGACTATTTTAAGAATCGATAGTAATACGACAGCGCCTTCAACTTCGATTGTGAGACGAGACTGACAGTACTGCCGTATTAGTTTAGCGTTTTAGAGTAATCAAAGATAAAAATATTCATAAATAAAGTTCACAATAAATAATTTAAAAATTATTTATTAATTATAGTAAAAAATATTCAATTTAATACATAATGGTAAGTATTATAAAAAAATTTTTATTTACTGTATCAAATAAATTACTTATGTCGAACAATATTTTCCAAGTTAACCTAAAAAAATTTTAATTTCTCTGTCAGGATGTTTTTTTAATGATAAGAAGGAAGAAAACAACAATTTTCACCGACGCTAAAGATAATACGACAGTATTAGAACTTAAAAAAATAATTGAAGGTAAAATTTAAGTTTTTAATCAAATTATCTGATGACTTACTGTATGACATGATATCAGGAGGAATTTAGTTTATAAATAACATGTTATTCAGTGATTTAGCCTCTAAAATATTCAAAATTATTGTTTACATAATTTTAATGTGACTTTTGTTGACGATAGGTATTTTAAAAATTCCTCCAACGAATCAACAACTATTTAATAAAGATCACATAGAGATGTTAGATGGTAAATCGTTGTCTGATTATGGCTTAACATCAGCTACGGCAAAAGCACAGTGTCCAGCATTAGTGGGGCTATCTTTACGTCAAGAAAATGGACATTTTGAACCCCTTGACATTACTCCATATTCAGTACCTCCTGATTTGCCTGATGTCATGAAGTCACAAGAAGCGAATGGTCAAGAGCAATCACCTTGAAAGTTTCATTTCTCCAAAGTTAATCAGTGACTGATACGTGATCGCTGCTAGTACTAGCAACGAGCTCTCTAAATTGAAAATTGCAATTTAAATAAAGTTATAATCTGTAAAACTTCTTTCTAATTTATATACAAAATTTTCGATCAAAAACTATTATTTCATGCTTAATCACATGTCTCGAAAATAAGAAAATGTTATCTTGATGTGAAACAAGAATTTCTTTAATTCAAAGAGTAGTAAATTTAGGAATTTAATTATTTTGAAAAGAAATCAGATAAACATCCAAATAATTTCAATATTAAATTATAATAAGATAGTGGCATTAATACTTTTATTATGATTCTGAATATTAAAGTTAATAAAAAAATATTTGATATTTAATAGGCTTCTTTAGATTCAAATTTGTACACAGCTGATATCAATAAATTTTATGCATAAAAATATATTAAAATAATTAGTAAGTTTCATTCAGTAAATAAACAATCTATAAAGTCATCAAGCTTTTGGAAATATTGTAAGTATATATAAATAATATTTTATTTCAAAATAGTAAAATAGTTTTTTTCTAAATTTAAGGTGAAATGATTGTTATGATTTAAATGGCAGATAGCATTGTTGTTGAGCAATACTCGCAAAATTTAAATAATGCCACAATTAGCAATCAATTGATATTAAAATAATAAATGTTTGAGAATCGTCGCTAATCGAAATATTTTTTCTCTTTTTTCTTTATTTAATTTATTATAAAAGAATGATCTAATATTATATCTATTTGTTATTTATATAATTATTAAACCAGCCTTTATAATTTTTTATCTAACTTTCATTTATTTTGTAGTGTAACATTTTTTGCTGTATACATTTCATTTATAAAATCGTTATAAATATGTTTCTTTCCTGGTACAAAGTGGCCTCCTTCATGAATCACAACTTTTTTATTAATAAATAAATTAGCTAAGTCTGTTGCCATTTCTGAAAATAAAATTTTAACATCAAATCAAATTAAGTTTAGAGTTATTTAATTATAATTAATTATAGAGCATATGTTTAAATTACTATAAGTATTTACAAGCCAATGAATACGATTACTTTTAATAATTAACTGAAAAAGATAAATTTCAAATCGTCAATATTCTTTACTAAGGAGCATATTAGTAAAAAATTGTTTCATAAAATTATGCAAACTTCATTTTCAATGTGGCATTCAAGAATCAATGCTAATAGTGTAGTGTAAATCACAGAACTTTGTTGTGAGTAAAAATTAAATGAAATTGTATACCTATTGGTATGATTTTATCAGATTCTCCATATACATGAAGCGAAGGAAGATTTATTTGTTCGTCATAAAATACTGCATGTGGTGCACATAGAGACTTGAATCCTGATATCATAATAGCGAAATTAAATTTTATTGGAGAAACTGGAAAATGTCAAAAAATTAGTTATCAATATTATAATTAATTAGTAACAGTAAATGATTAAAGAATGTACTTTTTTTCTGTTGCATAGAACAGAGAATAGAAACGAAAGATGCACCCTGTGAAAATCCTAATATGCCATCAAAAGGTCCTTGTTCTTCAAAGATTTTTTCAATGACTTTTACACTTTCCTCAAAACAAACTGATAAATTACTTGGTACTGTTGCTTTGAAGATATGATCCTCAGTATTGAACCACCAACCTCTACCTATAAAATCAGAATTAACAACAGTTTTAATTAATAGTATATCAATAAACAATTGATCTTGATTAAAATTTTCTATACCATCCACTTCATTTTCTTCATTATCGAACTGATGTGGGGGAACTACATGAGGTGCTTGAGCAAAAATAAAATCAACCTTTTGCTTAAAACTTTTCCTAAGAGATCCTAGTTTGCCTGAAAAAATTGTATTTGATTGATAATAACCATGTAATGCTAAAACCTACAACAAAAATAATCAGTTCAGGAAACAAAAAATTAATTTAGTTTGTTTAATTTCCAACAGTTCATACTCGTAATTTTTCTGATGAGGTAGTCATTTTATATATCCTTTGTTAGTTAATATAGATTTTAATGCGCACTAAACTACTGCAAAACTTATTTATTCAATGACTTCATAGGTTGTGTCAAATACTGTTTCAATTTTTAATACTGAGAAATGGTTTAGAACAAATCAATACTAGATTCAAAATAAAGTAAAAATTAATTTATAATTCAAAAATAATAAAACACAAATTGAATCAATTAATTATTTTATTATCTATTAATGTTGGAGTGTTAAAATACTAAACTAATGTTAAGTCACGTGGCTAATTGATATTCATATATAGATATAGCAATAGTAGTGTAATAGTAGTTTCATGTGTGGTACGATTATGTGTTACTCTTTCAAAGAATGCGGTGTGATTTCCTAAAAATGGAGTAAATGTGCGATAAATGGAGTCATCAATCTTTCAAAAACATTGTAAGTATATATAAATGTTATGTTATTTATAATTAAATAATATGACGAGTGAAGTAGATTTTTTTATGTATTTAAGGTTAGATGCATAACTTTCTTCATGTTATAAATACATATTTCGCAAAAGAAACTGCGCAAATTTTGCATTACATCACAAGATTAAGTGATTTTATTATAAAAAAAATTAATATTTATAATTAATATCATGAATTAATTTAATTCTTATAATATAATATGGATGTAGTTTATACAGAAAATCATGGTAGAGAATCTACATCGTTGGATCCATCAATATCCTCAAATAAGCAGGTTCATTTTCTTCCTTTGTTAATATTAAAATGTGACACGATTAGTATTTTTTTAATTATATTACTTTTCCAATTGGATTCAAGAATTTATTGCTGTTATAGCTATTGCTCTATCCAATTTTTAGCAGCAGCTTTTGATGTTTATAAAATTTTTAATTATCTGTAAATATATATCTATATCATACTTTCTTATTTTAGACCTGTATCAAATTGAACTATTTAGTCGACAAAATATATCTTCAATAATCTTATAGATTTTATAGTTAGTTATTAATTTCTTTTAATGTATTTGTAAAAATCAAGTATATCGAAGACCCCCTTGAAAATATTTGCTAATTTTCTCCACAAGTTTAATAAAAAGTAAATTTAAACATATCCATAGTTCACATACACTTGATTATATCATAATTGTAGTATTTTTTATACTGGATGTTATTTACACTGCTTTTATTGTTTTTTTTTTGTTTTCAGTTGATCCTGCATGCTGACTGCACGGTTTCAACACTCTGCCTGAGCCATTTAGCACTCCATTATTCTTTTGGCAACTTTGTTTTGCTATAAAATAAATCACAATAAATAAACTATGGCTGCCTACATCAATCGCACAGTTTCAATGATTGGAGGAGACAGCCAACTTCGTGTAAACGATGCTAGAATTGACAATTCTCCTCTCCAGATTTTCGTCAAAGCGAAAAAGAAAATCAACGATATATTTGGAGAAATTGAAGACTATGTCCAGGACACAGTGATTTTTATGGAAAGTAAGGTTCTTCATATAACTCCTTCGAATATTTACTACCATTAGGTTTATCAGTTTTTCTGATCAATATTTCAATTTTCCAGGTCTTCAAGATGATCATAATATCATTAAGAAAGAAGAAATTGAAAATATCAAGGGTTATGTTAATAAAGTTCATGGTATTCGTGATGTTCTCAAGCGGGATCACATGAAAGTAGCTTTTTTTGGAAGGTAAGTTTTATCTAACCAATTTTTTTTTTGTTAAAGTTTTATAGAAAATAACAAAATAATTATATTTCATATAGAACCAGCAATGGAAAAAGCACAGTTATCAATGCAATGCTTCGTGATAAAATTTTACCTAGTGGAATAGGTCACACGACCAATTGCTTCTTACAAGTAGAAGGTTCAGAAAATGGCGAATCGTATCTAATGACTAATGGCTCGAATGAAAAGCAGAACGTCTCGTCAGTTGGTCAACTAGGTCATGCTTTATGTAAAGAAAAATTGTGTGAAAGCAATTTGGTGCGAATATTCTGGCCAAAAGAAAAGTGCCTCCTTTTGCGTGATGATGTTGTTTTTGTCGATAGTCCCGGCGTTGATGTGACACCTAATCTAGATGAATGGATTGATAAACATTGTCTTGATGCTGACGTTTTTGTGCTAGTTGCCAATGCTGAATCAACTTTGATGGTGACAGTGAGTGATTCATTATCAATTTTTATGAAATTTTATAGATTCGATGTTCTACAATTAAATTCATTGAAAATAATTATTTTAGGAAAAAAACTTTTTCCACAAAGTATCCACTAGATTATCAAAACCAAACATATTTATTTTGAACAATCGTTGGGATGCATCAGCCTCCGAGCCAGAATTCTTTGAAGAAGTAAGTATTTATTATTAGTCAAAATATTTAATTTCTGATACAACTATAAATATATTTAAATTAGAGTTTGAAACACTAACGAAACCTTATGAGGTATATTCGTGTAATTTGTATATATTGTCTCTTAGCTGGCCAATGAACAAAAAGAAGTAAGTTTTGATTAGAATATGAGGTAAATAAATGGAAGCACAGCTGATGAAAAAGTAGCACATCATAAAATCGAATCAACTGCATGATTTTTTGTAATCATCTATTCAAATACTTAATCAGTCTTCCATAATGCTGCTTTTTATTACTTTATAAAACTCATAACCATTGTTATTTGATGTGCTTTTCTATTTGACAAAAAACATGTTTATTGTACTAATACTTCGTTTTTCTAATAGTCAATATGAATCTTTATAGGTACGAGCTCAACATCAAGACAGAGCTGTTGATTTTCTTTCAAAAGAACTAAAAGTTTATACTCCGAAGGATGCTGAAGATCGTATTTTCTTCATCTCTGCTAAGGAAACTCTTCAAGCTCGTATGCAAGAGCAGCGTGGTCAACCTGCACACAGTAAGATCATCTTTAATCTTTTAATTTTTTCATTTAAATACAATAACATAATCTTATATCAATATTTTTTTTGTTTTTAATTTAGATGGTGCCTTGGCTGAAGGTTTTCAGAATCGGTATTTTGAATTTCAAGATTTTGAGAGAAAGTTCGAAGAATGCATATCCAAATCTGCAGTAAAAACCAAATTCGAACAACACTCCCAGCGAGGAAAACACATTGCTACGTATGATTTCATTAAATTGCAATGTTTTTATTATAAGTTTATTGATAAACCTTTGATGATTTATTATTATCAATTACAGAGAAATCCGTCAAACTTTGGATGAAATATTAAATCGTGCTCAAAAAATGCGTGTCGAACAGTTAGCTATCAAAAAAGAAGTTCATGATAAGCTCAATTTTACTGAAGAACAATTGACGTTAATTACCCAAGAGATGAAGAACAAAATTCATCATATGGTTGAAGATGTAGAACAACGTGTTTCAAAAGCATTAAACGAAGAAATTAGACGTCTTGCTGTTCTTGTTGATGAATTTAGTGTACCTTTCCATCCAGAATCACTTGTTTTAAATGTTTACAAACGAGAACTTCATACTCACGTTGAAAATGGCTTAGGTAAGTATCTTTTATTGAAATAAAAGAAAAGTGAAATAATTATTAATCGATTATATTTTTAAGGTTCAAATCTACGAGCCCGTTTAAGTACAGCATTAGCACTCAATATGGAAGCATCTCAACGTGAAATGACCAACCGAATGGCTTCATTATTACCAGAAAGCAAAAGACAATTAAGCTTGAATATTTTACCTAGAAGAGAACCTTTCGAAATTTTATATCGACTTAACTGCGACAATCTATGTGCTGATTTCCATGAAGATCTAGAGTTTCGATTTTCCTGGGGTATTACAGCACTAATCAACAGATTTGCTGGAAAACAAGGACAACGATTAGCTATTGCTAATTATCCACAAGAAGTAATTAGATCATACTATTTTTTAAATCATATTTTCAATTATTTTTCTTTATTCATGAAACTTTTTAATTGTAGATTCCTCAATCAATAGTTTCACCAACAGACAGTGTGGATTCTGTAAAATATGTAACTAGCTCAGTGAATTTCCCATCACGAAATGATGATTGGTCTTTGGCTACTCGAATAGCTATTGCATCCATCACTTCACAGGGCACTATGGGTGGCTTGATCGTTGCTGGATTTGTAAATATTTACATTTAACTTTTGAAATATTTTTAGTAGAAAAATATTTTCATATAATATGATAATTTCTAGATGTTAAAAACAGTCGGCTGGAGATTAATAGCCATAACAGGTGCGATTTACGGAGCATTGTATCTTTACGAACGACTAACTTGGACTAATAAAGCTAAAGAACGAGAATTTAAACGACAATATGTGGATCATGCTACTAAAAAATTACGATTAATTGTAGATCTTACATCTGCAAACTGCAGTCACCAAGTGCAACAGTGAGTTGATAAAACTTTTTTAAATACTAGATTTATCAATGATTTTGTTATCTATGTTTAATAATTATTCATTGTTACAGAGAATTGTCAAGCACTTTTGCTCGATTATGTCATTTAGTTGATGAAGCAACAACCGAGATGGACGATGAATTAAAAAATATTGCAAAAACTTTGAGAGTTCTCGAAGAAGCAGCTACCAGTGCTAAAGTGTTGAGAAACAAAGCAAACTACCTTGCGAATGAGCTCGAATTATTCGATGCAGCTTACATAAAATCGTTGAATTAGTTAGAGAATTTAATTTTACAATTATAAATTTTTTAGACCGGAATTATGTTTAAAGTGATTTATACCGTACTCGAATTTATCAACTGTCGTACTCAATAATGGATTGTTATTACGTGATGATCTAGTCTTAACGTTGAAAATGATTTTTCTTTTATTTATCAGCAAAGTTTATTATAATTTCAATTTCTTTGTCCTGATTTTATAATTAATTACACGTCAATCGATCAGATTTTTTGATTTGAGTTTTCTTTTTTGATTTTGTATAACATTATCGATATTTTATTCTCTATAATAAACAGCAATTTTTGAGTAATTGATGGTTCTAAAGCTTGTTGCTATTTGGTTTCGATTATTTAATAAAATTCGCAACGAATCGTTATTATCACAAAAATGTATATTATTGTATTAATAAATCATATACTGTTTAGAAAGTAAAATGTGTTAATTAATTTTATAAAATTTTATATCTGTAAAGTAAATACTGTTATTATTTATTTAAACTTTAATTTTTGAAAAAAACACTTTAAAATTTCGCGCTTTTACTGATGCGTAAAATTGCCGTAACGGAAATAGATGGTACCTTAAATAGAATAATAATAATAATAATAATTCAATGTTGACATGAATTATAACCTTACTTTTTGAAACTGGTCAATAATTGAAAATTAATAGAAATTGTAAACAATATATTATTTTTAATGGAAGAGTGATAAAAAAATATGAATCTAAGACATATCTGTCCACTGTGGAGCTATCAACGTTGGAATCATTTTCGATATAGTCATTCTTTGCATTCATCGGTAAAAAATAATTAATATTCTATATACTTAAATTGTTTAAATTTTTTATTATTAATTAGTTACTTGTATGTTTTTCAGAATTCAAAGTTTAATCTAGTGAAAAATACTAAAACAGAAAATGCTGATGTCATAGGACCTCCAGATGAAATATCCAATCTTCGACCAATTATTTTTGCAAAATCTAAAAATGAAACTAAATTAGAAAAAGAATATAGAGAAATGAGGGAGGATACACAAAATTGGAACCAACAGTTCTGGTCTGAACACAATTCAAGATTTATTACGGTAGGTTTTACAATAATATTATAATTGTAAAAATTTTTATTCATATGTAGCACATCATTGCAGGAAAGAAAACAATTCCAGAAAGGCTTAAATAAAAATGATGGGTCAATTACCGCTGATCAAATGTCAATATTCTACAAGAGTTTTTTAGATAAAAATTGGAAAACACATTTGAATTATAATATATCATGGTACAAAAAAAATTTTCGTATTGTTTTTCTTGAATTACGAGTAAGACTGTCAAAATTTAAATTTAAATAGCAATCAATTTTTTCTTCTCTTATAAAGTTGGAGAATTAAATTACAAATTCATAATAAGGAATAATTATTTTACAAAAATTAAGTACAATAGGAACAAAAAATAGAATAAATTTTGAAAAATAAATAATGCACTTGGTGCTAAAATCCTAGTTCGATTTCGAACAAATCACGGATTGAAAATTTTATTTTGCAAACATAACAATATGTATCCTAAATAAAAAAAATAGTAGTATTTACTAGCAATATTTTATCGAATAAAGAATTCAAGATGCCTACATGTATGTCGTGAATTCTTAATTGTAGAGAAAAAATGACATAAATTTTTTAATTGAATTGTAAATAATATTGTAACTAAAATTTTAAAAAATTTGTAAATAAATTATGTTAAGGAAGATTTTTGTTTAATTTTAATTAACCACACCAAATTTTTATTATTATTATATTTTTACATAAAATTATATAATTCATTTTAACACAGTAACTTGCTGACTAGGATTAGTGATACATTGTTGTTAGTAATATTAAAAAATAATTAAAAAATTATTGATTTCAAGTAACTTTACCCTGAAAAGAATTAATAGATACAAAAAAGACATAACATTCTTAACAACTTTGGTTCATCCAATTATTATTGCCACGTTGCAACCATTTTTCGGGTTCAGTCTTCACATATCTAAATATTTCACTGATATGAAGCAATTAATATAAAATAAAATGAATAATGACGAACGTATTATTCATAAAAAAAATTCAGAATAAGATAAAATTAAATATTTTTATTTTGAATCATTGTTTTAGACCGCTTGATGTTACCAAGTTTACAGCTATTCACATTGCTAGCAAATCTTAATGAATTGAGAGTTTCATTATAACAATCATCAAGTGGAGAGACATTTAGAAGCATCAGAGTTTTCGAGTTACCACCCAGTGAAGGCATTAGTAGATGCGTGAGTTTAGAATTTCTATAAGGAATATGATCCTGCTTTTTCAAAAGAGCTAAGATAACATTCCCTAAGTTGGCGAGAGATTTATTAATGTTCTTTGTTTCATTGATACGTTTCATTTCGGTGTCACTTAAACGTTCAGATCCTGCCAAGTCAACCAAATTAAGAGTTCCAAAGCATTTTTCCCGCTTACTCTTGTGAGTTCCAATAAGACGGATTTGAGCTACAGAATGAGACCTAGATGATCGTTCGTTGGATTTAGTTGCTGCTACTGCACGATTTTGTTGAGCTGTGCGTAGACATGAGTGCAACTCTTCTGGATTATGTATTTCTTCAATTTGTAAATTGGTTACATACAGATCAGTCCCTCTAGAGTCAACCATCCTGATCTCATGTATTTTCTGCTGACTGTCCAAAAGATCTACAATGTGCTCGTTATAGATTTCAAGAAAACTTGCTTCGATTTTATACTCCCATCCTAGGAGCTCAAATTCTTTCATTTGAACGAAGATATGTCGGACAGTTCTAGGTATCATACCTTCTAACTCAGGATCATCACAACCTTCCATCGTATACGTTTTACCGGAACCAGTTTGACCGTAGGCAAAGACACAAACATTGTAACCTTCCAAGGCTGATTGAACAAGCAGAGACAACTCTTCAAAAATATCTGCTTGGGTAGCAGTTGGTGGAAAAACTTTATCAAAGGAGAATTCTTGTTTGTTACAACGTGCTTTACCACTGCAACTCACTGAATTTGAACCATCAGCTCTTGATATTTCCAAAGTACTTTCATCAACATAATTGATAGCACAAACATTCTTCGACATTTCTTTTTCAATTCTTGGTCGTACTCTACAGAAGACTCGAATGTTACCTTTCATTTCTTGAATAGTATTGTGAAGTACTCTTCGATCTTTATCCATCTCATGACATAGATTTTGTAAATCTGTTATTCTATTTTGGAGTTCTTTAACAAATTCAGTGGTTTTTATGTGAGTTACTTGCAAATTCTCCAATTCTTTTGTTGTTTTGCCATATTTTTCCGTTATTTCTTCGATATCTTTTCTAAGTTCTGTCAGTTCTCCACTCAGTTTATCATTTTTATTTATTAACTCATTAATTTTTTCGTTATTTTTTATTTCATTATTTTTATAGCCATCTATTATACTCTGTAATTCTTCACGTTGCTCTTTTATTCTCTCCTGTGAAGCTTTCAAAATGTTTGAATGTTGGTCAATTTCTTCTTGTTGTTTTTGACAGATTGATTTGTACTTTTCTTCAGATTTTTTTGTCTCGTCATATAGCTTTTTAATCCTTTGAATTTCACTTTCATCATCATTATTAAGCTTCGTCGTTTGTTTATTCTTCCGTATTGGTGTCATTAAAATATTTTCACTATCACTATTTTCATCTAGAAGTTTTCTTTTTGCCAAAATTCTTGGAGACCTTCTAGGAGGTTCATTTTCATTTGCAATTTTTCGTAAACTGCTCTTCCCACTTTTTTTTGGTATTTTATTGTTTGGTGTAGTTTGGAGTTCGTAATTTTCAATGTCCATCTAAAAATAATTATTTTTTATTACACAAAATTTCGTTATTTATACTATAATTAATTCCATTTAATCATATTAAAAACAAATACAATGTCAAATTGTTATTTACCTTTCCGGTATTATCCATCTAAGAGAGTGTATCCATAAACTTTCTCAAATATTGGAAATGATTGTTCAACTTCTGAAAACTTCTTTAATTAAATTAAAAATACTTCTTACAAAAATTGTCCAAACATTAAAACTAAGTCAGAACGGATGATTCCAAAACCGTTACAGTCGTCGTCTTCCAACTTGAATTATTCCCCCAGCCAATCACATAATTCAAGATGGTGGCCACCAATAAAAGATAATAAGCTTTAGCGGGAAATTATGAAATTTAACTTTTGTATTGAAAGTTATTTCGATAATATATCCGTTCATTTTACTTTAACATTTATAAAAGTAGATTTTCGTATGTCATAAACAAATTTTTTGATTAAAATAAGCAATTACTTGTGACCATCCATCAATAACGCTCTGATTATCTTTCTCTTTAATGAATTTTCCCTGTGGTTTGCAAAAATTGAATGAGAATTTTCCAACATGATAGAATGCTTTTAAAATCTAAAAATGAAATTACCAGAATAAATTCACTTTCTTTTTTTTTTAACAAAATTCTGGTTATTTTATTTTTTTCTCGCCAACTGAAAACATGTAACAGGGTACCGCCCTGATCTCGTCAAAGTGCATTGTCATCTCTAGAATGGCATATTCATGAAAGCACCTATCAATTGCTTGGTAATCACTTTAGGATATATTGCCCTATTTTACTTTACAAGTAGGATTGAATGCTCATTATAACATTTAATTAAAAATGAGTGACGTCATTTTAAAATAAAATAATTTATAAAAAAAATAAAATAATATAAATATATAAATAATGGGCAACGTTTTTTAAGTCAGAGTACCTTTTAAAATTAAGAGTACTCGTACAACAAGGTCCAAAATAAAAATTATATTTAGGAATCCAGGTACTGAGTAACAGTTACTCTGAGGAGTACTACTTGCCCATGCCTGGCCTAGAGACTACAAATTTCTTTCATTAAGGAGTAATCACATTAGTTGCTGTACCTGCCAAACTAACAAAGGCTATTTCAGATGAACCATTGTACTTAGCTTTTATGAGTCGCTGTTTCTCAATTGCGGACAGGGTCCATCCAGGTTGTGATCATTGTCTTAAATGTCATCTCCGCCTACTAAGAACAAAAATCTAAAAATAGGGAGGAGTAGGTAAAATAAGTAATGCTTATTGGTTCGAAGATTATTTGCCAATTTCTACAATTTTGTAGAAACGTCTCACTTTCTGTAAAACCCCCTCCAAAAAGTGTTTGAGAGCAGAATCAACTTGCCAATTTCTGCAATTTTGTAGAACCATCTTATTTTTCGGATGCAAATTTGCGTTATATTTATCTGTAGGGTGGTACATATTTTTTTGTAGGCGGGGCTAATTTCTTACTCTGTTTTGGTACCTGACTATTTTCTAATTGACCCCGTCCGCAATTGAGACTACTATGGTCAAGACCCTGTCCGCAACTGAGACATTTTATTACACTATTTTTGGGCCTTGTCCGCAATTGAGGTGCAGCTTTATAAGTCACTTATCCCTAAGTTTGGTTGATAATAGCTCAAGTGGCAATTCTATTAAGAATATTATACCCTGTTCTCTTGGTAATTCCATGGGTTTACTTGACTTAAGCGGGTGACGCTTGACCTTCCCAGCTTAGTATAATCCTGGCGAACATAAATATTAGCGAAGATTGTTTTCTCTTCATCTGTTGTTTTTAAACATGATTTATGAGCTGAGGATCATCAATGTGATAATATTCTTCCACTATTTCCATATCTTTCTATTGTATAATGGGTTTTCCTTCAATTTATTACTTTATGAGAGAAGTCGGGTACTTTCCCTCAAAATTCCCGAGATATTAGAAAAATTTAATTTTAATTCCTTTTGTAATATTTACAAAATCTGAAGATATATGCACGGTATAAGATCGTCTGACACTCTTTTGTACGCATACACATATTTTAAATTAAAAGTTTACTTCTGTCTGAAAACTACGACAAAAAAAGAATCCCATGGAAAGTCCCTCGAAAAAACCCCAACGGATTTTTCCAGGAGCCTTCTAGACCTAGCACGTGGGACTGCCCCCACTCCTCACAGCACAATCAATCGCCGCACATCCTTTTCCCTCCAAAAAAAAGGGAAGAAGGGTAGGACCTCTCGACAGTCGTCGCGTGTTTTCTTTTGGGCCAGTTGATCGTCGGTTTTTCTAAGATACACTTCTCAGATACAGTGGTTTTCGTCGAAGAAGTGTTTTGATGTTGTTGCGAGTTTCATCACCCTCGCTGGTGAATCGTTGGTTGCCCACGCTGGTAACAGGTGAAGGTTCATCCTCGCTGATGAACAGTGATCGTCCACCCTCGCTGGTGATAGACTTAAAGCTACCCGTGCTGGTGAGAAGTTTAGTCCGCCCTTGCTGATGGACAACTGTAAGTTTTTCATTTTCTAGGTTACAGTAGAGAAGTTCCCGGACTCAATCCAATCACCATCTTGCTCGAGTCAACTGAGAGGATGCATCAGTGGGATCTTAGCGACTGTTATGGAATATATTTGATACAATAAAGGAGTGAACTGAAAACAAATTATACCCTGAGTTTATCACTATTTCCTAACAACTTCCAATCAGCCAAGAAATGCTTTTTTTCTTAGTTATAATTTTTTAAAGTCACAGAGAAAGATAAAAACCATTATTTCCAATATGACAGAAAAATTTACATCGTATAGCAATGGATTAGCTTTTATAATTGTCAAACATGCTTGTTAATTTCGATACATTTTTACAATTTTTATAATAAAAGTCTATGTAGTTTTAATTTCTATGAAAAAATACTATCATCCATCATTTATTTATTTTATAAAATAGAAATATATTTCTTTTATTTCATTTTCATTGAAAGAAAATTTCAATTTTATTTACTTCTACCCGAAATATGACGTAATTAAATAAACAGGCAATTATAGGACAATTGTTTTCATAGATTTGTGTCATTAATTTAACTTAAGTACATAATCCAATATGATATTTTACTGTTGAGATATACAAATGCAAACTCCTTCAAAAAAGGGAAAAGACATTCCGAGTTCAACATGTGATCAAGTAAATTTAAAAAAAAAAAGTTTAGTAGAGTAAATTTTATGCATCTACGAATCAGAATTCTTACTTTTGAAACGTCGACTAGCATGTCTTCATTCGAATGTCTTCTCTTCCCACCATCAACTCCAACATCCCCAGAATGAGACAGAGGGCCCGCCGGCCAATAAAAGGACCATTCATTCCTGGCATTTCATCCAAAAGATTTTAGTCCTTGCAGTGTAACAACTCAAGTTTGCTCCGAAAGCTACCACATCAGTGTCAAGTGAAAATTGTGCAGCGCAAAGTGTTGCGTGCATAACTTTACTAAATTATCCATAATGGAATCATCCCAAGTAAATAATTATTGCTGGCCATCAAGTCTTCGAGAAGCCATCGAGTCAAGGAATTACGGCTATTTAGAAAAGTACTTAGCAAATGGAAATAATATCCACAGCAGAGAAGCTGAGGGATTTACTCCACTCCAAATCGCTCTAAAATTAAACGATATCAAAATAGTGACATTCTTGCTGGAAAATAGGGCTGATCCAAACAAATTTTACCTTCATGAAGATTGGAAGGGCTGTTCTCCTCTACATTTTGCTTTATCTCGAAGAAGTCATAAAATGGTAATGTTATTAATTGAATATGGAGCCGATCTTTTTGCCATGTGCTATAATAAAATACCGGCGATTTATTATGCTATCAAGTACAATCGAGTACAAATTATTCGCTATTTAATGAGAAATGGAATCAGTCCTGATTCTCTCATCGATCATGATACTTCCTTACTCACCTGTGCTGTAAAAGAAGGAAATATAAAGATAGTGAAATGTATTCTAGAACATGGACCAAATGTCAACTCTTACCACAACCAGCAAGCAATCGTAGAGGCAATTTATGGATATAAAAATCATTCAAAGAGACTAATGAAGATGCTCGATAAGTATGGGTTCACTTTGCAACGAGCTGATATTAATTCAAAGTTGATTCTGGCAGCTATTAAAAACGGTCACTACGAAACTGTTAAGAACTCATTAGAACTGAGTGTCAATCCTGATCAAGACATCTTTTTTGATCCTTATAAGTGTGAAGAACCCATACTTCCCATAAGTCTTTATATTCAATTTATTTTTCTAATATATCAATATTATTACTTGCATTTAATCTGTTATTAATTATTGTATTAAATAATTTTGTATCTTCTTCTATTTTATTTTATTTACTGTTGTAATTAATGATGTTTTGTATGTGTAATACAATAAATTTAACAATATGAGTTTATTTGTGTGTATTTTTTATTTATACATGTAAAAAAATGAATGAAAATCAACATCAATCAATTTCTTGAAACCTATAAAATAATATATTACCATGTATCTGTCGTTTTTGACAAACATTAGAGCAGAAAGAAATCAACATTTTTACTTTTCTTTCTAGCACAAGAGAGTAAATTTATTAGTAATTCTTGGTTAATAATTTTAGACATAATTCTTCATCTTTAATTCTGTAATTCAAATAAGCTGTCAAACTGCCCTAAATTTTAAATTCTTGTTATCCAAGAAACATTATTCGTTGATCTGTGAACATACATATATTCTTGTTTATCCCTAACACCAAAATGATCAAGATCAATATTTAACTTCTTTATCCTTAAGAATTTTATTTAATTTAATACTTCCTATGTCTTTTTTCCTGCAAAATCTCGTTTCTTTAATATATATTTTTCTGAACATCAATAGCATATTTTTCGATTTTTTCTGTTGAAGAATTAGTGATAGTATTTCCACTGGATTTTGTAGATCCTGAAGATTATTTTGAATAGTCGATTTTTTTCTGAAGTTTATGGAAGATTTATTCACCAGATTTATGTTCTGGTGTCAACGAAAAAGTTTTACAAGCGATTTAAAAATTATTACCTAATCTACTTTCCATCGTTTTAGAACTATACTTATTTATCGCAATAATAATGAACTAGTTTTCAAGTAGCTAAATCATCGATTGCCATCCTTTCAATACAAACTCAGCTGCAGGAAGACGTTTAAGTCATGTGTGTATGTAGAAAAGACATGGCTTGCCATAAAATTTATACAAATTAAAGTTAACTTAATGTTTGAATTTATTAAATTCTTGTCCACTAGAAATTTTAAAGTCTTCATTAGTATAATAATTGAGGAATATTTTTTGTTCATAGAATTGTTAAAATTGTGTTGATAGTCAAGGTTTTGATCAGATACCTAATCTTGATGAATGAAATGATAAACACGCTCTTATTCAATTATCCTAAAATTAATCAAATTAGATTTTTTTATTTTACACAAAAACATAAAAATATATTCCTACATAAATTGTCAAATCAAAATAATTCAGGTATTAGAACTGTCTTGTGATAAAAATGTGGAATATAAATTGGAGAAAACAATATAATAATTGAAAAATAATTTAATTTAATATTAAAATTGTATTTTATAAACAACACTATTAATACAATTTTATTAGTTATTTAACCGAGTTTTTATTAATTTTATAATGATACAACAATTTTTTTGTTTATTAGAAGTGTATTCTAATGAATACATACATCTTCAAAACCTTAAAACTTTATAAAGGTGAGATATAAAATAAAAGTAGTAAGTTCAATATTGTCAGAAATTTAGATTAATATTAAGTTATCATTTGTAAAAATATGTACATATAACTACTTTTTGGTAATTCAATATCTCGGTTATTCAGTCTACGAATATAAATCATTTACGCTTAATAAGATAAAAAAACCAATTTAAGTCTACAATATAAAATATAAAAATGAAAATATTTTAGATACTTTTAAGTATATCAAAATTAAATAAAACTAAGTAGTTGAATTTTGAATAATCGTTTTAGACCTCTTGATATTACCAAGTTTACAGCTATTCACATTGCTAGCAAATCTTAATGAATTGAGAGTTTCATTATAACAATCATCAAGTGGAGAGACATTTAGAAGCATCAGAGTTTTCGAGTTACCACCCAGTGAAGGCATTAGTAGATGCGTAAGTTTAGAATTTCTATAAGGAATATGATCCTGCTTTTTCAAAAGAGCTAAGATAACATTCCCTAAGTTGGCGAGAGATTTATTAATATTCTTCGTTTCAGCAGTACGTGCAGCTTCTTCACCTCTCAGCCGCTCGGATCCAGCCAAGTCAACTAGATTAAGATTCCCAATAGATGTTTCACCTTTGCCCTTGTGAGTTCCAATAAGACGGATTCGAGCTACAGAATGAGACCTAGATGATCGTTCGTTGGACTTGGTTGCTGCTACTGCACGATTTTGTTGGGCCATGCGTAGACATGAGTGCAACTCTTCTGGATTATGTATTTCTTCAATTTGTAGATTGGTTACATACAGATCAGTCCCTCTAGAGTCAACCATCCTGATCTCATGTATTTTCTGCTGACTGTCCAAAAGATCTACAATGTGCTCGTTATAGATTTCAAGAAAACTTGCTTCGATTTTATACTCCCATCCTAGGAGCTCAAATTCTTTCATTTGAACGAAGATATGTCGGACAGTTCTAGGTATCATACCTTCTAACTCAGGATCATCACAACCTTCCATCGTATACGTTTTACCGGAACCAGTTTGACCGTAGGCAAAGACACAAACATTGTAACCTTCCAAGGCTGATTGAACAAGCAGAGACAACTCTTCAAAAATATCTGCTTGGGTAGCAGTTGGTGGAAAAACTTTATCAAAGGAGAATTCTTGTTTGTTACAACGTGCTTTACCACTGCAACTCACTGAATTTGAACCATCAGCTCTTGATATTTCCAAAGTACTTTCATCAACATAATTAATAGCACAAACATTCTTCGACATTTCTTTTTCAATTCTTGGTCGTACTCTACAGAAGACTCGAATGTTACCTTTCATTTCTTGAATAGTATTGTGAAGTACTCTTCGATCTTTATCCATTTCATGACATAGATTTTGTAAATCTGTTATTCTATTTTGGAGTTCTTTAACAAATTCAGTGGTTTTTATGTGAGTTACTTGCAAATTCTCCAATTCTTTTGTTGTTTTGCCATATTTTTCCGTTATTTCTTCGATATCTTTTCTTAGTTCTGTCAGTTCTCCACTCAGTTTATCATTTTTATTTATTAACTCATTAATTTTTTCGTTATTTTTTATTTCATTATTTTTATAGCCATCTATTATACTCTGTAGTTCTTCACGTTGCTCTTTCATTTCTTTTTGTGCCTCTTTGAGTGTTGTTAAATCCTTACTGGCCATTTCGAATTTGGTTTTCCAATCCCACTTACTCACTTTTGTCGGAAGAGGTTTTGGCGGAGCTGTCGTAGGTTTTAATGATTTTCCTGAGACTGTTTTCTTTGATGACACTGTAGTATTCGTTGCCGAAGTTTTTGGAGCAGGCCTAATAGCTGGTTTCTTAGGAGCTACTGCATTTGTCACTGGGCCTGGTCTTTTCACGGCAGTTTTTGTTACTGCAGATGATGTATTTGCTCTTGAAATTGCAGCTACAGTCCGAGCACGGCTTAAAGTTTTACTTGGTGGTGGCTTATTCTCTTTTGTTACTTTGGATATACTTTCACCACTTTTAGATTTACCCATATCTTTCAACGTTGTGGGTTCTGGTTCAGGAACTTGTAATACACTTTCTGTAGCTATACTTATTGAACTTGTAGTTTTTTTAGCACTGAACTTCGGCTTGGGTAACCTCGATTCCATCTAAAAAAATTCATTATTTATAATTATTACTTCTCATGGAATTAAATGTCTATAGCAACGCTATAAAATATTTATTAATGATAATGACTAATTGTAAAACAAATAGAAGTTTTTCTAAAAAAATTCATATGATGGAGAATGTTTATCAAAAATATATGTTATTCAAATTTCGTAGACAAACAGTTATTAACAAACATAACTCCAAAATTAAGAAATTTAGATTAATAAGATTAATTTAAATAATTACCTGATAATATTAATAAAAAGAAATATATAACTAAATAAATATATAATATATTTAAACCATTAAAATTATAAAATAATTAAAATTGTAGTGTGTACTAACCTTGATCTCGAAAATTTATTTTTCAGATTCAATTCATAAAATATATATAATTATAATTTTCCAAAATATTGACAGAACAAAATATTTTTGTAACACTGCATTAATAGATAAAATATTGCCTCAGAGTTTTTTTTGAAGAAACTAAAAATAATTCTTATTGACAGCCTTAGAATAGTAGTTTCACTTGTAACATGACTAAATGATTCTGAAAAACGTTGATAGCCGTTACACTTTAACCCACGCCGTTCTTGTTTGAACCTGCTCACATGACCGATCGACCAATCAGATCATTCAATATGGCGACGGCCAATAGAATCAAAATATATCGTAGCGGGTAATATGAAAGAATTTATTTTAAAAATTGTTGTTTTGTGTGTGAGGAATTTTAAAACAAAATTCATCTCATACTTAATAATATCTTATTTTATTCTATATACTATATTAAATATTACATATATTTGATTATATCATAATTGTAATATTGTTTATACTTGATGTTATTTACACTGCTTTTATTGTTTTTTTTTTGTTTTCAGTTGATCCTGCATGCTGACTGCACAGTTTCAACACTCTGCCTAAGCCATTTAGCACTCCATTATTCTTTTGGCAACTTTGTTTTGCTATAAAATAAATCACAATAAATAAACTATGGCTGCCTACATCAATCGCACAGTTTCAATGATTGGAGGAGACAGCCAACTTCGTGTAAACGATGCTAGAATTGACAATTCTCCTCTCCAGATTTTCGTCAAAGCGAAAAAGAAAATCAACGATATATTTGGAGAAATTGAAGACTATGTCCAGGACACAATGATTTTTATGGAAAGTAAGGTTCTTCATATAACTCCTTCGAATATTTACTACCATTAGGTTTATCAGTTTTTCTGATCAATATTTCAATTTTTCAGGTCTTCAAGATGATCATAATATCATTAAGAAAGAAGAAATTGAAAATATCAAGGGTTATGTTAATAAAGTTCATGGTATTCGTGATGTTCTCAAGCGGGATCACATGAAAGTAGCTTTTTTTGGAAGGTAAGTTTTATCTAACCAATTTTTTTTTTGTTAAAGTTTTATAGAAAATAACAAAATAATTATATTTAATATAGAACCAGCAATGGAAAAAGCACAGTCATTAATGCAAAGTTAAACAGTGTTCATATCAAGATTTTCATAAGTATAAGAAAACAATCGAGAGTTGATTACAATACTAGTGACAAATTTTGCATACTGCATAATTATACCATATGAAATAGGTTCAGTGTATCGTGTGACTCTTTTATTAAACAAGAAGCTTGCTTTTGATTGTAGAGATTTCTATGCTGAAAGAGACTAAAAGACTGGAGAGGAATTTGAATTGGCCCTTGAGGTTTATTCTCTGCTATACCAGAACCACCCTCTCTTTCTCTCACCATAAGACCTGCGCGCTGTTGAGACATTCGTGTTTGCCTACATCACTGGATATGCTTTATTTCATCAGTCACGTGGAGACGCTATCCGCGTACGGGTCTAATTTAAACACACGTTGGCCCTTATTGTTTTTCATTTTCGTTCACATTTACTTTTTTTCCGTGTATTTATATCGAATCATTCTGTTTAATACTTTGGTTAAGTTGCTGATAACCTCTTACACTGGTAAGTCAACTTATTCATATTCAATTTTAATCTGATTGATGTCGATCATCTCATTGACGTATTATTTTTTTCTGATGACATTCCTACTATTAATTCATTTGTTCAATTGGAAAATAATAAATCATGAAATTAGAATGAACGATAGTAATTTTATCAGCTTAGAATAATCACATAATTTGTTATAAAGATCTTGAAAAAGTAGAATAAAATGATTGAGATGGTCGAACAATAATTCATTAATAGTTGACATGTCATTAAATGTGAATGCTTTCAGTCATCATTTTTTATTAAAAGAAAAAGTTCTTACGCAAAGCTGTGTAGGAATGATAGATGAATATATCATAACGATGTCAATTGAAGAAGATAAACCACAGTTTTGATTTTCATGTTCTGTTCTTCATAACAAAAGTGTCGGGTAGTGGTATAACTGTCATTTCCAAGAAAATGACAAGTGTTTAAAACGGATTTTTATCATGATTAAAATGAAGTAGAAGTGCTTATGGACTTCAGAATATTGGAATTCTTTTTGATATTAACTTGAAGTGACATATCAATTATTAATCATTTCCCTTGAATAATATTGTCACAAGAGAGTTTACCAAAAAATTATCTGTGGCTTTTTAAAACAAGTTCAAAGAAGTCGGTCATTTTTTATGATTATTGCTCGTTCGCATCTTACCTGCAGACTTTATTTAATGGCCTTCTTGTTTAAAAGCTAAAGGGTTTTTTTACATTTTTTTTTCTCCCGTTTCCGACCACTGATATATGGTCGCTTAATGTCGGATTGCGGTCATCCTTAATACTTTCTTCTATTGCGCATACATAAAAAAATGTGTATTTGTTAAAACTAGAATACAAACAAAAATAATTAAAAATATCTATAGTCTTTATAGCGGACAAAAATGCAGCCAAACTTTTTCATTAGTTTTTTCTTACAAAGAACTGGCACAGCTCCTCAATTTTGCTGTAGTTCCGGATAAAATTCCACTCATATCTACTATTTTTCCTGTACTGCAGTATTTTCGATGGAACTGATGCATTTTTAATGCATCATAAAATTTTCTGTTCCAAAAAATGAATGGTGTTGACTATTTATTCCCAGGAGTTTTGATAAAAATCTTGGACACAGTTTATCATATTAAACCATAAAATCTGTACAGAATTTAGTGATCATATTTTATCAAAGGTTTGTAAATTTTCTTTTAAATTATTACATCAAATTATTAAAGCTTTTAAAGTATTATTATAGCCATCAAGAAAATATGTACCTGTCAAATTATCTTCTTCCAACCAAATAACCTGATTCTTTACTTTGAATCACGTCCATTTTTTGATATCACTGTTCTTAAATGATAAATGTCCAAATAGTTGAGATGGAAAAAAATGAAAATGATTTAAGAGTAGAGAAATAAAAAATCTTCCATTAAAATTTATACATAATACTATTAATTTACAACATCAAATAAATTTCACTGACTACATCAATTTATTTTACACATAAATTATTATTTTTTTTTTTAGATCCACCAGCACTTTATTTACTGATCAATCATTTTTTTACATCTGCATTCACCTATTCTTTCTCCTCGCAAAGAATATTCTGAATGATAAATAAGCCATAATAAAAATCGGTGAGAAGTTGCAGATGAATTTACAGACTGATCCAACGTATATCCACATTGAGAATGACATACACGTACTTATGGGTATAAATACTCAGTACACTACCCTAGGAAAGTGTACAGCTGTCTCATACACGCATCTTAAACATATGTGACGTATAGATATGAACATTTGCTCCCGGCGCTTGAAAGCTCTTGGGAGGATGATGGACGACTCCCGTACGCCGGATATGCAGCAAAGTGCTCTTCCTTTTGCTCTCAAAGCTTGGATTACGCGAGAGAGTATTTTGCATTCTTCAATTAAGTTAGCTTGTATGCAAGAAGAATATTTCAATTATTTAAGAAAAAAAAACAAAATGTGGGATCGTTTACTTTGCGGCTTCTTTTTCAATCGTCAAGCTATAGAATTGCCACGTTATATTACAGCAAAAACAAGTGCTTCAGTTTGTTATAAGTCAAATCCATTCAGTGCTACATAAAATCACAGTCATAGACTGACAATTTATACTTCATATATCTATTTGTATTTCAATTAGATCAATATGCATCATAAAGCTGAATTATGTTTATTACACTTACATTTAATAAGTGATATTATGAACAAGTTTGTTGTAGGACGTATGGCATAATCGATCCTATATTGATTGAGTTAAAATAATAAATATCTGGTCAGTAACTAAGTCCTTGACTTGAAAACATAGAAAAAAACTTCTTTGTAGTGGAAGTTTTTTTTTTTCAATGAAAATGTTGGTGGTTGGTTGAAGAATTATGTTCTTCATTAGTGAAGTGATTTTATTTTTTTTTATTTTGTGGTAAATTGGTAATTATTTATATTATACCTAAGAGGAAATAGTTTTTTTCTTAAAACAATTAATTTTAAAGCTCATGAACTAGCTCATAAAGTAACACAATCTTGTATCTAATGTACTAAAACCAGCTGTATACCTCCGTTGAAGCATCAACACACTTATTGGGTTTATAGTTTCTTGAAGCATGTAAGACTAAAAGCAAGTAAAGCGGAAGTAGTTTCAAAATAATATTTTTGCATTTTTTGTAAAGAAAAATTCATTCTGTACAAAATAGGTATTACAGTTTTTTTTTTTTAATTCTCTTATTATATAAAGAATTCTAGTGGATTTTATGAATACTGCTAATAGTTTTTTAGATTTTTTCATTATCAAGTTCTATTATTCATGAAATAAATTAATGATAATTATTATTGTTATCAAGTATTGTCTCAAAAGTTGTGCTTATAGTTAAGACACTTTAATCAACTTTATAAAAAGCTTAGTCATCATAAATCAAAATTTTTTGTGAGCATTTTCCTTTCAGCTCTATCATATCGATTTTTATTGAAGATTTTTTTTAAAAATAATTAAATCATCTACTAATAAATCATATCGCAAATCTGTATTTGCTCATGAATGTGTAATGAGTAAATTTATTTAGAGATGAAGTGATCTATTCGTGTGAATTTTATTACTTTTAATCACGTCCTTAAACACATTCACTTAACTCAGATGTTGTTGTGGTGTTGATATGTTGATATTTTCATAAAAGTAATCAAGAAACTACAGGTATACACACAAGTAACGTAGTTTCTGAGAGATTTAATTATCTTTAACATGGTTTCTTTGAGTGCACAAATTATGCAAGTTTATTCTACAAGACATTTAATGTTATATTCAGTCTCATCAACAGTTTAGTATTAACATAAAAATTTTATTATTTAACTAAGTATAGTTATTTTTTAATTATTAATTTGTTAAATTTTTTTTAGCTCCAACAAATAAACATAAAACTTTTGGATAATGGTGATTACATCAGAACAAAGGGAATAATAGAATTGAAGCAAACAATAATTTCTCTTCCTTGTAATCATCCAAAATTTCAACAGACGACAGGGTATTCATCAATAACGTGCGAAGCCACATGATATGGGAACATGAGGGCTTTCAAACCTACATCATGACAGTGGGCATTCACTTGATCTCGAAATAAAATGAATTACTACAAGGAGGACACTCCTAAAGCTAACTCTGCTTGTTGGACCATACACTAGTTTCACATTATCAGTGTTCTTCGCTTTTACATCCACAAATTTATGTAGAAGCATTGAAATACGAGAATAAAATAAATGTGTTAGATGTGGCTTCAACGAACCATCGTACTACTGAATATTTTATCAAGCTGATGAAAATATTCAACAGTATTGACGAAAACTGCAATGCTACATCACATATTCAAATACATTTATTTCGACTCTTATGTTATATAATTAATATGATTAATTATTGGGTGCAAATTTCGACCTTATCCTTAATTTATCGTCGATTTGGTGGATAGCCATTAACCATAGTTTAGAATTGATCAGTTATTCGATGTTAATTTAAACTAAAATGTATACGAGCTCTATAAAATAATTCTACGTTCAAAGTAATGGAAATATTCCAATTTTGAGCTATTAATTTGAATAAATGAATTTGTATTCATGACTATTTGCTTAAATTTCATGGGGAATTTTCGTTAACTAATTTATTTTTGATTATTTCAATTTCCTATATAAATATCTTACTTTTACTTATTTATACAAAATTAATTAGCTTGTTAGTATTCAACTTAGTAATCACTTATTTACTCAGGAAGTGGTTGGTTCATTAAACTGGTGTACATGTATTATTTGCATTTACTTTTAGGGGAATTTCAATTTAATAAGATTTATTGATTGACCATGATGTGCAAGTCATACTGATACTTGAATCCTACACTAAATTAGAAAAACAAAATTAACAAACTCGTTTTTAATTGAAAATTATAATTTAGATGTTTAATTATTAAGAAAATTGTCTTTAGCATCGTGAAGATGATTTTATTTCTATACCTTCATAGCCTCAAGGTTCACCTTGCTTAAACATTTTCTTGTGATAAGCCATCATTGCTTCACTCTTACTACTGCTAGGTCAACTGTTTTCTGAAGCTACGATAAGACAGGTTCACATTTTGATTCAATCTCAAGTTGTTGAAGTTAATGAAGTGAAAAATTAGATTGTCTTTAAGCCATTTGTATGAAGCCAAATTATCACGTCTATATTACATTAAAATTCAATAAATTGATTCGAAAAAGATTAATTGAAGTAAATATAAAAAATTATTAAAATGTCATGGCTAATTAAAGTACTTTTGATATCACTTAGTGTATCATATTTGATATTGAATTATCATACTTACTTTTTAATTACATCTTTCATGACATCAAAGTAATCTTAATATTATTCAAACAACAACTCTAGAAAGTTTGGAAATCGTGCTTGATGGTATAAAATGAGGAAAGTAAATAACCAAGTTTATTTAAATCGAATCAAATACTTATTATGTACATAACAAATGATGAAAATACTATTGTCAGTTTTTTAAATTTACTCAAAGCATGAAACAAATTTTTGTTAGTTTCTTAACATGAAAAATTCAACTTGGAATTATGTTGATTGATATTGATTTGACTTCATTTTAAAAAGGGTTGTGGGTTTGAATTTTTTACATGATAATTAATACTCTGGAAATGAAAAGAGAAATTTAATTAAGTCGGTCAGGATAGAGAATAGTATTTATTACAGATAATGTATTTCTATTTTTATTGTGATTCATTTTCATTTGTTAAGCTGAGGTAATGAGAATATTGTTTTTCATTTAGAGTTTTATATATTCATTAATAATCATTTTTTAATTATTGTGAGAAAGTTGAAATATGTAGTTCTATGTCAGGAAGTATAAAATAATTTAGATTTGTCTACTTTTTGTCAGCAAAAAATGATGAGCTCCTGAATAGTTAAGAAATGCATTGTTTGACCGTGATGATTTAAAGTTCTACATTCAGACATTCTTCACAAGTTTCTGCACAGTTAAATTTTCTCAAAAGAAAGATTTGTTTGATTCTTCCGAAAACACTTTTATTTCGCATTATTCCTTCAAGTTCATGCTCCGATAACATATGGTTACGACAATGTCGATAATATTGTTCAAAAGTTTGTTTCTTCGACGATTTTTAGGGGTATCGGTTGGAAATCGAATTTAGATTCTGTGCTACATCTGTCTCACAGCTTTATCGTCTAGCAATTTATTTAGTCTGTCCGAAAAAGACTATCACGTGCCTTTAAACTTGGCATGGAATATAAGAAAGTATCAAATTAAATCGGAAAAACTTTCTCATAAATAAGATATAAAGCAAAGCGAAATAAATACAATTTTCATTCCTTCTTTTTTTCTTGGGTTCTCTGTCGACTTCCGGTTAATATTTCAATAGCAAAAATAACTAAAAATTGTCGTAAAGAATGAAATATACTTTAATTTTTTTTTGCTGTGATATATTTCTAGTTAAGATGAGTTTTTGTTGTGATTTATCATATTCAACTGTTGCAGATTTTCAAATTGATGAAAGAATTCTTTAAAAAATTATTAATATTCATTTCGTTTATTGTTATTGTAATGAACATTTCAACGAAATGAAAACAAGATCAACATTGTTTCTAATATGAAGAGTTCATAGGAATGTAATTTAAAGAAAATGTCATTTATTCCCTTTGATCTATGAGGTTTTAATAAACTCTATTGACACCTGACTTTATACTTTAATCTTCATTTTCTCTCTTGAATATTACATCCAATTGTTTCTCTGAAAATTTCCATTTTTTGATACATCATGAAATTATTAATTTTCTGTATTACTAAAAAAAATTGTTTTCAAAATTGTGGTTGTATCTCGTTTGAAAAATAATAATGAAAAAAGAATTTTTTGATTAAAATAAGCAATTACTTGTGACCATACATTTTTCGGTGGTACTTCTCCAAAGGCTTTCTCCATCAATAACGCTCTGATTATCTTTCTCTTTAATGAATTTTCCCTGTGGTTTGCAAAAATTGAATGAGAATTTTCCAACATGATAGAATGCTTTTAAAATCTAAAAATGAAATTACCAGAATAAATTTACCTTTTTTTTTTAACAAAATTCTGGTTATTTTATTTTTTTCTCGCCAACTGAAAACATGTAACAGGGTACCGCCCTGATCTCGTCAAAGTGCATTGTCATCTCTAGAATGGCATATTCATGAAAGCACCTGTCAATTGCTTGGTAATCACTTTAGGATATATTGCCCTATTTTACTTTACAAGTAGGATTGAATGCTCATTATGACATTTAATTAAAAATTGTCTGATGAGTATTTGACTTTATTCAAATTTCATTCAAGCATATTACCACTAAAATTAGTACATCTATTCACTAAGAGATTAGAAGCCTTTCTTACACTCTATTGTCTCAGAAATAGACGGTGAATTCTATGATACCTATTAACATGCTATAAACAAATTAATCTTGCATACATAATACCTCTTATTGAAGGTAATAATTTGTAATCAATAGCTTATTGCATTGAGTTACACAACTCTAGTAAAATGCATCAACAGAAGTGCAATTTAGAGTTTAATTGTTCCTTAATAGATTGTCACTCAAAGTTACTTTGAGTAGAATTAATTTTGTTTATCAATAATATCGATTTACAAATATGATTTAATGTTGTTATACTGAAACACGTGAATGCGTCATTATTTTTTTTTAATTTCCTTCCTCAAAGTTTGATGGGAAGTAAACAAAAAAACAAATGAGAAAAAGTAATGCAACATAAGCTTGAGGGCATATCGTGCACGTCATCAACACTTTTCTCCCCATTTATGACCACGTCCTCAAATACTTACACAGAAGATCACATTTGAGAATGTACGTTTTTTTTTGTTTTTTATTGTAAATCCAGGTTATAAGAATGACCCTTAAGCGATCGTTAGATTTATTTGATGATACTACATTTTTTTATTAACATCAATTCTCTCTAGATGAGACACTATTGGCAGCTAGATAAATGCGGAAATATTTTCAACACCCTTGAGGTATCTGTAAGAGACAATAACGCACATAAAATCTTGTACTTGGGGCAGTCATACTATCCCCTTATTTCTCTCAAAGTATTACTTGCACCTCCGCATGTGTAGAGTCAAATTATGTAAATCCACACGGAACCTCTGGAGTATTATCTTAGTGGCAAATCCTGGATTTGAGGGGAGACACTAACGTATCGCAAGGACTCGTTGAATGTTTAAAGGTGCCACACTGTTGGATTACAATGATAAAGAAAGTGGATACAAAGTCTTTCCCTTACTCTTTCCTTCATTTTGTCTGTGATAGAAAAAAATTAAAAAATCTACTTTATTTTTAAAAATTAAATTTTTCTAGCTTTTATCCGGCTGAAAATCCCATCAAATGAAATTGCTATTCATTTTGTTGGTTGTTGAAAAATGGAGTAAAATTAGATTACCATGAATTGGAATGAATAAAAATGAATAGTTAAATATTATTATATGCAATTTTTATTTTGGAAAAATGCAATTTATTTAAACATCATTTGCTAGTTAGATACATCTGTCCATTAATATTGCTGAACAGAACAATATTCATTGATAAACTGATCTCATCAATCAACAGACAAAAAAACTTTCACACTTATTTCAGTGAATGTTAAGAGAAAATGTCCATTCAGGTATATCTAGATTTGATGTACATCTAGAAATATTCTCACTATAATGGATATAAATATAGAAAAGCTTTTTATTATAAATCTAATGCTTGGAGATAGGAAGAATCATCCCATTTACTACATCACTCAGCAATCATTCACTGCATTTTATGATTATTTGATCTTTTTTTTTTTTTCAAGATACTTATTCAGCATAAATTCACTTCTTGATTATTAAAAGCTTCAATTATCAACAAGAATCACATTTAAAAATTGAAATAACATTTTTTTTTTTCCAATGTAAAGAAATAAAAACATGAAACCTGCTACATCTCAATGTATGTGCAATTGTAAAGAACATTTTATTGTCATTCTTCACTCTTATCTCACATATAACAGCTCTTGATTTGTTCAGCATTTGACGATGTCATAAAATATTCTGACATATAAGAGCATAATTTTTTTATTTTTCATCTTCTTTCTACAATAAAGATAAGAGCTTTCGTTATTGTTATAGTTAAATTTAAACTTTTTTCTACATTGTTTGATATCAAATGATAACGTAATATAATCTGCAGTTTCAGAAACAATTTTTTCAATTTCAGAATTGGATCCGTGAAAATTGCCCATTGTGGAGGGCGATAAAAGGCGAACGAGGCATCGTCATGTCACTGCAGCACCGATTAGAGTTCAGGTAACCGGAAATGGTGAGTTCAATGAAATATAGGAATACCAGCTGTCTAAGTTACAGAATCGTTGATCAAATTGACTGCATTTATAGACAGAGACATTTGATAGTTGATATTTACTTTGTTATCCTAAATCTTATTTGAAATAAAACTTAATTTGGATCAGATTAAGCAGTGATTAATTTTATTGTGTTTTCTAGTATCTTGATAGTCATTTCATCTAGCAGGATTTTGAAAACACAGTAAAATTAATTACTATAAATAAAAATAAAACTATTAGAGAAGATAAGTGTTCTGATAATACTGACCAGGAGCAAACTTACTCTCTAGATGTGGAGAAATAACTATGATGAATAAATATTATTGTATTTTATTGTGAACATAATAGTAAAAAGATTCTTTTTAATCATTTTAAATCATAACTTCTTTATTACTTTTTTATTTTCAAAAATAATGAGTTTGAATTTTTTTTGTTAGATATAGAAATTCAAGTCTTGATTCAATCTCTGCTCATACCATCCTATCTATCAGATTTAAACATGTTTTTATTTATTTATATTCAAATTAATTTTTATCTGAACTTATTTGTCAGTTACTTTGATCCAATAATATGCATTTAAAATTATAAAATTTGTGTCTCAACACTATTTTATTTATAAATAACTACAGTTGTTATTTATAAAGTTGTATAGTATATGATAGAAACAATTGTTTGATTCAATAAGAAAATTAAATGATTAAAATATCATATGAGAAAAATACTCTTAGTTGTAAGCCATACGTGAAATTGGAAAGAAAAGTTTAATTAACAGTGGTTTTAAGTACAAAAAAGTTCGAGTTTATTCACAAGACCGTTTGACTTTTATTTATTTCCCAACAAAACTTAACCACTGTAATAAAAAATAAAATTGGTGAAGAAAAATTCTTGAAACTCCAACTGGATCTAATTGGTATGTCAACATCTTTATATTTAGTCCTGCTTAATTTGTGTTGTTTCAGGGAACGTGACAAAGATTGAATTGGAGCTAGAAGAGGCTCCGAATGGAAGGGAAGACAAGCTTCCCACCATTCTCGTTGGTTCAATGTCGTCGGAATTGGATTCTACAGCTGAAATAAATTCCACTTATCCAGGACGTAAGTGTCTAGTCCAAGGACCTAAATAGATAAAGCTACGCCTATTCTATTACACTGAATCTGTCAGACCTTCATCTTTGATTAGTTGGAAAAATGTTATTTATCTGATGAAAATTATTTCTCTAGATTGATTTCTAAATCGAACCTCTATATCACGTTCTTCTACACCATCATCTTCACTTTACCTAGTCATTTCAGATTTTAATTACCGATAAAGTATAAAATGACGTTTAATACGATCATTCAATAAATACAAAATTAAATATAAATTGTATAGCTTTTTAATAAAAGCTTTCATTATAATTTTATTTTCTGATTTTAGTATCCTTAAACTTATTCTTTATGAGCATTCGAGGCCACACAAACTTAATGACGTGAGTTTTATAACCATTAGGTCATTCATGTGTAATCGTTCCCAGTTAAATTATTGCTATTATTATTATTATCATCATCGTTATCTTAATCTTAACGTTGTGGATATTCGCATTTACGATTAATATTTGTTTTGCGACAGAAATGAATTTTTTAACAACAATACACCAATCTGACTATATACAGTCATAAACTTTAGATCCGATCTTTCCAAGCATGATGAAATTTATCTTCAGTATGCCCTCGGAGAAAATATTTTCTACCACATTCAATCAATGGACCTTTTCTCCTTGGAAAATTGTATTTCTTTTATATATATATATTTTTAAGGTATTTCAAAAGAAGCTTTTTTTTTATATTCATTGTTATTTTTTAACTTTAATCAGGTTTTCCGCGACCTGGTGGGATCGTTGTGCGAGCAGAAGAAGCATTTATTGTTATCTTTGTTCTGCTACTTTGGGTTGCTGCCATTGCTCTTTTTTTCAATCGTTGGGGTAAGATTCGGATGTTGGAACCCTATCAGCCAAAATTCCAACAACAGCATCGTAGTAGCTGTGCAATTGTTGATTCAACGCCGGTAAGTGCTGTTACTTGTTTCTCTAACGCTTTAGTATTGCTATTACTAGACAAAGAAAAACAAAAGTGATATGTATCTCTAGGATACGTCTATCCATTAACCCACATGTTTCTGACGTTTAGCTGATAAGAGGTGCATTCAGTGTACGATGTGTAGGAGCTGACAGATCTCGAATTGTATTCAATTCAATCGATTTCATTTAAATTTCAAAACGAAAATCAATTACTATTTATCTCGTATATTCAAATAGAATTTTATAGCTTCCTGTTAGTTGTTTTCTGGTGATTGAAATTGGTACAAAATGAAAACGAAAAAGCACGAAAGTTTATGGAAAAACAAATTAACAAACAGTTGATAAGGAAACAAAATAATTGTGATCTTTTTGTTAGTGATATTATAAAGGTTTTTTTTGAAATTAAACTATTTTAGCCTTTTCTAAAATGCACTTGTTTTTAGGTTTAACAATAAAAGTTTCATTACTTCAAGTCGTCGTTAAAGCAGTTACTGTTGAAAGAGTGATTAGTAGAATGTACTCAGTTTAATGTGGTGAATGTGTTTCTAGTTTATGGGGTTTTCTCATTATTTTGATAAGAATTTAAACATTTTTATTTAAGATGAACATTCATTGGCAATAAATCAATGAAGGAAATCGTTGGAGTTTAATTTTAAAAAATTATCTAGGTTATAAAAATACTGTTGGACTCTTTTCTAACTAAAAATGCTTCAAAACATGACATCATACTGTTTCAAAATTTTCCCTTGACTCTGATCAAAGAAATTTCTCTTTTTGAATTTTTATCATCAGTGTTTCTGAATGTGAGATAACAGTAACAATTGTAATTATTCTACAATATAATCAAAAAATAAATTGTCATTTTTTTATTCATTTATTTTTTTTACTACTTTAATTGAAAAAAAGTTACAAAGTCTCATTTGTCTATGGGATAAATTTTTTTGTTGAAAACAATAGATTCACAGTGTAACAGTTCTAAAGATCAGTTCATTGATATTCTCAACACAATGCTTATTCTGAACAAAATACTCTAGGTCAGTGGTTCTGGCATGGAAATATTCTAGACACACATACACAAAGTTATGTAACTCCCGATAAGAATTATTCAAAAATCAAAGTGTTATAAAATATTGTTAATAAAATTATCTCTGGGTTAACTGAAAGGACTTGTTCAATGTCATTACACTAATGGATATGCCCACAATTTTCTATAATTGCAAATACATATAACCCTGGACCCTAAACATGCTATCAATCAATATATTGATATTCTATAATAAAATTTTAAATGTGTAACAAAAGGTAATTTTTTCCCACATTTTTATTAAAATAGTTATTTTAAAAAATTTCTGTAAATAATTCTAATAATATATATTATCATTCAATTTTTATTGATTCATTTTATCAGAAGCATAACAAATACATATTATGTTGTAATTATTCTAAATTGGATTAAACAATTGGATTACTGTGAATATCTTAACAATCAATAAATACTCAAAGTAAAAATTTAAAAAAATATACGAAAATAAAAGTTTCAATTTTTATTACAGATAATACTCAACTCCTAAATTCCATGTTTGGATATTTTATTAGAAAGATTATCTTAATGATCAAGCACACTTTTTATACTGATCAAATATTCTGTCTAGAATATTTAGTTATCGAGCACCAAGTCTATAACAGTTAGCCACGCCATCAAACATTGAAATAAATCATTCCTCTAATGTTCCACAATATTTTCCTGTCGACTTAATTTTAATTAAATTAATTAATCCATCAAGAAATGTTTTATTCTTATTTTACAACTTTGTTTTTTTTTTTTTTTTAAATAAATTCTTCCCTCAGTGCTTGAAAATTAAATGAAAATAGTCACGCATAAATTATAATAGCAGATTCCTGATTTAAATCCTTTGTGTCTGCTTTTTTTCTTTTTCAATTGCTATGGATTCAACTGTAATAGCTAAGATAGTAGGAGAGATAATAAGTTTTACTTTGGTCGAGCAGTAGCTTCAGCCGTCCGAATGTTAATCCAATTCCCATGCAAATCCATGTGGTATCCAGACAGAGGTATTCAATTGCTGCGGACATTGCAGATCCAAAAGCAAACGGCTGAAAATATCTGAGCTTCTATACATACATATATACGAATACTCATCCTTCCATTCGTGCCTTAACTTCATGCAATTTCGTATCTGTCAGAGAAATAGAATTTATCATCACGTTTTTTTCTTCTATTTTAGCCTTTCATTCTTGCTGCAAATTTTCTTACGATTATTTTCGCTGAATGTTAAATTCATAGGATGTAACTGTAGTCTAGTGTTATACTGTGAGTTTTTTCATAAATTGTCACAAGATTTTTTGGAATTTCATTTCAACTTATTGCTATCAATATTTTTTAAGTTTTATTGAAGAATAAAAAGTTAAGAAGTTGTTAGTGAATTGAAAGCATGACTGAAATATTAAGTTTATGATGATAAATTTTGAATACTAAATGTTAGAGTTAGAAATATGATAACTACAAAAACAAGTTTTTTTGTGAAATGAGAAATATAATTTCTGCTAAATTACCCTTGTCTAAAAGGCTTTTTTCTTTGATAGTAATAAAAATAAATTGCTGTAGACAACATTTGAACATTTTACGTGTTAGAGTTTTTTTTTAACAGGATTTTTTATTTTTTTGTTATCAGTAAATAACAATTTCAGAGTTCTGATTTGATCAGGGGTATGTATCTCGAGACAATAGCAGTAAAAATTTTATTCATAGTCTACAAAGTTGCCAAATTTTTTTATTTAGCAATTTTAAAAGCTTTATTTTTTTAATCATTGATATTTTTTCATTAAAACAAGTTTTTTATTTATTTATTTAGAAAAAAGACATCAATACAAAACAAACCAAGAACAAAAAAGGAGAGACAATAAAAAAAAGTTTCTCTCAAGATGACTTGAGTGAGTGTGTAAGTCTTAAATGAATATTTATAGTGTATTTCTTTGATTTGTTTTATTTTGATTAAAGAAAAAAATAAACTGACGTTGGTTTTAAATAAAACTTTTTGTATTTTTATTTTCAGAATCAGAAAATATTAACTAAATTCCAAAATGATTTATCTCTTGCTTGGAATAGCATATCAATTCTTTTGAGAAATTAACATTCATCATTTTTTTATTTGTTTATCTATTGGTGCATTCACTCTTCATTAATCCAGGAGTCAATCTGAAAAGCAATAACTTGGATGAAACAAAAATAATCTGAAACTCGTTATTTAAAAATAATAAAACATTATTATTCTCTTTTTATTTTTGTTTTCATAATATCAAACTAAAGTTTATTTTTCATGAAGATATTCGTTTTGTTCATGAACATCAAAGCTTAACAGTGACAACTATCGCTATTTACTTACCAGCATGATTAACACATAATTCAAGAGTACACGTTAGAGCCGATGTCTCGATAAAAACTTGGAGACCACATGTACAGGATTCTAAGTAGAATTTATTGATGTTGTAAGTCGGCCAGCTATTTTCCTTCCTTGCTGTTTCATTTCTCAACTCATCTAGACTATGTGTTGGTGAACGATAAAAGGCACCAAGTACTATGAATATATTCTCAAGCCAATCTATCAGCTAATTTTTTTATAAATACTCCTAGCTATTTAATTTTTGTAGATATAATTTTTGGCCACATAAATTCTGCAGTAGTACTGCAGAGGAATATACTAACGACAGAGAATTTAGCTCATAAATATTTTTGCATACATTTTTTGTCCAAGAGCATAGCTAAAAGTGAAAATATATGTATGTTTGTAGTAGCAATATCTGCTAGGAGAGGATTAACTTGGTGGTGAAGTAGTGAAAACATTGTGGTTCTTCCTGAAACTACGAACGTTCCTATCTCTTAAGTAGTAACTCAAAGAGAACTAGGTGTTACTAAAGCATAGAGTTGATGCTTTACATTTGTTAGTCTTCAAATATCATATTAATCAAATTAATTTTAGCTTTCATAAAGTCTGTAAACTAATCACAACTTATAAGTTAATATTCAGACCAAACAAACTTTCAAATGTTCGTTAAACCACTAATATGTATGAATGTTTAGTAGTAACTTAATGAATCAACAAACATCCTGATTCAATGAATAGCAATATTTTTAAATAAATATTCAATCAAACTTTTGTTTGCTGATGACGACAGAATATCTGGTACGCATTCAGTCTTCTGAATCGAGAAAGTGCAGTGTAGAGTAGCAGTGGTTAACCATAGTATATGATACTACCTATCCATATCCACCTGGAACTCATTTATCTTTAGCTTCTTCTCTCTCACTCTTTGGTAGAGATTTTATTCAACCACTGATTCAAATTCTCCCTTGTATGGACAATGATACATTTTATCATTTTGATTCACAATAAATAAGCACCAAATTGATTTTCACATGATAATTCATATCTCACTAACATATCCCTCTTCATAATTCATCCTACTGTCGATAATACTTAATGGCCAATGGCACTATCATTCATTGTTGAACTGCTTCTATAAATTTTTCGACACATGACTGTCACAATTTATGATACTTGAACGTGTGCGTTGAAGTAAATGTGAGGAAGTTTGAATGAGAAGCGAAAGAGTTTTTAAAAAAATGAATTGATGTACGTCTATTTATTTTTTTTTGCAGCTTTATTTTAAATGTACAAGGATGAAAGGATGCTTGAGTGACATCATCATCAAAAATAGCTGACATGTTTTTGAACAGCACTACAGTTTCTCGTTACGGTTTGCACAAATATATACCTAAAGTAATAAAGTAATAGATTTCACCCGTCAAAATGTTGTCGTTATGTTAAATGCCTTTGAGATGTTATTCCCTACATCGAGTATTCTAGAACTGCTCTATTTCATCTGGTTTTAGCACCTAAATGGACACGAGTTGGTCATGATAATCTAAATAGGAGAATTATGTTTGCAGCTTAGTCATGAGAATTTAAATCGCGTTGAAGATATTATCAAAGCTATTGAAGATAACAAACGACGAGTTTATTGTCCCTCAGTGCTAGTTATACGCCCAAGGCAACTTCATTCATGTCTCAGTTCAATCAACTGAAGCTCCTTCGTTGCTTCTCTTTGACACTTGATCAATAAATCGTGATTGAGGATTCGTCAAATATTTTGTAAGAGTCTTGGAAATTGAGTATCATGAATTTTACATTTCATGTCAATTCCATGTTTCAAATAATTAAAATTTATCTAAATTTAGTAATATTAAATATGAGGTACATTTAGGATAATTGAATGTTTCATTTTTAAATTAGACATTGTTTATAAAAATGATACGTCAAAGCTTTGTATGAGAATTTGAAGTTTTTCAAATAGTTTAATTTCAAATTTTAGATTAGTTTCATTTCAAAAAAAAAAAAAAACAAATATGTAACATACCTACTGGGATTTAAAGGTTTTCGAATTTAAAATAGAATAGATTACTTCATAAAAACAAATTTAATTTTTTTCTGTAACTAGATGGAGTACCTGAGATTTTTTTATACTTCTATCATAATTCAACTTTATTTTAGAGGAGTTTTGTTAGAATGGGAAATAGTTTTCTTGAGAAAAAAAATTAAAAGAATGACTGTAAAAAAAAATTCGGAACTTTTAATGATTATCAGACAGTTATGTGGCTATAGAAGAGAAGCAAATATAAATAAATTGAAAGGCATCTTGAAAGTTGAATTTCTATACATTGAAGTCATCATTAAAGTTTTTATTGTTGGTGATGATGGTGTTTAGAGCTTAAGAAGTGCTTTGAAAAATTTTGAAAAACTTTTGAGAAACTTTAAAAGTTTATATAATCGATTTAATTATTCAAAAGTTAAAAAAGTAATTCACTTCTTCATTTTACCAGATCATTAGTAATATTTAACTGGCATTTTTATTTCTTAAACATCACTGAGCAATAAAATAAAAGCTTTACTTCTCTTCAAATGTGTAGTTGAGTATGTAATAAAATTGATGGCTTCTAAATAATCCTAAATATTAAACAATTTGCAACAATTTTGAAAATCATAAAATTAAAAAGAAACTAACTTTGGACTAGTTTATCAAAATAAGAATGTAAAAATTTTGAAAATTGTTCCTTTTTAAATATCTATTGCTATCATTTTTCAACAAGTTGTTTGAGATCTGTCTCGCTTGAAATATTTATCGCATCAAACAAATATTATTAGCTTTTCTATTTTGGTTGACTATTGATAAATATAAAGCTCATTAGAAAATAGTAACACGTCAGTATGATTGTCAGGTTGATGTTAAAGTAACTATAGAATTACAGTTGATTGACAGATCATGGTTCAAAGACCCATGCAGTGTATAACTATCCTGATATAAACAGACTGACTTATTGGTGTTCCAGTTACGCACGTGTTCAAAAATTAACATCCCATGTGCTGATCACTTGCAATACCAAGCAATCGGTCGTCCACGTCAAAATAGCGTCTTCCTGGATTCAGGTGCTTCGCTATTAGCTCATGATGGAAACTTTCCACGGCGTACCAAGAGTGCATTTGATCTTCAATCATTGGTCCAAGCTGAAAACACAACTCAAGAGCCAGCACGAGTTGAAGAAGAGGAAATAGAAGAGGATCAACCGGTGATGAATCTCAAGTCATTCAACGATTACCCCAAGCTCTCGAGGTCATTTCAACGGGAACGAGGAATGAGTATCTGTCAGTTTGATAGAACTGATGTACTTGTTAAACCACTGCAACGTGAAAGGGGTATGAGCATTTGCCACTTTGATAGAATGGATGTTCTTGCTTACCCTTTACAGAGAGACAAAGGAATGAGCATTTGTCACTTCGATCGAATGGATGTTCTTTCACGGCCACTTTGTCGTGGTAGTCGTTCCAACATCTTCACCAATGCTGAAAAACTTGAAGCATTGGGCAGATCTACGTACCATCGTGATAGTCGAACAAGCATTGGAAATGCTGAAGGTTCTTTGAAATTTCTTCATCAACGAGCCAAGGAATTCCGGCCAACTCTCACCAATTCCGATAGAACTGAATCTGTGCGGCGAAATTCCGCAACAATGCGAGAACGTCCTAGTATATCACCCTGCGATCGACCCTCTTGCAGTAAAACACCCGATGGTGTGCTTGGCTATAAAGCGACTTGCGTGTAATTTGTCTGGTGATTTTTCTTGCGCACCACTGGTCTCTTCCTGCTGTATTTTTTATGACAGCATGAGTGTGTTTAACGACTGAGTAGTGGCCAAAATTTTTTATGCTGAAAAATTCATTATTTTTATCTTCAGGATATTTATTATAACAACTATTTAATTTTTTTTTAATAAGAAAGCTGGTGGTGTTAATTTAATGATTAATGATATTGTTTTGAATAAAGGGGAGAAAAAGGGTCATTATCATTATTTATGATGTTAAAGCTATCATGATTGTTAGTGATCTAGACATGCAATATCTGCATTTTATTTCATACTAAATAAGTTAAAAAGCTAAATATATTTTTTTAATAATAAGAAATAATAAATGATAAATACTCAAAGTATGTTTCCTTATTTCTTGTAATTAATTTTCAACATCATTTTAAATCATGTTTTTATTCAAATATCATTTTTAATTGAAATATCTTCTCACACTAATATTTTAAATAAATATAAAGAAAGTTAATAATTGAAATTTTGTATCAATATGTATCAGAAAAGGGTATAATTATTTCTTGTCGATGAAAATAGTTAAGTTAAAGAAAATAATTCTTGAAATCTATTTTTATACGGCCGAGAAATATTTTTATGAGCCCTCGGTTGATAAAAATATTTAAATGGTAAAAAACAAAAATAATATAACATTAAGCTAATAAATCAAATCTAATATGTAATGCAAATTAAATAGGCAAAGTTTTTTTTAACATACTTTTAAGTAGAAAGTTTCAAACTAACTTTACACACACAAAAGATGACTCTTGAAGAAAATTTAGCAAAGGTAGAACTTTTACCAGAAAATTTCTCTGTGTGATCATTTAATTGGATTCGATATTTCTTACAAAAAAAAAATTAAGATTTTAATTATGCCCATAAGATACTTAAAAAAATACTTAAAATACTTATGTACTTATAAGTATATTATACTTACGAACTTCACGACTTTGAACTTTATTTTATCTAATGGTCGTCTAGAATTTTTCCAATCTGTAGTCCTACTTATTCAAAGTGTAATCAAATAAATTCCGATTCCTCCGCATATCTTGTATAATGATATAACTCATGTATTTATGTAGACAGATAGTGTATAATATGATAGGTTTAAACCACTCAACGAATTTTATTGCTGAATAATCGTAATAATCTCAATTATTTATTTCAAAGTCTTTAAAAATATAAGCAAGTACAGCAGAACTTTTTTTTTTTTTATTAATTTTCACATTTTCTATTTCATACGTAATTTCTCATTTAAGAGAAACAAATTGACATTAAATGCTCTCTCTCTCATGAAATCCTTAATTTTTAAAACTGGTAATCTTGCTGATTAAATTAAAAAAAGCTCTGCTGTGCTATTTAATGATAATATATTGTAAATCGATATTGAAAGTAATGTTCGATATTTCGAAAGTCCAGATTATTTTTTTACGTGACACAAAAAATGATAAAAGCTGTTTATGAATTACTGTGTAAATATATATGACATGACACTTGAATGTACAGACCCTTTCCAGTTGAGATGACAAGTAGTAGCAATGAACCTTTTCGAAATGTCATATATTACTTTCTGGATTTAATTAGGTAATTAACAAGTTAAGTAGTCTTATTGTATACTATATAATATAATTTATAAAGTACTAAGTATAATAAATGAAGACTTCGTTGATCGAAGTTTGATAAATATAATTATCAGACCAAAATATTTAGATTTTTAAAATTACAATTTTATCTTGTAACTTTTGGAACGATCGTGATTCAACATGATCGATTGGAATATGGGACCTTCTGTTATTCACTGGGTATAAGGAATATAGTCATGAAAACTTATCCACACCACTTCTATAATAGCATTAAATTTTTCATTGTTATAATAATAATAAATAAATAAATATAGTACCTGTATTCAATGGCGATGTCTACTCAATATTAACCGTTCGTTAGACTGCTAGAGAATAATATGTGATAGGAACATTTCAGTTGAAAAGTTCCTTTGCTGAGAAAAAAAATTATTTCAACTAAACAAAAATCAGTTTTGTTTACTTCAAATTCATGCTTTTATAGCTATATTAATTTGAATAAATAAATTAAAGTAATTTTTGAAAAAAATATTAGACTCTTAATAAATAGAATAATTTTAGATAAATTTATTATCTTTGCTGATCAAAAAAAAAAAAACAAATAGTTTTGGTTGAGATAATATTTTTTCTTAATATTATTAATGAAATAAATGTTTTTTGTTTTATCTAATATACTAATAAATAAATGTAACAAAGGTTCGATTGTGAACAAAAAATAATCTAAGATTTATGTCAATGAGTGTGATTATACTTCTAATTGCCAATGTATTTTTATCGATAATTATTAAATATAATTAATATGTCATCTATACTGGTATTTCGACTCCAATGGACCAGAATTAACAGCCTTTTCTATACACGGCTATTTTCATTAGATTATTATCAGATAAAATAATTTTTTTAATCTAATTATTATTTCAGCTGAATCCATAGTGTTAATAAATATAATTAAATGTTAATATTAAACTAATTTAATCAATTTTGTATTTATATTATAAATAATTTGTAAGTGTGTTCTTCATGAAATTTTATTCATTTCATGTAGAACTAATTTTATTGAAGTACTTATTATGTTCTGAATTGTATAACAATGTAATCACTTAATATGTAAATATTAAATATCCAATCAAAATGTCAACGAAAAATATTAACAATACTACTACTACTGCTACTACTACTAATGAATAAAAAATTGTTTTATGAAAATTTTTGAGTCTTTTAATTATCCACTTATTAGATAAGGATCTGTTGTTCAGAGTTTCAGATTGGAGCCATATTCCTTATTTGAACTACAATTCAAGTACACTTGATGTGTGTGAAAAATATCAAGAAGGGATTGTCAAACCATCTATTTTCTGTTGTGCTACTGTTATTTTCGACCCTCTTGTAAGGATAAAATATATATTTTTAACCAGCTGTTGAATTGACATCTCTTTTCTCCTTTGTCATAAATCTTTTTTTCTTTCGGAAATTATATTTTTTTTATTGCACAACCATTTGCTTTTTTATTTTTGAGGAATCAAAGTGATAAAAGGATATTATTTCAAATCTAGATATAAAAGAAACTCTGAAAAAGTTTAATATCACATATAGAATCGAATTTTATGGCTTGCGAGTTGAAATGAAATTAGAAACTTTGACAAATATGTCTATGCAAATGATGAATAACTTGATTCAGCTAGAATTGACATTGTACAATAATAATATTTGATGAGTAAATATTTTTATAATGATATTTCAATATTTTATCAGTCATTTCAATACTTTACAGTTATGAGATCCAATTTTTATAGGATTTAAAAGTTCTTAAGCTTCGAATTATCTAGTTACAGTTTTATCTGATGTTATATAAATTTTTTATCATGAAAATTTTTTAATAAAAAATTATTATTACGATGGTTTTATGAAAAAATTATCTTTTTTGATTGTCTATTGGGTTTCATGTCGGATTTTTTTCATTGATTAATCAATATTATAAAGAAATAACTTCTATATTGTAGTTACATTATTATCTTTAAAATTTTCCAGCTTTTTCTACGACAATGGTAAAGCTTTCTTCCAAGTATCTCATTGAAGTCAATGTAAAAATGAATTTTCTTTTGTACTGAAGTTGTTAAAAAAAAAAAAAAATTGGTAAAGAAAAAAAAATTTTAATTTATTTTTTTCATCATCTTTTCTTTAATTTTCATCTAATAAATGAAAAGTGAATAAACATTTTCTTCTTCTTTATTCTATTCGTACACAATAAATCTTTTAAGTATAAAGAAAGCCGCAAAAAATAAACTCTAAGAAAAAAATTCATCTAAAAGCATCACGTTCTGAGCATTCCAAGCACTTTATTAGTTTTTTTTTTTATTATCTTTATTTGTCCTTGTGATATGCTTGTGATCTTAACTATTAAATTAAAAGTACGTGTATACGAAAAAGCTGGCACTGAAAATTTTATTTCACTTTTTTTGATTCATTAAAAGCTCAACAGTCATGTAATTTATTACATAAGAGTGGACAATTGTAGTCGACTTTTCAAGGAAGATTTATGAATTAAACATAACCATCATAAGTTAAAAGGATTAAATACGAATTCTATGAATGAATATTTAGCTCTAAAAAGAAAAAACTACATTAGATGGAAAAAATTATGCTCATGTTCAATATGATAAACTATTCTGTTCATTTTTTTTTATCATTTTTTTTTTAAAATGCAAACTTTACAACATTACAGTTGAATAAAAAAGAAATCACATTACATTTAGATGATTATTTATGATTTCCGGAAAACTTCTGTCTCTGGAGATTGTTGAACTGTTTGTTGAAGAATTCATGATACCAAACCTTTTGTTTTATTTTTCTTCCATTCTATTGGCAAGTTTTCGCAATTTCTTACCTTCTCGATTATTAATTCATAAAATATTTTCTGAAGAAAATATAATTTAAAATTTTCATAAAATATTTATGTATTTTCAAAAATTACTTATGCTACAGTACGACAATTTGAACTTATCACGATGATAATGGATACAATTCCAAATGATTCGCACCGACAACAATACTATTCTCAATAATAACGCAGCCTATATTTATTTTTTTTGTAATTCAAACAATGATCTATTACAATTAATTTCAAAAATTTTTTATGAAAGTTTTATAAATTTTTTGATGAATGTTATGAACTTTCAATCCAAAATAACTTTTAAAAATATTACTTTTCTCTATCCAGTTTTTAAGCAGCTTTTGATGTCCATGAAAGTATGAATTATCTAGAAATATATATTCATATCATACTTTATTTTCTCAGTTTTGTATCAAAGTGAGCTTGTAAGCTTCTTGAAAAAAGAAATCTAAAACATAATTTGAATGTTTTCTATTTATTTGTTTCGCTGCATTTGTATTTAACATAATCATCTTCATAGATAAAATAAGATAACTTTTTTTAAATTTCTCTATTATAGATTTTCCAGACATCTAATGTTTCAACACTGTAAATTTTAGTGTTTTATTTTAAAACATTCAAAGTGTTTTAATATAACGTCATCCATTCGATTAACATTGTCTCGATTTTAAAACGTGACATCATATTAAAACACTTTTAATGTTTTAAAATAAAACACTAAAATTTACAGTGAATACACAAAAATCTCAGTAACCAATCGGATCTTTTTTTTACTGAATTATTCAATTTTACAGTGTTAAAAAACAATGTTTAATTCAGACAATTTGTTGGTAAGTTCATCTGTAATGCATGAAATTTTGCCAGAAAATTAAATATTAAATAATAGCTCTCTATCACGCCCTTTCGATCGACATTTTTCCTTTAACTTAATTATCTGATGCACTCTAAATGTAAAAAAAACGCTTTCAGTCTATTCACTCATTTATAAATAAATCTTCACATTTTCTAAATATTTTATCAAGTCTCATTAAAAATCTATCATGTTATCTCCCGTACGTATTTTCCAGTTAAACATGTTAAAGTTTAATTAAATGAGTATTGTGTATAACACTTCGGTGATTATATTGATTTTGTAGCACATGGAAACACATTGTGTTCAACAATGATGTATGAAATTCATTTCTTGTTGCATGTTGTCGATATAGAAACGAACTTTTATTTCTAACTGAAGAGCTAATTAAATCTGAAGGAAATGATATTTGTTACTTTCAAATCGATTTTCCACTAGAATTATGTGTAATTTGTTTTAATAACATACATGGAGTCATTTTGAACAAAATATAAAATCTTTATTACTCTTTTACTTAAGCATACACCGTACGTTGAATAAATCGGCTTAAGGGATAAATGAAAGTGTCGGAATAAAACCGGATAATCCTTTTTTCTTCAAAAAATTTTCAGTTGAGTTTTTTTTCTTTATTTAATAATGACCGTTTTTCCTTCAAATAATGATGTTTAAGCACACGTTATATCAAGTTTATTGGACGATGAGAAAATTTGATGCATCGCAGAAGAAAATAATCATCATTGCGTTCATTCCACTCACTTTGTACTGCTGCTATGCTTCGAATTGACTACATGCCAATTCGAATAAAATTTAATTTGTTGCACAAAATACGAACATTATGATAAATCTTTCGGTATTATATTTCCTCTATACATTATTATTATTTCCGTATTTTTATTCTACGAACTTAAATTTTTTTTAACGATATAAATGCTTATAAATGAAACATACAAAGTGTTTACCACATCTCTATAGGCGTTTACTAAAATTCTGCTGTTTATTTATGACATTAAACACTATAAATGTTTTATTACTATACATTTGGATGTTTGTTAACTTGTAATAATTAAAACATTTTTTTTTATTGTCTAACATTTAACTATTGGATAAAAATATCTGTGATATTACCAAAGGTTGGTTAATAAATAACAAAGAATTTCCAGCAGCCTTGTTGAGGTCAAGAAAAAAGTCCAAGTGTCATCGAAGATGGCCATGAAAAAAAAAGTGTAAAAAGCACAAGTCTATCAAGAGAAGTTGATAAGAAGAATTTTTAAAAAAATATAAACTTTTTTCTTATTTGTTAGCTTTGGAAAAAGATAATATCAAAGTGGTTGAAAGCTTGAAAATCGGATTACCTCAGCTACCACATGCTCTGCTATAATTTTGAACCCTTTGAGATTCGTTTATGTTTCTCTTCAGGTACAGGATAAAGTTGACAGTTTTCAGTCAATACAAGAACTACACTGTACATAAAAGTACATGAGTTATTTTCTTGATCTTCTCAGATACACTCTCACATAAGGGAGCAATATACACTGATGAGAAAATGTCAAAGCTTTACATTGTACATGTATAAAGGTGATCTTTCTTCAACTTTGCATTTTTTTATATAGCTCTTTTTTTTGTTCAACGAATGAATCAGTAGACAGAAACAATAAGAAATTTACAAAAGAATTGTTCATTCACTGTAAATACTTTTCTGAAGATTTATTTTTAATTTTGTATAATTTTTTTTTTGCTAAAATATTTTTGTTTGATTTTTTGCAGCTTCTTGCATCTGAAGAAAT